GGTATGTAACGCTTATCCAAAAAAGAAATACTAAAAAAAAAATGTTTCGACAATAATCTTGGGCACCCGTGGCTGACGCCACTCAGCACCCTCCCAGGTTTTTGACTGGCATACGCACCGGGAGAGCAACGTGATGGTTGATCACGTTAGGGATCGCGCTATGCACCTCACGCAGCTGAAGACATGCAAGCAGATCTAGGGTGTGCATCCATCCCCCCCCCCCCCCTGCTCTCCCTGGACTCCTTTCCTCCACTTCCCTTCCCCTGCGAATCAAGCCAGAGAAGAGATAGCGTGTGACAGCAATACTACTCAAGTATACGGTACATGATGTTCATTTGTCATCCATCGAATCAGCATCTTGGGACCGGACAATGGGAGTTCTTACTCATGTCATTTGTTCCTGAAGAAGTTGGCAGGCTGCGAGTAATGGAGTGGCCCTGGCAGGAGTCGTTCCGATGATGATTCCTAAGGGTGAGAGCGTTCTCGGGGGCTCTTGCAAGCTGTCACGCGCGATGTAACTCAAACATCATCGCCATTGGCAAGGCCGGCGGGTGGTGTACCGCAGCGCACAGATCCGCTAGGGCTGTCGCAGCTCCTGCATAACAGGCTTCGAAATAAACGACGGGCAAATTACCCGGTCATCCTCGTTGCAAGTTTTACGCTGTGCCGGCGCGTCAGTGCAGGGCATAAATGAAATTGCGTTGGGACCCCGCCGTACTTAGGGAGGGCGCTCCGTAATTCAAACTACTTTCGAGGGTGTGCATCGACAGGGCAGAGCCGGAAAATAGGACCTAGATGGCATGCCTCCCGAGTTAGATCCGCAGAGGTGCCGAGCCCCTCGTCTCCCCACAGGGCTGAAGAAGACCCAGGCACGAGGTCCTCCTTGTTACCAGAGCCCTGCAGCGGCTGTTGCCCATGATCTACATGGTGTGTATAGCCAGGTTGCTGGCTTCGGCAATTGCGACTAGGTACGTGGCATTTGCCACAAGGCTTGAGAAACACATATGCGAGTATGCTCATCATGATCCAGAAGTCAATATCTGTGTTACATGCGAGAAATAATAGCGTCATTTTGTCTTTTCTATAATTGTAGAACAGATCGACACCGACGTGGCTGCGCAAGTTGGACTCGGAAGTGGCACTCACCATGTATATCATCCAGAGTCATTGCAATAGTACATCAAAGGGTGACCCAATCCGATGGCGTGTTGGTGCCAAGGCAAGGCAGCTGAACTCCAGCTGGATATCTCACGTTAACACAATTTCTCTTTTTCCGATAAAAGTCTACAAGACAAAACCTATCATTGCTGGATCACGTTGCCTGGCTTGATTACTGCACAAACAGAACTCGGTGCAAATCGTACAAAAGTACGCGAAATTATAGGCGAAGGATATGGCTTATGACGGCGTTGGGGGTTGAACCGCAGCAGACCACTCACGCGCAGAATGAAGATAGTCTCACGAGGGTGGAGTTCGTATAATCTTGATCATCTCGCCGCACAGAAGGCCAAGGAGCGAAAAGGGCTTTCCCATGCTCGTCACCGTCACGGTGGCGGACAGAGGCTACGCATCCTTACCTGAATCGCGAATCTATGAAAGAAAAAAAGAATTGTTCAGTGCCTCAGAAATTTTCTAGCGTAATGCAACCCGACCTCAATCACGACTTCTCATTGGGCATTGTACTTTGATGTCAGCACCCGATCTAATATTTAAGGGGCTGCTGGCTGTTTGGTAACGATTCGTATAATCACACCGCCTCACAAAGTACACTCGCAAAGATTGCTAGTCATGGACATTGTGACGGTATCATCGAAACATTTGGCGTTGAGTAATATATCTCCGTCACAGATACTACTGTTTTGGTGATCTGCAGATTCAATAGACAAGAGAGCCGGGGTAGGAGGGAGCAAAGGGGTTGGGGGCGGAGATATATCAGAGAGGACCAAAAGATTGTACCGAGGGCCAACTTCATAGAGCAAATGTACATTGATTTACCGAGTTCATGAACCAAAGGTATCCTCCAGGATCAAGGTTGACACAGAAGATACTTAACCTGTAGAAATACCGAAAGCACGGGGATGTCAATGTCGAAAGTGAATGCTGATCCAATAAGTATTTGATATGCTGATAGCAACTTAGTTGACGATTGCCAATATGTCATCGGAACCTCCACATGAAGAATACTCACATCGTGTCAAAATATGATCACCTTTATGTACTTGAAGAAACAGAGAGCCTGTCCAAACGGGACTTTTCATAACAGTTCAGGTCGTCCACCGGTTTCTTCTCGAACGGGTTTGAAGACAGCGAGGTTTGTACAATAGTTCAGCACATTAGTAACAGTCAGAGAACATGCTTAGTCTGGGACCGTGATATGATTATTGACTGTCAGTACACTAGTATGGGAATACCACTGTGAAGACGACAAGAATTGCATCATCAAGACAGACATTCAGATTCCATAACCTTGTTATCATCGCAAACGGATCTCCAACATCGCTGTTCCCGTAGCATTACTATTGTTTATAAGGACCTTTTCCGATAGCATTGAAATCCTGATTTAACACAGCTTGATAGCAAACTTCTGAAAGAAAACTTTCAACTGAGCAAATATAATTTAAAAAATATTTCCAAAGTCTGAGATTTTACACAATATTTGATGGGCGCAGGAGTATTAGGAACAGTTTTACTCACTTGGTATCTTGTGACAATTATAGGATAGGTCTAAACAGGAGCGTAACGCATAGACTCTTGTTGACAGAAAAAGTCGGCCACCTTCAGCAATAGCTAGGTATTGATCGAGAAAGAGTTCAGCATGGTATGGATTATGCTTCGAAAGCAAGGCTTGTTGGGTCAGGACTTCCTTCGTGCATGATTGATGTCTTCGGATTTCACACAAACTGGGACGATCCCTGACAGTAATTCGCAAAATAATTGTTGAACGGTCTGTTCTGAACATATATCACACAGCCCCACAGACTGTCACGCTTACTTGCGAACTCGTCTATGCTCAGTGTATGAGTATTCATGTAAATTTAAGTAATCAGGTGGCAGAACATAATCATTTAATGATAGGCCTGCTTAGATAGATGCTCGGCAAACTACAGCAGGCGCCGGAAAGATCGGAATTTCCTATACACCTGGGTCTACCAATGATCTGAACGAAGTCTGCAGCACATTACAGCGTTTCGCCCCCTCTCCCCTCTATTCGTCTGAGTCTGGAGGAACGACGTCTTCCCTAGCCTATCTACTTAGACACTCTAGGGCTCTGGCTATCCTCGGACTCGCGATGGCTCCCTGTTTGGTACAATTCCGGAGATGACCTGTGGAAGGAGAAGTCCCGACACATGACAAGTCAGCTAACAAAAGTACCACGGAGTAGAACATACAGCCGCCTAGACACGGCGCCGGCATGGAAACCACCACCTCAAGCAGTAGGATCGGCCCCCAAATGTCACTCACACGAAAGTCTATCAATCCTGCCGTCGTACGAGCCTACGGCCCGGCATGAATGCGAACTGCCGTGTTGGGGCTAGTAAGCAGCCATAACTCTGCTGGCTGGACGGGTGGCCTGCTAGCAAAGCATTGCAAGTGTGCAGTCGAGGTCGCGGAGGCACTGCCTACGGGTTGGGCTGTGCGTAACGATCCGGCTGGTGGTTTCCTCCAGGGAAATCTCAAAGGGGACATTGCTCCGATCGTACACGCTACCATCAAAAAAGTGCAGATTATTCCCATGCACATTCCGGATAGACGGCGAGTGCTCCTCGCCATGTGAATCATTGCCCTATGAAAAGCAGTAATTCCTTTTTTTTCCCTTCCTTTTTGCCACTGCAGCCCCTTGTAGATCAGTACTTCTCAGCTCGTATAGCTAAGGAGAAGCCAGTAAAAGAGCAGCAGAGACATTTGCCTTGTTTCGGCCGGCATAAGCAGATTTGTCCCTTTTGCCGGGCGCCGAAACCATGTTCTAACCTGGGTACGTATGTGCTTATTTGCTGTTGAATCATTACTAGTGGCCCCTCGCACTCGGTGATCTAGTCGAGGGCATTGAGATCATTGAGAACCATTTACATGTCTACTTTCGCTTATGAAATATGGTTCATGGATCCTCGATTGGTACTTGGACTCTTGCATAGCTGCCTATGAAATTATCAGTCGACAGCCGCCCTGTGACTCACGCTACCGTGCTTACAATTGCACACCAACCTATCGATGCGGGACAATTTGACGATGATACGCTCCTAAATCGCCTGCATAGGATGCCACGTTTTCCAATACCATGCCTTTGCATTCCTTCAAGGCCACCATCCTGAGTATGCTAAGCAATGCACATGCATGTACTGCGTGATCATGGACTGATTGAATATAGCCCCAACTTTGCAAGGGTAAGCACTAAGCGCCGCAGCCCAGCATGTGCAGGTAGTAATTATCACAGACGGGTCATCTAGACATTGCAGTGAGATGTTGATTAGAAATCACAATGTTGCGGTAGGTCCATACTCACTTCAGAGGTCATCATCATCCGACTTCACCTGCCCTTGCATTGTTCGGATTCCTTCTTATGTGCGCCCCCAAAAAGGAGAAAACAGATTCAATTGAATCAAGAAGAAAGCCTACTGGGGTTTCATATTAAAAACATTGATGAATAATCACACATGTACCACAAAGCCCGCCTGCTCCTTAGCAATTCTACGCGAACGTCATGTGATGAAACCTCATGTTGGCGGGCCATGTCTGCCTGCATACCTTGAAGTACTCACTTGAGAATACACAATTTGAAAAGATCTTACTTGCCTGCCATACAGAAATCAGGCCCCAGTAAGGCGCCACAATGTTAGTTCGAAAGCAAGATGGGTTACACCGCGTTGTCAGCGCTGGGCTTGCCTTGGTTTAGCGAATGTGGAATCAGCTTGTGACTAGACGTTGGCGGCGCAGTGAGAGTCTTTGCTGAGCCATTCTGTCCTGATCCCCACGTGTTCATTATAGGTCTGAAAAGGGTGTTACCAAGGTCAAGATGACCGTTGCCGTACGCTGACCTTGAAATTCTTCCGACACCAGGCTCATACTTGATGTACTTATGGAAGGGGACTTTTCTGCACACTACCCACATTCCCGCCAAATCCACGTCACTTTCAAAGTAAAATAAAAAGGCGAGCCTCCTCGTCAGCGGGAATCCTACAAGCCGCAATCCTCCCGATCACAAAGTGCCAGATCTCATCCCGTAGTGAAAAGGCGGGGAAACCTAGCCCACCCCTACACGGCCAGAAGGCTAGGGGAGGGGGCCAAAACTGAGTTTTTGTACACTGGTACATTCGAAATACTCTTTGCTTTCCGCTCTCCAAGTACACGGGACTCGACTGATACAAGACGTGAGCCCCCAACGACGGCATCGCCTCGTAATTCGACCCAGCGTACCGAGTCATCACACCTAATCGATACGTTCACCGTCAAGCAATCTGCTTACTACACTAAAGCCCACATGACATGACCTTCACGCGACGGAGCCAGCCCTTTGGGGAGGTCAAGCGACGCGTCGCCAGAGCTGCAGTGAAATGATTTTGATGTTTCGTTGGTGATCAGCCAGGAAGCCGATGTCGGCGACCTGTTCACCCCCTACTTTTATGGTGTGCTGACTGCTTTTCGATATGACCATCTGTTGTGGGTCAAGGCAGCCCCTTCGGCACAGAAGGGAAGAAGGACGGATTGGAGAATCGCTCGCGGTTTCGCTTATCCGCCTCAGCCTGTCGCTTCATTGACAGCCGATTCTGATAGAAGGATCTACACCTGGTGTCAGCGATTGCTCGTCTAATTGACCGCATCTTGGAGGCGTCAGACCTGTGAAGTTGAAAGACACGCGGCTCTTCTTCCGGTTTCGCCTGCTCCTGCTCCTGAATTCAATAGTCTGTGGTAAGCAAATTGAAAGAGAGAGAAAAGAAGGAGAAAAAAGGTCTTTTCAGAACTGGAGCGGTCCCCCACCTTTCCGTTGGGGGCTGAGTCTTTCTTCTCACTGCCTCCGTCCTCCGGTTTCTTTTCTTCTGTCTTCTTGTCCTCTTCCTTGCCCTTGGACTTGTCGGCCTCGTCCTTCTCCTTCTTCTTACGCTGCTTCTCTTCGTACTCCTTCTTCACCCTCTCGACTTCTTCTTCAAGCTCCTTTTTCTTCTTCGCCTCGATGGCGGCTTGATCGACAATGGGGGTGCAAAACCCGTGATCCTTGAGATGTGAAGTGCACACGTAAAAGAAGTCCTACCAACCAAGATATGAGCCAATTTTTGCCGAGATTTTTGCCGAGAGATTTTTGCCGAGAGAAAGCTAGGCTAAAGGGCTAGAGACCATGATCGTAGCATGCAATAGTGAGGCCCAGGCATGGAAATGACATGTCGCGGCAGAGAACTCACCTGTTTTCCCTCGGTTATGAGTACACTTGTGCTAAGCTTGAAGCATATTGCGCAGGATTTTGCTGCTGTGTCTGCTACCTTGCGGTGGATGTACACGTTGGGAAACATTGACATGGTGGGGTTGCGGCAGCTGTTCTCTGAGAGACGCGTGGAGATGAAGCTCAGCGCAGGAGACGAGATGCGATGTCGTTGAACTTGGGTGATGAGTCGAGGCAGGAAGTATGTGGGGAAATGGGCTGGCGCACAGTCTAGGATCTCATATCTGTGAATAGTGACACTGTGTTTTAGTCAGCAGCCCACGTGATACCCTTCTTCACCATCGTTCATATTTCGAGCCATATTAGCGAGTCCTGACTTATTGAACTTGTGCACTGGATATATTCTATTCAGTCAGTATGGTGTGCTCTCGTTGCCGACATACGGTGTACAGTAATCTTTATGGTGCATGTTACATGCTGGGTGCACCGGCACGGACTTTCTCAATCTGCTCCACTGCGGCAACGAGGTGACACCTTGATCATCAGTTCGCAAGATTGCGTGAAAAAGAAAACGCTTTGATATGACCAAGAGACTACTAGAATGTTGGCCTCTATATCCACACACTAAGTAGAGTGTCACATCGAATTATCTCTTTATAACACATGCTCTCAAAATCAAAGGTATCATGACAACGATTCAATGCCTCCCGAAATCCGCTCAAATTTACCTACTCGCACAGCGAGCGATAATGTGATACGGCCGTCAGTTTGACCGCACATTTAGTTAGTCACTCAGACGTTGTGATCGCGGCCAATATTAGTCGCATTTGGATGAACCCTCCAATATCGTAGCCCATTCATGGTGTATGCATTCGCGCTGTCGCAGCCCGGACCCTCTATTATGATGTCTTTTGGTAAAAATTGTATCCCAATATGCACTGCTCGGGGGGTTGTTCTGCGATGTCGTTCATTTGCTCTGAACTTTGATTGCGTAGTACATGTAGCCGCCGACGCCGAAAATGATTGTCGCAACTGTGTCCAAGTTAGCATGCTGAGCATAGAGCACCAGTCTGCCGTCGCAAATGAAAGCGATGAGTAATTACTCACCCACAGCTAGAGTCTCTAGCACAGTATGGTCCACACTCCTCTTCATCAGGACATTGGTGTGCACCTCCGCCACCAGCTCGCTAAATATCCGTGGATCGAGAACAGGCATGGTCACCGAGTATTCATAGTCTGAATACTTGACTTGAAGAAAAATAAAATAAAATAAAAAAAAAGTACGTGGTGGTGAAGGAAATCGTGGATCGATCGTGAAAATCTTCAAAGGGGCACCCTTGAAGATCGCCCGTCGTTTAAATAGGTCTCTGCACACTGAGGCTGTTTAAGGCGTCACAACCGCTGCACAATCTCGTACCTTGGGAATGGGATCATTATCGCCTGATGGTATGGCATTTTGTGTCTGAAAGTGTTTCCTAGGGGGCGTTGCGGCGTTCTGACGGATCAATGGGAGCTCTGCTGAGTTTCATTGCGCGCGGGTGAACGTTTCAGGTTACGGCCACTTTCAACAACTGACACCAGAACTAAGAATTAGCCGATCCTCAGAATTGAAGATTAGGAAATGCCCTTGTCATGTCCCTGGTCCTCATGAAACTCGGGAGACTATACTCTGGGCTCACAATCGTGCGTTGCAAATGACTTCAATTACGATTATGCTGCCGGTCTAACCGTCGTCCTCGTCGTCGTCGTAGATGCCGTAAATGGCTTCAGCCCCGCGCTACAAAGAGTAAGGAAACAAAAGCTGGGATTCTAAAGGCCAGATACGCAGTAGTGCAGCTTGTTATGTGCATCGCCTACAACCGTAACCACGAGAACGCCGAGAAATCCAAATTTGTCTCCGTCGAAGCACAGAAAGCAAGGTAACCCTGGACGGCGCCTCCTGAGGTTGGGGACAAGATAAGGATATGATCTTTCAATATTGTCTCCTGTCTCCTGTCTCAATGCAGACAGCAAGTTCGACTACTTGCGCAGCTTTTCTGTTCCTACAATTCCACGAGTTGAAGACATGCTATCTCAAAGGCAACAGGAGACATCTCTCATTTTTAATCACACACCCATTCAATAACGTGCACACAGAGAGACGAGTAACAAAATGGAGCAATGCAATTGACACAAGTAATACAGTCCGAAATGAATTTTAACCCTCAACTCCAGAGCACAGAAAACCTCCCAAACCCAAACCAAACCTGGTCCTAAACCATTCTGCCAGGATCATTTTCACCATACGACACCTCGACCCTCGTAGTCGTCATGATGCCTTGAATGGGTGCCTGCACAAGCGGCGCCAGGCTCTGCTCGCTACGCTGGGTGTACAGACTGTGGTCATCCGCATCATACCACGAGCTCTCCGTCGCCCCGCCCGCTGCGATGGCGGTACTCACATGCCCTTTGTATGTGCCGTCCTCGTCTGTGTCCAGCACGTCTCCATCACCACCATCATCACACGTCTCAAGCGCGATGTCGTCTGTGCCCCGCCCGAATTGAGCGCAGCCGGCCTGGGGGCGGCCCTTGGACGGCAGCGAGCCTATCGTGGGCGGCGGAGCGTGTGTCTTGGAGCTGCCTGTTGTCCTCACGCGCGAGCTGCTCTTCTTCCCGGAGGTGCTCTCGCCGATGAGCCTGGGCGCGACGTGGTGGAAGAACCTGCGTAGCGTGGGGAGCATGCCGCAGATGATGATCAGGTTGGACTCGATAACGCTGTACGCGGGGAAATTAGCACTGCGACAAGAGATCAGAGGGATCAATGGTACAGCAACGTATGACTTACATGAGCAGACTCGCGTCGGCTATCTCCCAGGTATTATCGGGATTTTGCATTAAATTTGGAAGAATGACGGCTCGCAAGATCGAGGTGATAACCGTCCTGTAAAAAGCGTCAGGAACGCCGACGTCCAAAGGATCAAATCGCGGGCGGAGAAACCGACTTACACAGACCCGATCCCGAAGATTCCGAGCAAACCCAGCTTCTGCTTAAGTGGCATATAGTGCAGACCCAACACCATTGGTATAGGCAGGAAGAACAGGATAACATCGGACACGATGTTGAAGATGGCGGTGGCAATGTATAGCGCCGGAGGACTGATGCACGACCCGCTCGTGATGTAGACGTTGAATGCTTTCTCTACGGGGTTGCAAGCGAAGACGAGGCAGAAGAAGATGCCGATCGAATAGGAAACAATGAACATTATGGTACCGAAGATAGACCAGCGCATCCAGGTTGAAGGCGATAGCTTCAGGTAGAATACCAACAATGCTAGCTTCGTGCAAGAACCTGCGACGATGTATATGGGCGAGGATATCCAGAGATTCTAATAGAGGCACCAAAAATGTCAGCATACATCGATAAAAGACCTTGGGGCGAGGTTAGTTGTCACTAATCAGACGTACGAATAGATACCGGTTGAACTGTTCGATTGGTATTTCCCACATATGCACGCCAATAAATCCATTCGCAAACCCATCTGTCAAGTTGTCAGATTATTCACAACAAAACATGACTGGTGACAACCAAACTTACAAACGACGAAAATCTGCGATGCGAGGGCTGTCACCTAGACTCCTTTGTTAGGCTTCAGATCCAAGACCTCGAAGGGAGCACTGCGTCTCGCTTACCCATGACACTGCAAGAAGCGCTGTCAAAACGCAACATTAGCAACTAACCTCTATATATGCTTCAAGCTTCCACAAAAGCTGTATACCGGTAGACGAAGAAAAGAATTCGTAGGCTTACCATCGTCAAGCTGCAAGCTGATACCGGTAACCAGTTTTACATAGACCCGTTGCGCCGTGAACAGCAGCGCCAGCACGATGCCCACACCAAAGCACCAGTATGTCGCAAGGTCGGCATGCCGCTGAGGATGATCAAAGTCGACGACGTAACCGGCTGGAGCAGGTATGATACTGGTTACATTACTCATTGTCACGTGCCCTTCTGGAACAGTAACGGAAACAAAGAAAGCAAAGCAAAGGTGGAACGAAGAATAAAGCAAGACCTCATAGGATGTTCAAACGTAGGGTATCGTCGTGCGACCTTGAAGGAAACTCTCGTTTAATATGTCGAGGAGGTCGAGATGGTGAACAACCCTTGAGCCTCTATGAATGAAGAGAATTGTAGTCCTTTTGGCGAGTCTGAAAAGTCTCATGGGCTGAAGAATCACAGTGGCCAAACAAATCTTGCCTTCAATGGAAAGGTTTCTCCAGTCGTCTGTCTCACTAGGAAGATTTGCGTCCGGGTCTGGGGACCGGGCCTGCCGCCCCCCCCCCCCCCCCCCGAATTAAGGTAGGGGGTATATGCCCGGGGGTTATATCCAAGAGAGACCGCTCCCATAGAAGGTTATTGGCTCACCTTGTTGAGTAGGATATGGAGAGGATGACAATGTTCAAGGATGGCCTGACTCGTCAATTCTAGAACGATACTTTGTGTGCTCAGGTCTGAACCACTTACATAGGAATGATACTAAATATGCATGTTAGCTCCACAAAAGACTCGATCGATCTGGTCCACTTGGCTAGGCGGTCATCTCAACCCCTGTTGAAGAATCCAACAGTCGGGCCTGATTGAGGGTGTTGTCATAGCAGGGAGTGAAATAGGCTGGATGTTTGTATGAGTCGGTGTTTACCACCATGGTATGCGTGTGACAAGACCACATGAGGGTCGCGTGATTAGTATGTTGATATCTGCCTTCTTAACATCGAATATTATCTTACCAGCCCTGATCATTGGCATTTGAATACCCCCAAGCCCTCGTACAAGTACAGAAGACCACAAAGCCCAACCTCGGGAGCTCACAGAATTAATTATCCAAAAACCTTGGTGGACCGTGAGCTCAGCACAAGAACAGCGTAGGGTAATTTCTTCTACATCAGTCACATTTGTGCATGGATACGAAAAGCTGTGTGGAGTGGTGTTATGTTCTTGCGTATTCGTTTGACGGCAGCACGTTAGCCCTGGTCGACCGGCTGTCGTTATCCGCGCACGACCCATTCAGCCTCCCAGCTGAATGGATTTATTGATGCCAAGCTTGGCCGGGTGAGCTTCCGTTGGCTAAGTACTCCACTGATCTGCAGGGTCTGCACATGGCGGGAGGGGGTAATCGGACCCGAGGTGAAGGAGATGGGACAAACCTAAAAAGGTACGTAGTAGTAATTTCGTCTCATATATTGCCAAAAGCTGGGAGTGAAAGGATTTTCACTCGATCGAGATGACATCTAGCAATACTCTGTGCCTATGTCAGGTCCCTGCATAAGTGTGGTGGATGCGTTAGGGTTTGAGTGAGACATGATCTGCAAGCAATCTTGAGGCCTGAAATGGGGAGAACCTGAGTGACGCGGCCAGCTCAACTGCTGTGAAGTTTTTTGAGCCTGCTTCATCGGAAACAAAGTTTTGAAGTAAACCCGCCTAGAGCCCGATTTCATGGTGTGAGATCGGTGCAGGCATGAGGACAAGGCGTATCGACATCCGACGGGGCCTTTGACCGGGGAGGATGCATTGAATGATGTCGTAGAATGTCTTGCTGAACTTCATCGGAAGAGAGCCGGCACACCCTCTTCTCCTTGATTCCACAACATTTGCTGTTCAGTGATTGATGATGGTCTGCATTCGAAACGACCGTGAGGTCTTGACTCGATCCTCTAGGTGATACCTAATGGAACACATTGATGGCAGCTATAGGTTCTGCTGGATTGGCCCGCGGCAAGTTGGGGTACGTAGACGCACTCGCCACACTTATACACACCCTCTTTGCGGGCAAGCCGACCCGAGGAAGCGGGGCTCGCCGTAGAGGAGACATGAAAGAAGAGAGCAAGTATGCGAGCCGAGTGTATCGTTTGGCCTTGCCTGAGCCTACTTTGTCATGTTGTTCGCCACGCCGAACGCTGGGCATAGGTGCTGCGAAATTCGTCAACCTACATTACATGATCTGTTGAGCCTCGCCGTGCAGGTACAAGGAACCTGCTCGAGGAGTTTGTCGGATAGTTGTGTGAGTTTAGTCTCCCCCGCCCTCCTTCGGGTTCCCCTCCTCTTCATGGTCACATTTGTTCGTTCTGTAATTCATATTTTGCGACGAGCGCCTTCATTAGTGCTCAGCCCTGGCGTCGATATCTGGCCTGGTAGACAAGGGATACTTTCCTAACACAATAGAGTATGCGAGCCGCATGGACTCTTACTAGTCCGTCAGTGCAGCACTGGATCCTTGGTGCATTGCCCAGCCACAGACGGCCCAAGACGTCTCGGCTATTTTGACAGTCTTGATTGATAATAGCTGCCCCTTTGGAGTTCGTGGAGGTGGTCATGGGTCGTGGCACGGATCTAACAGCGTATCGCAAGGTGTGACCATTGATTTTGGTGTGCTATTATCCCCAAGCGAATGTAGAGACGCAGAGCCTGCCGACTAACGACGCCATTGGTAAGGGTTCATGAACACGACAACCTACAACTCCACTAGCAATATCGTATCCGTCGCGCCGGGTGCGCATTGGCAAAGCGTCTGACATCCTGTCACCACGTGGCGTGACTGTAGCTGGTGCGCTGGCCGGCACTGTCGGAGCCGGTGGCTTCCTTTTGGAGGATGGCGATTCCTTCCACTCAGCTTCCCACGGCATGAGCTGCGACAGAATTCAGAATTTTGAGTTCGTGCTTGCCAACGGGTCGATCATGAACGCAAATGTAGATGACAACCCAGATCTGTGGTTGGCGCTCAAGGGTGGGTCAGCAAATTTCGGGTTGATCACCCGCTTCGCCATCGAGTCCCCAAACACCTCGGATCCGGTCATTTGGGGCGGTTTACTCGAGTATGAGCTCGCACTTGGTGACGCTGTTCTGGATGCGATGGTGACGTTCAATGACAATGTTCCCGACGACCAGAATACCTTGTCGATCGTTTACTGGGCATACACCTCGACTGCTGGCGGCATGGTCCCCGACGTCGCCCTAGAGAACACGCTCGCGGAGGCAAGCCCTGCAGCGACGGACGTGTATCTCAACATTAGCGGCATCACATCCAATACGCTGCGCAAGGTCGACTTGACCACCATCACCCATTATCTGGGCGCTGGCGAACCGCCTGGGTATTGTGATTTCTGGTACACGCTCCTGCTGCCAAATAGCGCAGAGGTGATGAAGTACGCGGCGAAGGCGCACGAGAACGCCGTCAAGGAGCTGGCGATGGCCATGACGGCTGCTGCCAGCGAGTTCTGTACATTCTGCATGTTTCAGCCCCTGAACAACCTGATTGTGCAACACGGAGCCGACAAGGGCGGCAACGTCCTGGGCCTCGACGCCACACTTGACGGAGCGAATGAGGTGCTGTTCTTGGCAACGCTGGCTGTGAAAGGAGAGGGCAAAGAGGCGGGAGGCCCAGCCCATAATGCAGAACTGGATGGACTTGGTGGCCACGTATGCGGAGAGGTTGGGTGCTGGCTATGGCTGGCATTACCACAATCATGCGAACTCGAACCAGGACCCGTTGAGCTCGGCTGGACCTGAGGCCATTGCGAAGATGTGGACTGCGTCTGCGAAGTACGACCCTGGTGGGGTGTTTCAAAGCCTGGGGACCACAGGCTTCAAGATTCTAAACATGATGTGTAGCAGCAACAGGTCACTGTGTTGATCAGCTGCTCGCTCTCTTGTGTACTGCTGGCCAAATAAAATTGTAGATGATTGATGAATTGTTGACATGAGGTCAAGATTGAGGGCTGTGGAGCAAGTGACGTGCCTGTACAGGCTACTGTAGATAGTAAAGACTACTAACTAAGACCCCCTGTACTCATAATTATAGTGTACAAAAATCCAGGGGCCGGCGCACCCAAGTGACGTCACGCTCAGGCGCGTTCCAGCAGCCTGGGAACAAACCCTCCGGCAAGCATCACACGCGAGCTCTGCGCTGGTCTCCTGCACGATAACCTTACTTGAACCTCTCCGAATGGATCGTGGAGAATGTCAGGTACTTCCAGGCTGACCAGACTGCTAGACTGAGGCCACTGAACCCGAGATGAGCTGCGCGTTCCGTCGCCTGCCGTGCCGCCATCTGGCCAGGCTTGCGGGACCTGTCTCGACATCGTCGCCCGTAAGCATCTCGAGGACGACCACGATACCCAGATTCGTACCGGCAACCGTGAGCTTGGCGAATACTGCGCGGACCCTGAGCTCTTCCCAGCCGACACAGAAGGATGGGTACGAAAAGAAGGCACAGCAGCTCAATCAAAAGGGCTTGGACCAGGAAGAGCAGGAGGTGAGGGCAAAGCAGAACCAGGTCAAGAGACCATGGCTCCGTGAAGACGCAGATAAGCCTCCGGCTGAACAGCCTCAAAAAAAGAGCACAGACACAAAAGGTGAGCAAATATATCTTGTAGATGACACTCTGGTGTCTCGCCGCGCCCGCTCGCTTCCTTAACAGCACCAGGGTCGCCAAACTTACTGTGCTGACTTTATGTTGACGTATTGTGCAGGCAAACTCCTGACAACACCGACAAGACTCCTCAAGCTTATTCTCCCCCTTCCCATCCGCGTCGAGAAAGACAAGGACAACAACGACTCCCACGACTACGCCCGCGCCATCTCCCCTAACGACTCCATCCAACCTCTCGCCCTGCTCGTTCACCCCCAACAGCCGCTCTCCTACGTTGAGCGCCTTGTCCAGGCCGAGCTCCCACCTGTCGTCGAGAATGGCAAGGAGAAGGTTCCCAACATATACTTCCGCGCTGAGGACTCTGCGGCATCAGGCAATAGCCCCACCAGCCGCGACGAGGCGCGTGCGAAGAATGCCTCTGACAAGAAGCAGGAGCAACCACAGCAGCAGCAGAAGGGCTCATCTTCTGGAGACGATGAAGGCGGCAATCCTCATGTCGCCGCCTACTCAGGCCTCGGGCATGAGGCCGAGGGACAAGATGCCACGCCGGAGTCAGATAAGAAGTGGGTCCGCTGGAGCAGCTCCACCGAGATGGGCGACTTCATCCGGGACGCGGCACGGGGCAGGGAGTTTGCCATCGAGGTGGAGGGCTACAATCTCGAGATGCGCGTGAGCGTGCCCTCGTTCAAGGACCGGACCTACTACATGCGCATGCGGCTGCGACGGATGAGCAGGCAGATTGAACACCTCGCCAAGATCAAGAAGGAGTGTGACGAGCTGGCGTACAAGTCGGCGCACCGCCTCGCCCAGGGCGGGTTCGCCGCGCTCGCGACCTGGTGGGGCGTGGTGTACTATGTCACCTTCCAGACGGAGTGGGGATGGGACCTGGTCGAGCCGGTGACGTACCTTGTTGGCCTTACGACAATCATGGGGGGTTATCTTTGGTTCCTCTACATCAGCCGGGACCTTAGCTATAAGGCTGCGATGAACGTCACGGTCAGCAGGAGACAGAATGCGCTGTATGAGACCAAGGGTTTCGACATGCACAGGTGGGAGCAGCTGGTCCAGGAGGCCAACGCGATGCGGCGGGAGATCAAGACGGTGGCTGCCGAGTACGACGTGGACTGGGATGAAATGAGAGATTTGTCTTACTCCAAGCAGGTCAAGAAGGTCCTCGAGAAGGAGCGGAACAAGAGGGGCCAGAGGGATGACGACGAGGAAGAAGAAGATGAAGATGATGAGGCCGAGGTGGTGGAAGAGGAGAAGAGCGTCAAAGACGAAATGGTACGGGCTAATAAGGGTCAATGATGATATACTGATGGAAATGGCGGGTGCCTGCCTCTGTCATGTGACACATCCCTTGCTTCCTTCACAGTTTTCAGGAGATTCCCAACACAAACGTCTAGAGAAAGCATTTATTGCATCCTAGCATTAGAATACCAGAATATTGAATTTCAGCGCAACGTACAGAACTCGGACTTGAAAGTTCCCCAACCAATGGTATACGTGAGCCTCCCAGATTACACACTTTACTACCCGGTCAGATGTTCCGAGGCTCCCTACCTGCAACCAAGTCGTTATACGTTGGTACAGGTAGGCTCAAGTGTTTGTCATGTTGCGGGTGTTCCCACGTGCGCATGTTCAACGACGTAACACCCCTCGATCTCTGACAACACATCACCAGAAAGACATTTATACAGGGAAGAAGAAAAAGAAAGAAGAAAAAAAGGCTAGCAACTGGATCGAAACGCAATTTTGAGTTTAATGTTGTCAAAATAAAACGGAGGGAAAAAACAGGGCTCAATCGGGAATCGAACCCGAGACCTCAAGCATTCTACGTCTGTGGACCCGAAGCTTGAATCATACCTCTAGACCATTGAGCCGTGTTAATGTTATATCCGGGTAAATCTAGTTACTTATAAACGTTGTTAACTTTTGTTACGTTCAATCACCTGACAGAGGATCGTCCAGGCTGACGATCTTCCTCAGTACTTCGTTTCTGTTGTTATACGTATGCTTCATTGAGAGGAACTGAGAAATGAGATGAAACATCACAAATTAATCTGTCAATAGACCCTGTAAGGGTTACGTCCACAGTTCTGGCGCGAGCTTTTACACGAGGCTGTCTGGTCATTATTTATACTTATTTGTTGTTCATTCGCGCATTGCCTGAATGTTGAACTTAAATTGATATTTTGTTGCTGCATTGATCCTGCGCCTTAACTTCCTTAGATAGTATTTATCCGATGCCCATTCTCTCACGTGGCTTATTCATTGCAGTACACTGGCACTGGTAATTGATGTTACATCTTGCGGTTCCCACTGCAGCAATTTGCCTAGACGGGGGCGCAGACCTCTGCTCCTTGCTGCCCCATACTACCAGACTGATCAGTCGTGGCTGTGCGCCCAAAGAATAATACGCACAGCAAATGAGCAATGCCATGTTACCAATACAGGGTTCATCGCGCTCCACTAAAGACCTTCTCGATCTGGGCATTCTTCAAGCCTAGGATTACGCCGTAAACCACCCCGGGGCACAAATGTGCGTCTCCGAACCCGTTCTCGTGATGGTAAAACAGAAGTAGCAAGTATTTGTCGTCTTCCACGCAGGAGCAGGCAGAACTGGTGACTCTGACTCTCTCAACAAGGTGCAGGGCCGGGTTCGCTTCTATATTTGCATGCAAGCCCAACAACATTGGACGAGGTTTGGAAGCTAACAAGTAATTCGTAATTAGTATACTTGGGAGATGTCTCCTAATGAACAAGCGCCCTGGACCCTATCAGATGATCTGCTATATCAGATCTCATAAAAACGTTAGTACCCATTCATTGGTAATCATGTACACTTGCTCACCTTTTGTTGGCTGTCATACTTTACCCTCTTGCCTTTTTGTTCAATGTGATGTGTTAAATCATGCAGGAGGCCTACCCCACTGCTTTTCATCATGACAAAAGGATGGAACGAGGTTGCCTGGCATTTAATATTAAACGGGTTGCTCGTCCACCCTTTTGCTAAAACTTCGACTTCCCCGTAGCAGTTCTCCTGGTTAATAATCTGTCTAAGAATCAAGACCACTCGGCCACATCAATAAATAAACACTGAGCAGCCATGGACATGCCTCAACAACGCCCTCGCGCGGTAAGCGCCGACAATATGTCTGAAGACAAAACTTCTACAAGATGCGAAAACACTGGGGAAAGCAATGATTTTATACCCGCCAATGTACGCATCAAGGAGTATTTGATGGAGCATGCGCCCATCTTTGTCAGGCTGGATGAGATCAGGCGAAAGGTACCTTGATTTGACGGTCATCGGGCCATCCCACTACCATAATTTTGAGCTCTTCTGACTTGTTCATACAGGGCTGGGAGAGCGAGGAAGGGAATCGGTTCTTCGACAGACAAAAGAGACAGGCTGATGAGGGCAGCGAGGAGACGCAGAGATATCTCAACAAGATGATGCAGGCCATTGCCGACGAGATGCAGCGGATGACGGGAGCATTCACAATTTGCGATAGAGCATACAGTGCCGTCGACAACGACAGACAGAGACGGATCCTCGACTGCTGCATGGCTCCAGGAACATACCTACAGGCAGCGCTCGAGCATAATCCTGGCGCCGGTGCTCTGGCCTTCACCCTGCCGCCCCCGCTTGGTGGGCACAAGCTGCTGCTGGAGGAAGACGAGACTCGAGGCCTAGTCATTAAGCTCCTCGATGTGACGATGCTTGCAGCCGATATGGGTGTCACGCCAGACGAGATCCCTCCCGACCACCCAGACGCGGCGGCGTTCCTACCGCAGCAGGTCGAGCCAGGCCGACACTTCGACCTGGTCCTATGTGACGGGCAGGTTTTGCGCACTCACGAGCCGCACAGGGCTGCGTACCGCGAAAGGCGCGAGGCGCGCAGGCTGACACTCACACAGCTCATTCTAGGGCTGGAGCACCTGCGGCCCGGGGGCACGATGATTGTCCTGCTCCACAAGGTCGAGGCCTGGGATACCGCATGCCTCGTGCGCACGTTTCACGCCTTCTCTACTGTGCGGCTCTTTAAGCCTCGACGGGGTCACGCCAAGCGTAGTTCCTTCTACATGATCGCGACAAACATCCGGGCTGAGGACCAGGCGGCGGTTGCAGCGGTGGAGGAGTGGAAGGCGACGTGGAAGGTTGCAACGTTTGCGAGCGAGGACGAGTATGCGGCTTCTCGACAGGAGTGTGTAGGTGTTGACGAGCTGCTGGATCAATTTGGACCGGAGCTGATATCTCTGGGACATCATGTCTGGAGAGTTCAGGCTGAAGCCCTTGAGAAGGCTCCATTCAACCGCAGGTGACCACTGAATGCTGGTCTTGTACGCAGTCCTGATTTTGAGCTCAATACTATGACAACAATGACATACCTTTTCCTGCATTGAGTACTTTTATGTCACTCAAGAGGCAGCTTCCCCGTCTTCAGACCCTCCCTCATTACCACCGTGGGTCCCACGCTGCCTGGTGTGCTTCATTTGGCGTTTTTTACATGAGCTCGAGGTAACCAAGGCAGCCAATAGCGTGTTGTACAATGTCCATTACGCTTACAAGAGTGTCGTTGGGGTGCAGGCCTACAGGGAGGAGGCCTAAAGCTATACCACGATAGTGGGTTGCTGACCATTACAGTCGCTGTGGTTCGCAAGTTTTCCAGGCTGCCCAGGCGCTGAGGCCGACAAGTTTCAGGCGGGTGGCCCCGCTAGAACAGGCTTGGCAGGCGCGGTAAGCTACTGAGGACGCCACCCGCCAGCGCTGGCCCACGCTGGCTATTTCCTTACGTAGGTGACTGCTCCCTATCGCACGATAACGGCATGCTGCTCGCAGGTCACCCCGCCGTGCCCCGCCTATTCAACGCTGCAACCCACCAACCCCTCTTCTCGACCTTCACACATATATGAGAGCAGGTTTCAAGGCCAGGACATTACGCACAGATGTCATGTGGATTTTTTTCTCTCACGGATGTCGTCTCTCTCGCTCAGACTTTCGACTGTTCGCAGCAGTTGGAAGACCATGCTGGCCAGGGCTGCTCAACTGAGGCTCGACTGAGGAGATGACATCCTGGGACGGCTACAGCATCTGACGACGAACCCCTCACTGCATCACCCCACCTACCAACACGCAACAATAGAGCCAGCAAAACCACTCTTTTCTTCTTTTTCTGTGTGAGCAGGCGCCTTTTATCTCGAGAGAAATATTGCATGGACTCTAGCCATCATGAGCCCCTCCACTATTTACCTGCCAGACGGGCAGACTTTCACCGTCCAGCCCGTCTTCGCAGGTCTGTTCTTCAAGAGTCACGAGCTCAACAAGCACCACCAGACCCCTTTCCCCGCAGGATGGACCATCGTCATACACACAGAGGATGATGGCAGTGAGTCTGATGCTATGGTCGTCGACCAGCCCGGCCACAAGAAGACCAGCTCGAACGCCACCGCACTCAACAGCAACAACAACGGCCTCGACGCGTCAGCCATCAGCCGGCCTCACATCCACTCCTTCAAGAAGCCGACACTCCAGAACGATACCCTCTACATATCGTCTATATCCAACCCCTCCTCTGCAGACTTCAAGCCTCCCGCCTCTCCCACGCGCCAGATCGCCATGATGTTGTGGATCAGCCTCTACTGGTACTTCCACCAGCCTGCACCGTCCAAAATACTCCCGCCGACCGAGAAATCAGGGCTCACAGCTGTGGAGGGAAGGCCCCGTGGGGAGTGGCGCATACAGATCAAGAGGGATGGCGTGTTGAGGGGCCGCAATCTCATACCCAAGCTGGAGCGTATGGGCCTGATCGCCAGCCTCGATTCGGCCGTGGGCTCGTCCCTTGACGACACGGGCGACGAGTGGGCCAACATGTTTGTCTCGCAGCAGATGTTCTGGCAGATCCCCGGCCGCCTCTTCCTTTTCACCCTCCAGCCAACCTCCAAAGGCGCGAGCTCACACCCCGGATCCCCGGTGTCCTCGAGGCCAGGCAGCCCGGTTCGGGACCGTGGGAGCAGCTCTGCATCTCAGCAGCAGCCCAACTCGCCAGCCTTCCACCTCACTGCAGACGTTCCTGGCGCGCCGCCTCCACAGACGCTGATGGCCAGCCCGACCTTTCCCATCGGGCCGTACTTCTCCTCCTCCCACCTGCCGACCTACTACCCGCCTGCGCCTTTGCAGTACACTTTCAGCAACAACACACGTCACCCTGTGCGGCCCAAGCCCCCGCGTATGGGCGAGGTCTTTTACACCCGTTACATACCCAGCGCTGGACAGTATTTGTCGTTCCGTGTCGCCTCGTCCAGTCCGAAGCCTGTGCCGTACCTGGGCCCCGTGTCGCCGTCCGCGGCTGAGAAGACTAAGAGCGGTTCCCACAGCCACCTCACCACGCTGTGCGATATCGTCCTTGTGCAAATGTGGCTATCGAACCCCCGTGTCGCAAAGTTCTGGGGCGGGTACGTGCCCAACTTTCTGACCAATGCGCTGGCAAGCAGGCACTCCTTCCCCGTGATAGGAATGTGGGACGGTGTACCATTTGGTTACTTTGAGGTCTACTGGGTCAAGGAAGATGTCTTGGGCCGGTACATCAGTGCCGACGACTTTGATCGGGGTATACATGTCTTTGTTGGTGAGGAATGGGCGCGCGGCAAGGTCTCGAGCTGGATGAGCGCGTTGGTGCACTGGATCTTCTGTGCGGACTACAGGACCGCAAGCGTGTGTATGGAGCCGAGGGTGGATAATGCGAGGTGAGTGTCATCCCTATATCTACGAAAGGGAGCCGAGATCCTTGTTTCCTGCTTTTCATAGGCTGACATGTCTCAAACAGGTTCATTCAGCATCTACAACACGATGGATTTGTTGGCGAGAAGCAGATCTCATTTCCACATAAACAATCCTGGTTCGGGCGTCTTCGCAGGGAGACCTGGGAGGGGCCTTCTCTGTGAGGTCCATGACAAAAGAAATACAAGACGATATACGAACGACACATTTTGCATCCATTATTGAGAGCAGCAGCACCACCACGTGCTCGCTACAGTCGGTTGCGGCACAATTTTGCACAAGATAGTGCCAATGCTGAATTCAACTTATTTATACCCACACTTATTCTCACTTGAATATTCTTGGTCTGATACCCAGTATTTCATCACCTAGATCATATGCAGCAGCGTACTTTTTATTTTGAACTCGTCGTCGTCCTTGTCACTTCCGCACGCTGGATATGTCTCCGTCCCTGGCTCTTCATTTCAATCGTTCTGCTGATCAAGTTCATTATTCATGAATTCCCGCTTCTTGTATGAGTTTTCTTCTCATCTTGCTCGGATATCGTCACTATTATTCTTCCACATTACCTGCTCCTCGTAAATTTCCTCATCTACCTTTTTCCTCGTTTGCCCTCCGAACTCTTTCTCGTCGTCGTTATTATCACACAAGCTATATACTAGTGCTCTCACTCGCCATTCTCCATTTTCTTCAGCAGTGCCCTCCTGCGGTCCGGCAATAGAGCCTGGGAGCATCGCAGGTTGTGTTTTGAGGGAGATGAGATGTTCAGGTATTATGGGTGGATCAAATTGAAGAATTAACATGGTGGGATGATGGAACCCAGGCAACATATCAAGATAAATCTTCAAATGCTGAGATATGGAAAAGTTTGTACTGTAGGTTGCTGATACTAAAACTACCAGAAGGGAATGGGGGGACGACCTGGAATACATCTATACGATGTGGACTTGGCTTAGGATCAGCATCGTCCAGTGGCAGAGAATACATTGACCTGTCAAGAAAATGACCGGCAAGTTGGGAAAACTTCAATAATCAAGTTTATTAATTTCCTATCCCTATCACTCAGGTCATCTCCTAGTAAGGCGGTGCGGCCCTGTTTTCCGATCCGCCACCTTGGAGACCAGCTGGTCTCGTACCACAAACCACAAACACACCGTCTGAAAGCTTGTATTCTACCCTCTTTTCTCATGTTTGCATCCTCCTTCACGAGAAGACGATCATTCAGAAGGAGCGATTATCGTATAATTCAGGTGAAAGGATCGTCAAGCTGCTTCTTGAAGGTGTGGCCATCTGAGGCAGTAAACCTCGCGCTCTTGACACGACGGAAGACCTCGTGCGCACCGTCAGCAGCACTACCTACCTCTCCACGAGCCATAGCAGCCGCAGTAGCAGCGGCAGCAGCCAGAGTATCAGCAGAGAAATAACTGCTGTCCTTGTTGTTGTTGTCGCCGTCCTTGTTGTTCTTCTTGTCCTGCTGCGCCTTGGATGAACCGTCGGCGCGCTCTGGCTGAGGTGTCTCTACGGGGCGTGCCGCCACAGCTGCCGCTCTCTTGGCCATGGCCTCGAGTGCCTGTGCTTCTTTCGCAGCCGTCCACACGCGCAGCTGGAACTCCTTGATCCCCTCGCTCCGCTCCAGGCTCGCCAGGCCACGACCGCCAGGCGTCAGGCCGGTGGTGGCCCGCTCGCCCGGCTGAGCGACGTGGAAGCCGTAGCTGTCCGAGGGCTTGACCAAGTCTTGCTGGGCCCACAAGCCGTCGGCGAACTTGGGTGGAGGCGTGCTGGTGCGCCAGGGGCGGTTCGGACGCTTGAACTCGGGAGAGATGGTGCTGTCCTGGGGAGGAGCAGTAGCAGCCTGCATGCCAAAGTCGGGCATCATGGTGGTGGGCATGTTATGAATGGCGTAGTTGGGATAGGCGCCGAGCTTGTTGGTGTTGTTAGTCTCGTGGGTCTTGTTCTTCTTCTGCTCCTCGGCAGTGGCGGACGTGAAGGGCTGGAAGGTGAGGGTCTTCCAGAAAGGGTCATTCTCAGGCGCCACCTCGGGGTTGCGAGGCCCGTGAAGAGTCTGCCACTCGACCAGGCCCATACCATCGCCTTTCTGGGGCGGTATCAAGCGGAGGAGGGTCGAGGGGGAAGGAGAGTCCTTGTTGGGTGTGGATTTCTTCATGTGAGGAGCCAGGCTACCGATGATGTCGCGCTGGTCGTGGACGTGATCGTACGAACGGGAAAGCAGATGGTGCTCATGGTCCATGTTCTGCGTGAGGATCGTGGAGACAGCACTGGCCTTCTCCGCCATGTCGGCTCCTCCTCCACCTCCTTGCCCATGGCCTGCACCCATGGGGCCAAGCAGAAAGTTCTTGATGCGGTCCTCGACCAATTTCTCAGCCTGGCCCTCACTCTCGCTCTCAGAAGACAAGTCGCCACGGCCGCCGCTGTCCTCACCCACGACGCCAAGTTTGGAGGCAGACCGCGGCTTGAGCGCGACGGTGGGCGAGCGAGGGATGCTGGGGATGCGCGAGTTCAGAGCCTGCACATTCTTACTGACCCCAAGCTTGCCGACAAAGCGCTGCGCGGCAATAGCAGCAGCAGCCTCGATGTCGCTGCCGTACGTGCCACTGGCGACACGACCAGCGGGGCCGTCCTGGTCCTTGGGGTCCAGGATGCCCTCGAGCCGACCCAGCTCGTCCTCCAGCATGCAGAGATCGCCCTCGGCACACACCACAATCTCGCGCAGCGCGTTGCCTGCCATGCGTAGGATCTGGTTGGGGCTCGTGGCCCAGTCCTGGCGGTGGCGCAGCGACTTGTCGTTGAAGTCGTCGAGGTCGGCACGCGTGCGTGCGATGCGCGCATGGATCAGCGCCTTCTTCTCTGCCAGCGGGTCGCACACGCGTGAGGCCAGGGCTGCTGCGTAACCCTGGATCTGTTCGTCATGGACGTCGGCGCTGGTGTCGGTGCCGCTGAGGTTGGAGAAGTCGTCGTGGGTGGCGAAGTGGGCGTAGAGGTACTCGAGACGGTCGCGGTCGTACTGGGCGCGCTTGTGAGGGTTGGTCAGGACACCGTAGGCTGCGTTGATCTGTCGAGAGAGAGGGAGGACGGGGAGTGCGTTAGTCAACATTGTTCTCTGGGTCTGGCAAATCAATTATGGCGTATGCCCTCTTTCTCTCTTTCTCTCTAGAGATTGAATTCCTTGATGGGCTGGGGAGCAACTCACAGCATTGCTGGGATGAGCAGGCTGAAGCTTCTTGATGATACCTTCATAGGCATCGTGGATGCCAGCCTGGTCGACATTGGGAGGAACACCAAGCAAGCCGTAAAGATCATAGATCACCACGTGTTGGCGAGTCACTGCCGTCTTCTGCAAGGTGTTGTATCCTTGGATACCAGAAGCCATCATGAGATTGATCAGTGGGCAGTAAATGAATGGTGATGCAATGGCCTCTGCAGAAAATGAAAAGCGTGTGTACGTATGGGAAGGCCGTTTTTCTTCGACCTTTGTTTCTTTTACCGTAGCCTGTCGCAACTATCTGGGCTACAATGGGAAGCTGAGCAGCAGGCGAGTTCAAGCGCAGAGATGCCACAATGGCTTTGAAAATAGGTCGATGGAATTGACAAAAGCAGGAAGGGAAGCTGATGAGGGTTGAGCTGCTCTTCAGTCAGATGTATTTGCTGTTTGTCTTTGATTAAATTCTGGAGACGTGTTGCGAGATACCAAAAGGGTGTTGACAAGGTCGATGGAGCGTGTATGTGTGTGTGTCAGCTCAACGACATTAGAGTGAATCGCAAAGGGCAGTGTATGCAAAAGAGCCCCAGCCCATCCTGTTCAAAGATCAAGCAATTTAAGCGGGGCACAATGATCATAGAAGCATAAGAAAAAGTTGTGTTATCACAGAATTGTGGTGTTGATGTTGAAGTCAACTGAAATTAATGCGGACTCTCCACCTTGTCATCCATCGTGAAAGAACGTGTGTGGCCACAGGCACACGCACATGCAGGCACAGCAACCTGTCTACCTCGCGGGCTACTCTCATGCAGGCAACTCCATGAGTAATCATTCTACTCTGTGACAAGAGGTAAGTCAGTCCTTACTGTACATGATCAATTCTTTGCCTTGTTGGAGGTGGTGGCTCAGGGCGAGGACCAACCTCACCAAAGGCACTTAGAAACTGATTATGCGAGATACCCTTGACGTGTGCCAGGTGCCATGTTCTGGTGTCTCAGTGCTTTAAGAACTAAAGGAAAAGCTTCGGTACTGGTTTAATTGTACTGTAGTTCTTAGTAGTCAGTTCATCTGAGTCGACCTGTGTTCCATCCATTGTAATATCTTGTCCAGGTATTTGAGTGCTGAAAAGAAAAATAACCCTGACAACCAACCCTGAAGATGTATGAAAGCGAAAGTCTGCAGGCAAGGCAAATGGAATGCATAAACTTTGTGCATCAACCCTCAAGCAGGGCTTCGTCCATCTGGGCCACGTCACAACACATCATGCAGTAATACGGTGCTCAGGCTCATCAAAAGTCTTGAAAGTAGGTGGTCCATTAAGATATAACTAAATGGTAATATTGAATGTCAATGCCCATGTGCACTGTTGATTTTATCCAGTGCCACAGGAATTAAAATGATTTATCCTTTCCAAAGTGGACTCACTCTTCTCGAGTGTTTTGTCCGTGGTGAGTCCTGCCCCAACGCCTAAGCATGCTATGAGGCGAATCCATCATACATGCGATGATCCGGATGTTATTTCCTCCCAAAGCCTTCCCATCATGTGCACATTTCTCTCTGTGTCAGGGTTCTCCCCTTCAGCCTCGTATTTAGAAGAGGGCGACGGCAGCACCGACACCGAGGACGAGCGACAGACCGCCCATCATAGAGTTGGAGGAGGCGGCCGAGCCGGAGCTTGTGCTGGAGGAAGCGCTGGCTGTCGAGGTGCCAGTGGAGCTGTCACTGCTCGAGTCCGTAGAGGTGGCGGTCGAGGTGGACTTGGATGAAGAGGCGGTAGTGGTGGAGTTGGAGATACCGCTGACGCCGACGCTGCCGGTGGCAGCAGATCCGCTGGAGGTGACAAAGGTGGTCGCGGCACCGGTGGCGACACCAGTGGCAGACAGGCCGGGGACCACAGTGGACAGGGCCGTGCCCGAGATAACAGAGCTCTGGGCCATGGCGGAGGTAGCCAGGAGGGCGGCAACGGCGAACTGCTTGAAGGCCATTTTTTTTTATTTTTTTTTTTGGTAGAGTTTGTTGTTGGGAAAGGTTGAAAAAGGGGCGGACGAAGTTCCTTAAGGAAGACGAGCGAGTGTGTCGAGAACTTGTGTGAAGAAGCTGTTCTTTATCGCAAGGTTGAGGCTTTGAGCGAATGTAGTTGGACACAAGGAAACTTGGTATTAAATTGATACGAGCCGCGAGAGGGATGAAGAGAGAAAAGAGAGAGACCAAGGGAAATCACCCGAGGAAAAAAGTGTTCTCTTGTCGATATTAATATAAGCCGCGTACGTGTACGTGTGTACTCACTACTCACTTACGCAGCCTGACGAGTCTGATCAAAAGAAAGGTCAGACCCCTGGCGTCGTAGGGCTCGTGTTTGTGCGTACCCCCGATCAAGGTTGTACACAGGTGGACCCTCCCTTTCCGACCCTCTTCCTCGGCCGTTGCGAGAGCCTTTCCATAAGAGCCATAGCCCCATGCCATGTGAACCTTGGGGGGGAAATGTCGTCCAACCCTTGGACCATGTTCTTTCTCCTTGGAAGGTCGAAGCGAACCGGCTCCTCACGGCCAATGGGCCCTGCGTTTTCTGGGGCTTCTCTGCTCTCAGCCTTCCTCTCAGCTGGCCCACATCAGCATGAATGTGGAACCCCTTTTTTTTTAATGGGCCCGGGGATCGACGTCGTGAACTCTGTCGTCGTCATCTGCTGCCTGTGTACCAGACATAGTATGTACTACAGTACATAGTACGTAATACTGTGTATGGGCATGTCTAAGGGGGCAAGCAAAGCCTAGGGGAAGCCCTCTCACACAGTGTCAACTCCTAACTTGTCTCTTCCTAGTCAGCAGGCTGCCTGCCATTCCAAGCCACTCCTTTTTTATTTTTTGGGTGGGTGGTGTGAGACACTTCTTACGACTTGTAATACTGTGCTATAGTTGTACGTACGCAGTAATAATAGATCTTTGACGTGTCTCTGCTCCCCAGCCTTCCTGATTGCCAGCAATTGCCACTGTCGTGGCAGTGCGTATTGATTCGGCTGACAACCTGACGGACAACCTGACGGCGAAGAATAAGTGGACGTGCCCACTATTGTCCAAAAGGTCAGGCGCTCTGTGGTCGGTCCATCGAACGGCCCCAGTGAGTGCTGGAAATCAGTGAACAGTCACCAGGTTCCCCAGCTTGCTATAGGCAAATCAATTTCCGCTGATCGAGATCCCTACCTTCCAATCTCCGGGAGACCTTGTGGTCTCATTGTCAAGCGAATCCGTTGAAAACTGGTTCGCTTAGTACAGTAATATTCCATGATGTGATCAGGCGACCATACAAAAGAAAAAAAAGAAAAAAGAAAAGAAAAGAAAAGAAAAGGAAGGGCGCTGGTTTTGGGACCTTACAATGCATTGCCACATGGAAGAACGAGACGGGCCCAGAGTCAGCCACCAGCAGTTTCAGTGCCAGCCAGTGAATTTTGGGATTGACCAATTCTGTACTGCCAGCCAAGGCACTGGTTGTTCCAAAAATAGGGACGGCAGCCAGCGTGGCAGTGGCACTGGGGACGCTGACTCTGCATGAAGTGGCGGCCCGCATGACCTAAGCATTCGCCTGGCGATCAACCCCGTAAATTAATCCGTTCCTCAAATACAGTGTCTTTCTTGAGTGCCGGACTTCTGCTGCCGAAGGACCCGCAATCACGATCCAGGTCCAAGAAAGAATGCCACCATGTAACCAGCTTTTCTTTCAATGATGTTGCTTCCAAGTTTTTCTTTCTTTACCCCCTCCCCCTTCTTCGTATCTTCCAATACAGAATACGATGTTTAAAAGTCAGGATAGGCTTAAAACCTCAAAATAGGAATCGAGCCCGGCTTTTGTTCTTGTTAATGTTGCGGGCCCTTCAATAGTTCCCCGGTTTGCACACGAGACGGTGGGATGCATTGCACAATCGATAAACGGCGGCACCGGAAACAGGTCATTGACCGAGTGAGGCGAGCTCTGACCTTTTCTCAAGGTTTCGCCTCTGGCAGCAATGATTTCTCGGTGAGACAAACATGCAGACGACTTGCAAAGAGCAAAGAGCGCTTGCTTGTCCGTCCACTCACTGGCGTGATGGATAATGAGAAATAGGGGGAAAGGGTGTTGTGGTATCCGCAAGAGACACTTGGGCCAACATATCCCCTGAATTTCCCTCTTGTCCCTTGTCATACTCCGTTCTCAGCCTTGAAAACTCAGGCCTGGCCATATGCCCACAGAGCAGACGACGGCTTGAGGTTCCCCTTCCTGATGATCAAAACTTAACCCCATCCCATCTCCAGGACCGCCTTGACGAACGGTCGAGACCAATTGTTCCCACATAGGAGAGTAGAGCTGGAATGATCTCCACGGAACGGGTACAATGAAATATAGATCGCCGGGTCCCACATACCTATAAGCTGCTATTTCATTACCACTGCCTATAGTGCGCTATCGTCTCTAATGTGTGGTTGACCCCGGACCTCACCGCCGGCACTGATCTAGACCATCCCCCGCCCTCGCTTCGGTCGACGTTTTTCCCCCCACAACCAGTAATTTTGGAGATCGATCGGCCGGCCATAGCATCTTATAAGGTGTTACCGAATGAACTGTGTGTATGGCATGCTCGGGCACTCGCGAAGCTCCATCCTTCCCGGGGAAAACGCCGCCCTCGTATCCCGGCCGGATGGCTGAGACCGGTGAGCCCGTGGCATGTGATTTTTTTTTTTGTATATTGAAGGCAATGTGCGGCTGCGGACAAATGCTCCTTGGGGAAGGTCATTTTGGAGATGAATCCGGTCCGAGGGACATCGTTATCGTAGGAGTGGCAGGATGCATCCTACTCGATGCTTTTGATCAGTGTCGACTTGACTTTACAGTGCCTTCTACAATGAATACGTGAAGGGTTAGGGTTCTAGCGGATGTCTCAGAGTGTGAGAATATGTCGTCGGACAGATTACCTACAGAAGAGGGACAAGAAGTGAGTGCACTGTAAGCACCAGCTGGACCCTCGAGCCTTTCGATCGATTGATTGGACATGTCCAAAACTTTTTCATTCATTTCAAGCGTACGGAATGGTGCAGCGACTTTGACTTACTTAGGCTTTGCATCTTGGACGCGTTTGGGCCTCCTGTTGACGGGGCTCGAAGCGTTTCGGATGTAAAACGTCCAGCAATGAGAATGACTTGAGAGCAAACACACCAGCAGTAGAATAGTTTTATTCTTCTCTTTCCTCATCAGACCTGCTTAGTACCCAAAATAATCATCATAATATAAAATGTCCCCAAAAACAGTTCTCATCACGGGCTGCAGCCAAGGAGGAATAGGCGACGCCCTGGCCCGGGAATTCCATGCCCGCGGCCTGATCGTCTTCGCTGCGGCGCGCGACCTCACCAAGACGTCCTCCCTGAAAGAAATAGGCATCCACACTCTCGAAATGGACGTCACAGACACCGCCTCCATCAAGCAGGCAACAGAGACAGTGCGCCAGGCCACAGGCGACCACGGCCTCGACATCCTCATCAACAACGCGGGCGTGACGCGCATCCTGCCGTTCGCAGACTGCCCGGTCGAGGACATGCGGTGCATCGTAAACACCAACGTCCTCGGCTCCTTCGCTGTTACGCAGGCGTTCCTGTCAATGCTAATCCAGGCCAAGGGAACCGTGGCCAACATCGGGTCCGTCAATGAGGTGTTTGCGCCCGCCTTCAACGCCGTCTACAATGCCAGCAAGGCGGCGCTGACGGCCTTCTCCAGGACCCTGCGTGCTGAGCTGGCGCCGTTTGGGGTCCGCGTGGTTGCCATCAGGACGGGCGGCATCAAGACGAACATGACGCGCGCCGAGGGAGACAGGCTTCCTGGAGACAGCCTGTACCAGCCCGTGCGGGAGACGATCGAGCGGCGGACCTGGATCAGGTACGACTCGTTCCCTACGCCGGAGCAGTATGCAAAAAGGGTGGCCCACGACTTGCTCGGCCGGCCTGGTCCTATCCTGTGGCGAGGAGGCATGTCCACGGCTGCACGGCTTGCGGATATCTTTGTTTCGCCAGTCTTATTAGTAAGTTAATCACGGGCTTCAGGGGGGGTTTCTCGAATCTTGTGATTGCTGACATGTGTCTTGATGAAAGGAACACATTATGGAATGGCATATAAGTTTGAAGAAGGTAAAGACCGTGCGGCAAAAGGGAGGACTTTAATCGGTGCTATAACAAGATCACCGGACTTATTTCCCCAATGACCTTGATGTAATACCATCAGATTATAGAATTAGATGGATGCACTAGACACAAAGATTACAGTATTATATGCAGGCATATACAAGTTTATAAATATAATCAGTAATTATATTAAAAGGAAGTATCATGAGATTTTTGACACAAGTCATCTGTATTCTGCACAAGCCCATCATCGAGCATCAATGATATCATCTGTTGTGAAGACAGATCCATTCTCATCAATAAGCAAGACACGATAACCCCTTAATACCTGTAAATGCGCCCTCAATCTACGAACTCGTCACGTAGCAAGTATCCAAAATCGGCAGACAAACTGCCGCCCCCGCGCTACAGTACGAGTTCACAATACAAGCCTGTCCCGCCCCACAGTCCCCGTCCTTCGCACAGGTCTGGCCTGTTCCACACTTGCCACACGAGTCGCAGATCGCCGTTCCGTTAACGTCTGTGTGGCAAGCGCTGTATCCCGTCCTGCTCCCCGTGTTGCACCCCATGTATGTACTTGGCAGCGCGTACGAGCTGTAGTTGTACGGCTGCAGGCCTGCACCGCAACCGCCAGCAGTAACGACGGCGGTGGCGGTAGATGTAGTAGACGATGTGGAGGTGGATCTGGACGCGCTGCTGGAGACAGGAGCAGTCGTGCTACTGCCACTGCTGGAGATAGAAGAAGCCGTACTGCTGCCACTGCTGGAGACAGGAATGGTCTTGCTGCTACCACTGCTGGATACAAGAGAAGCCGAGCTGCTGCCGCTCGTGGAGACAGGAGTAGTCGTGCTGCCGCCGCTGCTACTGCTCAGGATGGCAGAGACCAGAGAGCTGATGCTGGAGATCTCTGCCGAGTTGGTGAGGGTGGTGACGGGCACGAAGGAAGAGCTCACGAGAGAGACGCTGGGGAGAACTGATGGGGAGACTGAGCTGATGGGCTGTGACGATGTGACCGGGATGCTCGACACGATGCTCAGGCTCATCGCTGGTGGTGCAGAAGACGATGTCGATGCCTTGGTGCTTGTACTCGCTCCCTTGCTGGTGATGGTGCTGTTTGGCAGGTTGTATGTTAGACACGCGCAAAATGGAAATGAACATTGTCGAAATGTGGTCAGATGTCGAAGATTGGGGTGGAACACTCACACTGTGACGCCCTTGACGGTAGTCGTGACGACTGACGTAGCCTTCACAACAGCCACTGTGGTGGTTGTCTTGCCCAGCAGAGTGGCAGTAGTTGTTGGCGCTGTGTAGCTGGAGACAAAGCAAGAACACGCAGATGACATGGAAGACGAGGCCAGGTTGAGTCCGGCTATCGCTGCAAGGGCTGCGAAGTCGAGTATGGTCCGGCCTTCGAGGTCAGAAACATTGTCGAGGGCAGCGTCGGCATCAACATCACGCTTGGCGTTGACCACTACTGTCGTCGTGCCAGCCAAGTTCGTCACGGTCTTGGTAGACACCAAGGTCGTGGCAACAGTCCTGAAGGTAATTAATAGCGTCAGCGATGGGAACTATTTCTTCCCTCTTTGAGAATCCTTTCTACACTTACACCGTGGGCGAGACTGTGGCGGTCACAGTTGGCGTCTTGGCTGCCAGTGTGAATGCCGAAGCACAAAAGGGAGCTGCGTATGCCGGCAGGGCAACCATGAGTTTTGCTAGAGCATCGTTGGCGCATGTCGTGGCTCGGCCTTCGATGACTGCTGCGGTGCTGGCAAGTCCTATCAGGCCAGAGAGGGCGAGGGTAAAGGGGGTGCTGGAGCGCATGTTTTTGACGGGTGAACTGCTAATAATGTCAAGATGGTGTAATATCAAGAGAGTGTGGATAAAGACACAATCACTGCAGGAAATGAATGACTAAGATAAAGACCAGAGGCGGTCGTCCGGCACAAGAGAAAGATAACAATTAAACAATGAAAGAGCGTGAAGTGATGTGCGATTGCAATAATGATGGGTGGGCAGTCTGACACAGAAACGCGGTTCTGATCTATGTTATATAAAACTTGTTTTCTCTCCTCATATACGCCCGCTCCCTCTTTGTACGAATGAAACAATAATCTCAAATGTAGTGTGTCCCGCTTTGACTTCCTGCGAGTAGCAAGTGCCATAACACCGCACTCCTGTGTTGATAGCGAGCAACCCCAGCGAAGACGGCGCCAACAAGTTGACAGCATAATGATCGCGTGCATCTAGAACACCCGGCCCCTCGTATTTCCCCCACCAGCCTTGTGGGCCGACCGAGCTGAATCTTCTAGGGACAAGTAGGCTGCTTGGCCGGCGCCGATTTGTACACCACAACACTGGTATCGGCAACGGCCCCGGAGGCTAGAGGATTATTTGAAACGACGGGACGGCCATGTGCTCAGGCCACTAAGCTTAGCTACGGGGAACCACAGGGGATTTCACAGAAGCCATGAGGAGAGTAGTGGCAATGTAGTTAGCAAAAGTGGTGGGGACTCGAAACGGAAATGTGTAGAATCCTTCTCTAGTGCCTCTTTATTCCACGTTGAGATGAAGAAAACAAAGGACTAAACTCCTAAGCAATGAGAAACAAGTTGGCCGATGACGGGAACGCCGCCCCTAATGCTAGCGATAGGTTGCCCTTCTGGTAATACTGATGATCTTTCCGAATTTCTCTTTCCATCTTTCTCTCTCGCCCTCTCTCCCTCTATTCTTCCCTTGGCCCAAAGGGCCAGAGCAGTTTTGAAAGAATCCACATAACACCGTGCGCAATGCTGTACACCAACGCTACAAAAACTAGGACGAAGTTGTGCACGGGCGAACCCCCAGCCGCGAGCACCTCGGACCACGCACCAAATGGATCACCACGGCGGCCCCTCTGCACGATCCCCAGGGCCCAGTTGAAATCGGCAATCGCATCGTTCGCCCATTCCGCGAATATGGAGGCTTTCTTGGGCGGCTGGCGAACCTTGGGCCAAGAGTTGGGAAAGCTTGCGGGCCCACTCTGCTTACCCTCAAAGTCCTTGAGCGTGAGCGTGTGGTCCTCGTGCTGCCGCTGCTGGACGCTCTCCTTTGTGAGTTTGGCACGAATGCGGTCTTTCTCCTCAGGCGGATTGGCGTTCCACCATTTGTCGATGGCAGTGAACATGTACTGCTGTATTGGTGTTTTCTCCCTCGGGAAGGCAGGATGGTGTAGGACGGTGAGGATCTCGTCAATGCAGCGGTCAGCGTCCAGCTTGGAATCGTCCCAGCACCTGACGACCTGCTGCACGGTCCAGTTCGTGGTGATAGTTGCGACAAGGCCGGCTGGCTGGTTGAGGACGTTGCTGAAGTGGTCCTTGGACAGGTCCGAGTGGCTAGGATCGGACGCGGTGCCATCCAGGTAAACCTGCGCCGAGTCGGCTTTCGCAGCTTCTTCGTCAACCCGATCTCGTGCCGCCTTGACGGCGTTGCGTAGCGCCCGGACAGAGGACTCAATCATGATGGCGAGGTACTTGAACACGAGCTGGTTGGTATATTCCCCGAGCTGGCCGTGGGAATAGTCCTCTATCGACTCCTCGGTGTCTTCCAGGCCCTCATGCAGATATTTGGAGACCCTGTCGTGGAGGTAAAGGACAGGTTCGATCGCCTGCCACAGCACGTTCGCATCGGTGATGGTGACCTCATCTGTTCTAGTCTCCTTGTTGTCGTCGTCGTCGTCGTCGTCGTCGTCATCGTTCTTGTTGACAGGTGCATACTTCTTAAAAATTTCGCCGACAGCCTGCAGCTGGCTCAGGAGCGGGTCGAGGTCGGGCTGAATCTTGCTCAGTTGTTCGATACCGGTCTTGATGAGCTGGAAGAGCTGTTCAAAGGCCATGCCGCCGTAGTTGAGCTTCTTAACCATCGTTGTTAGCATTCGACTACAATCTGTACTCAGGTGAAAACTAATCAAGACACTCACACTCTCAAGCTCTCCCAGGGAGCCCTTGGACTGTAAGACGGCCTTGTCATCGGCCTCACCAAGTAACGAGTGGAAGATGTCTAGCATGCCAAATGTCCCTGTCACGATAGGCGCGACCATGTTTCCCTTGTTGGGCCCATGCGGGACCTTGACCCGACATGCGTCCCCGACAAAGGCAAAGACTTCTTCTTCTCCCAGCTCGCGCAGACATAGCTCGGTAAAGTTGCTGTGCGCCGCAAAGTCCTCCAGCGTGTGAAGCGCAGCTCCGAGATGGCGGAACGCATCCTTCTTTGCGGCGCTCTGGTGCTTCCGCCGACCTCTCCGCCCCAGCGCGATGCACGTGGACAGCTGATCTCTGATATAATCGGCAGCCGTGTCCCAACCTTTGCCAGAATTTGCGATATAGTTTTTCATGCCGGTTTGCGGGTCCATCTCCAGCTCCCTCGGATCGACAGGGCCCCTCAGGCGGCCGTCAATGTCCTGAGCATTATCTGGGTATCCACTCGGATTATCGATGTGCTCCACGTGTGTGTAGCAGCCTAGCCTCTCCCGCGTGACGTCGAATTCGTCGGTGGCAAAGCCAAACTCCATAAAGGCCAAGACCGAGACGATGGCGCGGAGGATGGCCTCGGGGACGTTCTCCAGACATGTCGTGTCGATAACCTGCGAGAAATCGCGCAGCCAATTCCCAAAGTAAACCTGCTTGCGCTGCAGCTTCGTGAAGCGATAACCCGTGAGGAACGACGACGGGAGGTACTTTAGGATGTCAGCGAGGTCACCGTGGCGCCACACCATGCCCTTGAACTCGCTGCCAGCTGGAACCTCGCCAGCGCCAAAGGCGGCGGCAGGGCGCACTAGGAGGAGACATAGGAAGATGAGGATAAGGAGGGAGGTGGCGGAGGGCATCGTGCTATTGCATATCCCCCATCGTGATGTTGAAGAGGGAAGAAGTCCTGCGGTTTTTTTCTCTTCAAGTCGAATTTTTTTCTTTCTTCCATTGTTCCTGCCTTGGCTTCTTGTTCACATGTCAAGCAAATGACGTCGACCAATGGCCGGAGCAAAACACCCGGAAGCCCGCACGTGGCTAGCAGCTTTAGGCCCGGATAGAAGCGGGCCTCACGATGCCGGTGTACCCATAGTGCAATACCTCACATTTGGGCATCGAATGCTGTTGAGCATATACAATTTCCTTGGAAGTATCAGCCCATGGCAACAGAAAGAAGCTTACGCAGTCCTCAAGTAATTATTGAATGCAATTGTGCAATAATTGAGAGAAGGAAAGTCTCGGCAGAAATTCGCAAAGAGAAAAAGTAGCCGATTTCAGGTGGTTGATGGGGAAAAAGAAAACTTACAGCGAAGAGCAAACATGTCAATCCGGTCCCTGTATATGCCTAGTAGATGCGCTGGGGAGGGTGGCATGGATGCGTAATTAGTGAATTCAGTATCAGATAATATGACTGTAAGTCATCTGCTATGTCAACGAAAAAGACGCGCAATGGACAACACCACCACTCCTGATAGGCATGCCCATATAGTTCATCATACTGTTAGTTACTGCCAAATAGGCTGCAGATTGACGAATCACACTTGATATCGATCCAACATGATGGTCAATACAAGCAGAAACTACTGCAACGGTCCCAAGCTTGGCAGGGGTCTTGCAGATGTGCACTGCTGAGACAACCATAAAACTTTCTGCCATATCATAGCATGGTCTGGACTGTTAGGCTTGGCTTGCGGGCGAGGCTGAGAGTTGGGACACCTTCAATTTTCCATGCTGGAATTTGAGATGACACCCTTAAGCAGAACCACAGAGCCCTGGCGTGTTGTCATGATGTCTCAAGCGACCTTGGCCTGAGACAAATCAAAACCTGTCGTATGTCACAGGCCGCTCTCCCCGCCACGGCCTGCCAACTTGTGCCGCCTCTCTGGCCCTTTAATTTCCTCAGTCTCAACTTAGAACACTGATCTTTTCCTTTTATTACTTCGAGCAACTCTCGATGACTCCCAAGCATTACACTGTCTGCCTCCAGTGACGTTGGTCTTGATGGGGCGCGTCTCTCCCTTGGGACTGAGTCGAGATGCTTGAAACAATGAGGCGGTGTCATTTCATTCGTCGATCACAGCCTGTATTGAGTACGGGCACCCCTCTTAGGACAAGAACTTGGGGAAAGTCCGAGGGAGCAGGCGCATTGATTAAATTTCTCTGGATGGTACCCCATGGCTTAGCTATTCTCGTTCGAGGGGACAAGCATGGAGCGAACATATCACAGAAAGCTCTAGAGCCAAAACTCTAGATCCATTGTCGAGCAAGAGCATCTGCATATTGGAATTATCAAATATATTTCTGATTATTCATAAAACATTTAGACCAATTTGTGACTGTGCTTTTGACGCGATATCCTCAAACTTTGCCTGATGCCATATCTCGACCGTCATTACCCTTAAGCTACTTTGACCGCACATCATGGCGCACCCTGGCAAGCTCATTTTGATTCCAAAAGAAGAAGGGAGGGGGGTTGTCATGCTTCTAAGGCAGTGCCTGAGGGGTGTAGCTCTGGTCCGGTGTCACAACAGTACCGTTCTGAACCTGCTTGTCGGTCTGCCCAGTGTTAGAAACCTGCTGCATAGGCCAATGAAAGCCCTGTTTCGGAGTCCTAAAGGGTTAGATTACTCACATATGCCGGGTATACAATAAGATTGGCGGCGTAGTTGACCACCGCAAAGGTTGTCTACAGGGTTATGGGTCAGTCAATGTTTCCTCTCTTCCTCCGCCTTGGCACGCCTCCTCGGTGAGACTCAGGGGAGTAAGTGACGTACGAAGCCGTTTCCAGGGCCAAACTGGCCGCTCCATCCAGAGGTCACAGTGTACACCTATGAGATTCGTTAGAATAATCACCAATCTATTATCATGATCATCACATCGCTCGGTGGAATTTCTTACACCACAAGTCGCGGGTCCCCCGTTGGTCTCAGAGGCCGGTGATCCGGTCACAGTCTCAACACAAGGCGTGGTGCCCGTGCCGTTGTTGATGCCGAACGACCAGGTGCAGCTGGTGTCTGCCGCATCGCAGGTGCGTACCAGAGACGTGATGGTCCATGTCTCCGCGTCGGCCATCATGGAGATGGCATCGGCCCTGGGCCGCGACGGGGCCGCGACGGCAAGGGCAGACAGAAGGGAGGGGATCAGAAGCTTGATGGAAAGCATTTTGGAAGGCAGGTGATATATATTTAACGAGGTCTTGGTATCGTCCACTATGGTGTTGTGGCAGGATAGAGAAGAGCCAAACCAAACACTCATCCATAGGCTGGGTGTGCCTCCTTTTATATACATTCAACCTCACACCACGATGGCCTGGACGACGTAGGGACGACGTATAGGCGCCCAGGCTGTCTCACTTTTGTCTTCAATTTTTTTTAACCTTTCCCATGCATATTGAGTAATATCCGCACAGGACGTGAGGGCAACTCGGTAAAAGTCCCCCTCCCCCCCCCTTGCCTTAGGTACCAAGACGTCATGAGGATTCCTGTGAAGGAGCCAAAACTCGTACCAGCGCATCGGCCAAGTGAGCACTACAACATCATGGTCCAGCCCAAACCAAGCTTCTCCTGCCATTGTTGACTAGTTCTAAAGGTCACCTGGCCGCGTAGCGAGTGTTCAACATGCCATTCTACCCAAAGAACTCCGATGTTTGTGTTTCCCCTAAGGGGGCCAAAAGGCACTGAAGGGTACCATCGAGCCGTGAGATCGGCAGCTTGGCCTCGTATTCAACCCTGTTCTGTGGGGAAAATGGCCTGCCGCTAGACACCAATCCTGCAAGCAACCATCAAGACACGGTGCTCGGCTCGCGCAGTCCGCATCTGGGTGAATACATTAAGCTTAAAACAGGCGAGAGGGGGCGGTCTGCTGCTGGCTGTGCCCTCAAGCCCCATGCGAAGGGGGGTTTTTAAGTCATGGCCCAGTGGATTTGTGAGATTTTGGCATCGAACGTTGAGGCTGATTTCTCTGGGTACACGGCTCCACCCTTGTGTTCCTTGAACCAACGGGTTGGCGATATTCCCGGCCCATCGAGAGTTGCTCCCGAGGTCCCGAGCCAGCTGCCCATGTCAGGCGGTATTACCATCCATGGAACGTTCCATTTCCTAGGGAGATATGGAGAGTTTGTAGAGTATTGTTCTCTGTTCTTATTACTTTCCTTCTGTTTCTTATGAAACAACCTTCAGTGTGGAGAAAATTCGAGAAACGCCGCACCAGCAGCGCTGGGGATCCTCATTTGCCACAGCACTGACCCCGTGATCTGAATTCTGTGGATTTGGAGGCGGTAGCTCGATTAGACAACGTGGTTGAGATGTCCTAACCTTGTCTCAAAAAAGTGAGGACATCTTTTCGGATGAAGAGCTGTGGCTTCTGAGTCGCAGCATCCCTCACACTTTATTTTTGCATTCTCACTCTATTTTTCCTATCTTTTTACTTTCATCTCTCCCCAAGAAAAAAGAAGAAAAATCCTCAAGACTTCCAATCTCCCCTATCCTCTATTCTTTTCTCGCTGTCTCCCACCCACAGTGTTTCAACGATAGTCCAGGGAGAATCACTTGATTGTGGCACAGATCAATCCTCAGATGAACCATCTCTGAACTTCACATATTGATTAGGGCCCAACTATCAGCGTCGACTTGGACGATCTGCGGCTTCAGGCACGTATTGTGTACAATCCATGACGCGGAAGCATACACCGACATCCTTTCAATACAGAGACACGTGTTGGCGCTTCTGTGCTAGCCATTACCCATATCATGCAGCATCTGTGATACCTTGACTCTCAGCCGTGCAGTTGTCTCAGTGTAGCAATTATCTTGACGAATAGAAATCGAGATCCTGGGAGGATCCGACAGGATACTCCGATCAGTACTTAGAAGCATGGTAAGCCACTTCCGAGGACTATTGGTATCTTGGCCTCCACACGAATTGGGCCCGAGAAACATTTACAAGGAAGCATCTCACCACCCTCAAAAAGGTTTGGTTTCTCAACCTAATTGCTGACACTCTTGTCACCAGACGGTACGGACTGGGTTCTGCTAGGATTGCTTGCTGGTGATTATTCTGGGATGATGTATGCTGCGGCGAAGACCTGCGAAATTTCACTACAACGCTGTTGTTCTCATAAATCATCAAAAGCGGTCGTATAAGTGCCTGGCCCTCGTCGAGCAAATTGAGAATAGACCTCTTGTGCTAAGAACGAAGTATTGGCCAGATTTGATGCTAAGGGAGATACGACGCTCGTGATGCCTCCATGAAGGTTTCCCAAGAGGGGTAAACCTGCAGGTCACCAAGAAAGAATCTTGGGGTTACCCTCTCCCTTTATCCGGCCTTGCGACACCCCTTCTGAGCTGGAGCCCCAATTGCTGATCATGTCGTCCGCCTTCGCTATCCCTAGATTGTCACACATCGGAAAATCAACCTCGGGTAATGATTACCGGATTGTTTACCGGGATTGAGTTTATGCTGTGGACTCATTATAAGACAAACCCCGCGTTGTGGAATAATGGAAGCACGATTTCAAGAGCGGGCTGCGCACTCAATGAAACTTTTCCCCGCTCGACCACACTAACCAGCCCTCCTTCTCTGTGATCATCGAAATTTTGATTTGACACAATGGGCAAGACGAGTAGCGCTGAAAACTTCGAGATTCCTGCAGAATGCATCGCGGGCGTCGTCAAGAACGAGGGGCCGAACTTCGAGGTGGAGGTGAAGATGGTTCCTGTGCCCAAGATTGGTAGGTCAAGATCTCCACCGAGGGGCTCTACAGCAGCGACAACAAGAAGTGTCAAGGTCTGTCTGTCTTCTACACATGCTCAGGTGCCAACTATCTCTTCCAACAGGTCCTGAGGATGTCCTCATCAAGATGAACGCCACGGGTCTCTGCATGTCGGACGTCCATTTTATGATGAGCGACTGGGGAATGTCCCAGATGTCCACCTTCGGCACCATCTGTGCCGGTCATGAGGGCTCAGGAGTGATCGTCAAGGTGGGCGACCGGGTCAGAAACCTTAAGATCGGCCAGCGGGCGGGCATCAAACCCTTGCTTGACGTGTGCGGTATCTGTGAACAGTGCAGACACGGCCGGGATAATTACTGCCAAAAGGGCGTTTTCACTGGCCTGCACGCCGATGGTCAAGCTTCCCCTTGAAAGAAAACTAGAATTCAGTCTTCTGATGACTGAATGGTGATTTACAGGTTCCTACAAGCAATACGTCAAGTCACCTGAACGGTACACGACTGTCATTCCAGAAGGTCTGGATGACTACGTTGCAGGGCCGGTGATGTGCTCTGGCTCGACAATGTACACGGCTCTGAAAGCCTCTGGTATCCAACCAGGCCAGTGGGCTTGTTTCCCAGGCGGAGGTGGAGGTGTAGGTATCCAAGGGGTCCAGCTTGCATCCGCAATGGGTTTTCGACCCATTGTCATCGATACAGGATCGGAGAGAAAAGCCTTAGCTGAAAAGATGGGCGCAGAAGCTTTTGTAGACTTTAAGGAAGTTTCGGATCCGGCCGCCAAGGTACTGGATATCACCGGTGGTGGTGCACATGTAGTCTTCGTAACGGGTATGTATTGATCTCGTCAGAAGGAGACGAGTCTTGAGTATCTGCTGACAGTCATTCTGGCAGCTATTCAAGCCTATCCTAATTGTATGGATTACATCGGGGCGAGACCTGGTGCGACAATCATGTGGTATGTCTCGCAAGTTTCCTGTATACCTTTTCCTTCTTGTCTTGTATAGCATGACTCACATATTGACGAGAAATGCAGCATTGGCCTCCCACCTGAAGGCGAGTTCCACTTCAACATCGACCCTAAGCGCGTTGCATTCCTGAATCAAGGCGTCCGGGGCACTATTATCAGTCCTCTGGGTGACATTGACGAAGCGCTTGACTTTGCAAAACGAGGTAGGCTAGATATCACACGTCAATCATCGTTGAAAACAATGAGTAGCCCACTAATGACATTGTTTAGGGAAACTTCGCCTCAAGCCTACAGTCGTGGGCGTTTCCAAGTGGAACGAAGCCGTCCAGAAGCTGAGGGCCGGTCAAGTCGCAGGGTAAGTGTCTTTCTCTTTACAGGCCTATTTGAATAGGCCAAGCTGACCCAAGTCATCTCTTACAGACGCATCGTGGTCGATTTCAATCTGCCATGAACCTTCTGTGGGAGGATCTAAGGTGCTGCCAGTGTTAGGACGCTGATTATCGTCATTTTCCCATGTGCTCACTGGGTCCTTTTCAAACTTTCGATCATTGCATTTCATTTAAGCGAGTCACTGCCGGCAACTTCGGATCTTTCTTGTCGTATCATTGGGAGAGGAGTTCCAAGTGACCCGTCTATCATCAAGTCGAAATGGCGAGTGTTGGAGGGTGGATCTTCATCCCCTTATATGCGCCCCACTCATTTGGCGGTGAGCTTTTGTCTTTAGAAGTCATCATGCTCTTTAATTCATACTCGATGGCAGTCGTACGTGATTCTGTTATTCTCTGTTGGAAAAGGATTGTTTTCTCGCATGCGCAACTGTCACCCCGAACTTCTGCCAGATCCAAATTGCCCGGCGACGTCGGCCCCGGCCTCCACCCCGGCGCAGGAATAGCAGATCGTGAATCGAGCCCAGACAGCACAGGCCGGAAGCCTGGATCTATGCCTGGAATTAAAAGAATGGCTTTTCAACACCACCGTATCCGGGTCGCCATGCTGAATGCCGACACTTCCAACCCAAATACATATGCTAACATGGGGACGTTTGGCGACATCCTGCACTATGTCTTGGCTGCAGCTGCGTCCAGATTGTCCACCGGCCTAGCCATCGAGCATGAGACTTTCGACGTTGTCCGCGGCGAGTATCCTGCTTCGGTCTTCGGGTTTGACGCTGTTATGATCACTGCGTCCTCTGCATCGTCATACGATGACCAGCCTTGGATTCGAACACTCCAAGAGTACTTGATGTCACTATATCAAGAAAATTCGCATATCAGGATATTCGGCAGCTGTTTTGGGCATCACCTTATTTGTCAGACTTTGTTGGGAGGGTGTGGCGTTCGAGTCGAAAAGCACCCAAATGGCTGGGAGGTCGGTGTCAGCAATGTGGCGTTCACCAGCGACTTTATGAAAGCTTTCAGTCAGTCTCACAGTGTTGCGAGTGGCTTTAAGCAAGGTTCTGGCCGGTTACCGAGTCCAGAAGCTGAGGACGTCGACTCTGGCCGTGTCGAGGGCTCTCCTGATGTGGCTTCTTTGATGCCGAGAAAAATGCGCTTACAGTTCGTTCATGCTGATCAGGTCGTTCTCCCACCATCGGCTACTGCTTCGCTGCCCAGCCCATGGACCCTGGTGGGATCTACGGAGCACTGCTTCGTGCAAGGGGTTTATCATCCAGGACGCGTGCTCACACTCCAAGGGCATTTTGAATTTGACAAATTCGAAGGCCGGGAAACAATGAGGATATTTGGTGCGGAGGACAATCTTGGAGGAAACTCGCTCAGTGACCAGGCTCCAGTGGTTGATGCGGAAGATTTCAAGGACGACGGCGACCTGATGGCCGAGATGGTAGTGCGGTTCCTTGCGGGCGAGCAAGCAATTGTTCAAGAACGAAGAGGAGAGCCAGGACCTGGAGACGAACCACTCACACCTAGAGCATCGATGGAATTACAATGAGACTCTACTATTGGCAGATATGGGGAGTGCCTGAACTACTTAGCTCTGTTTCACCAAAGCATCAATCATCTGTTCGTGGGCAGATATTGCTGCTTGAGGGTGCTTTGAACTCCGAGTACTGGATGGACTGTACGTGGTAGAGGCTAGCACAGTAGTTTCATCTTGGTGAAGTATAACTTCTTCTCAAGGCTAATTCGTATTGAAGGGGGCCCGTTGCTTGTGTCAGGCTGTAGACACGGTAGCTAGATTTGTAGCAAGTAGCACATCCAATCTATCTCTAACGCCATACATCTGGAGCTTGTCTGGCATGCGACGCTAATGTCCAAGTGGACAAAGCCCTGTAACTGCATAACATAGATAACATTGTATTGTGTTGCCCATGCAAAATGAGTGCATAGGAGAATGCAATTACGGAACGCCAGAAACGACGAAATCAGGCCCAAATTGCCATGAGCTGCATGCCGTGTACGGCTGAGCGGGCCGGTCGCCTAGGTGGGCTCAAAAATCACGGTCGAGTTCTTCCGAATAACCTCGGTGGTATCAAGCGGCGTCTCCACGCAGCAGCACGGGAACAGCGAGGTAAATTACCCGCCAATGGTCACATCGAGCCCGGACCGCAAAAGCGCTGCTCTTCGGGCGATGCTTTTTTTTGCGGCCGAGAGGAGCAACAGTTCCACATCTTATCCCGAGCCTCTGTGCCGGACACCGGGCACATCATATATGGGTAAGGTCTCTTCACAATAGCTTCAGCTCAAAACACAATCACTCAGAGGTCATTCCTTTACAGAGCTCTGCAGGTAAACAGTATGGCCAAGAAGCATCTCTCCCTAGTCGCCTTGCTGGGTGTGGCGGTCTCGGCGGATCAGTCACTGTACGGGCAATGTGGTGGAATTGGCTTCACCGGCTCGACAGTCTGTACCGCAGGAGCTACGTGCATTTCTGATAATGCATACTATTGTAAGTACTTTCTAAGGAAGAAGTAATAAAAAACATCCACACTCGAGAGTGTTCCAATTCACCCTCTGAATACAGCGTCTAATCAATCACTTCAGACCAGTGTGTACCGGCGACAGCAACTGGTGCAAGCAGCTCCACCTTGACCACCGCAGTAGCTACTACAACGCCGGCCACAAGCACTTCCTCGTCGATAGTCTCGACGCCGGTGACCTCCTCTGTTCCGACGAGCACGTCCTCAGCGGCGAGCAGCTCCGCGACGCAGTATTTTATCACATTGTGAGCCAGACAACGCACAGGTGTTACCGTTGCTGAGGGCTGTCATCAATACTGACCTCTTGATCAGCGGAGATTCATACTCGCAGACTGGATTCAACATCACCACTGGGCCGCTGCCGGATGCTTCCAACCCGCTGGGCAACCCCACATTCCCCGGCTACACCACGAGTGGCGGCAATAACTGGATCGACAATCTCATCACAGAGTACAATCTTACGCTCATGTTGAACTATAACTTTGCCTATGGAGGCGCGACCACAGACTCAGATCTTGTTGCCCCCTACGAGCCCGGCGTCCTCAGCCTCATCGACCAGACCACAGAGTTCAGCGACAGCATTGCTTCTCATCCTTCTACGACTCCATGGACATCCAACAATACCCTATTTGGCGTGTGGATGGGTGTGAACGACGTGGGAAACTCGTACTATGAGAGCAATGTCACTGACATTTTGGACGCGATCATGGTTGTGTATTTTGACCAACTTCAGATCATGTACAACGCTGGAGCCCGCTACTTTGTGCTCCTGAGCGTCCCGCGTAAGTCTTTCTCTTTCCAGGAATCCACCCTGGAGACAGCGAAACTCTAGCTAACGAAGACGGATACAGCAATTCAAGAGACACCATTCATGCTTGCATATGGAGCGGACGTTGATGCCGAGGAAGCCGTCATCATAGACGAATACAATAACCTTCTGGCCAGCAACCTCGCAAACTTCACCTCGACGAATGCCGGCGTGACTGCGAAGATCGTCAATACGACAGTTTCTTTCCAGACCGCGATTGATGACCCGCAAGCGTACGGTGCCGCGAACGCGACCTGTTACGATGATGACGGAACCACTTGTCTTTGGTGGAATGACTACCACCCTGCATTAGCCAGTAAGCCGAGCTTCCTTCTCTTCAGGTTGTGTATAAAAAGGATGACAGAATGCTAACCATTCCCAAGTCCATAAGCTCGTTGCGCAGCAAGTTGCCGCGGCGTTCCAGGGGATTTTCTTCACCTGAAGCTAGCCAAGGGACAAAAGCCTGGGGCTTTGGCCACTCCAGGCATTCTTTTCAGGGACTATAATCCTATAGTGTTCATATTGACATATTTGCAAAAACTCAGCTATATACTTCATGCTATCCATGTGCCTGTATTATGTGGTGATCATGCAAGCCATCAGACATTGTGCATCATGGTGTCATACGATGGTGATCATCCCATTCTTTGCTTCCTTCTCACCCAGACCTCCTGGCCGCTCTCCCCGTCCGCCACGGCGTCACTGCCCGGTTCCGTCACGGGCCGCAGCTCGATCTCCCATATTTGAAGCTTGTAGTTACCACGATCGCCCCGGCCGCTGCTCAGGTCAAACGACCACCCGTGCTTGGGACAGGTGATCCCCGAGCTCCAGACGATACCAAAATCCTCAATGTCGAAAGGCGCCCCGTTGGACAGCGGGTACGACGAGTGAGGGCATTCCTGTCCGTCCCGCGTTAGCAACAACAGAAGCTGCCGTCATGAAGTCGAAAAAGGGGTAACTGTGCATGGTATGGTTTGGCCATCACACTGACATGATTGATGGCATGGAATTTGCCCTTGTACTGGAACACCATAACCTGGTCCTGTAGCCCTCCAGCCTCTGGTGGTGACCCCGGGTCGCTGAGAGGCACCTCGGTGGCCTTGGAACTGTCCTCCTTGGGGACATGAAAAATCCTGCAGGAAGACCGCTGCTCGTCGTCATGAGCACAGGGGCGCATGTCTCTTATCAGCGCACCATCATCGCCTGTGATGTTTGGAAAGGAGGAGGCCAGGCCGACTGGAAACCACGCATTTCCAGCCCGAGAACGCGAGAACGGGCTGAAGAAGGATGCCATATGTGTAGACAGTATGAAGGGGTTGAGATAGATGGAGTGATTATCTTTGGTGTTTGCCTCTCACAACAACTTGTCGGGATAGGATCGAGCTCAACAAACAGCTTTGGTCCTGGGCTTGGCCGGCTGGAAGTGGTTGTCTTCTCATGCCATGATGGAGGAGTTTATCAAAATTTCAATCATTTGAAAGTAGTTCCGATGTGTTGTTGTGTTGCCCGATGTCGTCAAGACCGAGAGAAAAAGTCTTGCGTTGATGCGTTGTATGCTTAAAGAGCACATCCCGAAGACGGACACTAAGCCGCGAGAAGCCCAAAGATTTCACCAACCGCTGAATGAGAAATGAAAGGGTTAGGGTTTTACCAGCCCTCCTGTGTCTTTCTCCTCTCACTATTATTTAATCTCGCAGTTGGACACGGCGTCGTTCGGCAACCAGGACGTTTTACTTTTGGTAAGCATCCGATTGCTACAAGTGTGCTGTGTTTAGAGAAATATCTGATTACGCCGCTTGCTTTTGGATGTTGGCCAACTGGATGAAGTTGGAGAACCATACTGTCTTGTCTTATTGGCACTCTCTTTTCCTCCTATATCCTAGCACGGGCCTAAAAGTTTGCCCTGATACAGAATTTCGTTTGGATTTTTCAGATTGCTACTGTTTCCATGGCCACTATATTATCTTGGCCTTGATGACCGAATTCCTTCTGTGGCAGACCACCATCGAAAAGAACCAGCATGGGCAGTCCTCAATGCACTTCAACAGGGAAGCCAAGGAACGAATATAGTCGCGGACTATTACACGTGGGACATGGCCGACTCCAAGGCAAGATAGACGCATCTGTCACGTTCAGATCTCACATAGCCACTTGCAGGCTATCAAGATAAACTAACTATCGTCACAGACGTGTCAGTATCTCTCAGGCATGAGGTTGCTTATACACATCGGAAAGAGGGAGGGGGGGGGGGGGGGCTTACCTAATCCAATCATCGAGTTCCCAATATTCACTGCTCTGAAGAAGTTGCATCGGGCTCTTACACTTTGGATGAAAGTAGTCCTCCTTGGTACCCACAGGAAACATGGGAATGGAGCAGATCTCATCGTTCGCACAGGGCCCACACTCCTTCCAGGTGCTCCAGTTGAGGGTCGAGATGAGTTGCCGTATGATGGCCTGCGCCTCCTCCAGCGGTGATCCAAAGTCGGCACTCGTGGTCTCGTTGGACCTGAGGACACGCCGAGCAGAGAACAGAGACCCACATATCTTCTTCGACACCGTTGCGAGGGCTGCCGCAATCACCTCATCCTCGGGCGTCCTTGAGCCCTTGTGGAAAACTCTCTCGTCCTCGCCGTCGAGGTAATGTTGGGCACATCGGTCTAAGGCGTGCAGGTCGGCCATTGGTTCGTGGTCGACATAGCTTGTAAAAGGATCAATGAGGGTGCCGATAGAGGCGATGAGATCATCCCTAGTTGAATTCACGCTGTTCATCATCCACAAGCGCGGGCCAAAGCGAGTCACTATTTTATCCGTCACACTCTGCCAGTTGATCACACCCTTCTCGCTAGAGCTCTTCCCTCCGCGCTCTAGCACCACATCTCTCAACCTGGCGCGGACATTGTTGATATCGTCCCTTGTGGCGTTGATGATCCTGGGTAGGTCTGGTCTTCTCGTGTCCGGATTGGACAAGTCCATGTCGTAGGCAAAGGCCGAGACCATGCTGCTCCAGTCTATGTCGACACGACCCTCTGGGTGGCCTTGAAAACGGGCCGCACAAGCACGTAACCATTCTGAGGTCGTCTGGTTGGAGTTTCGCGTCTTCCTCCAATCATCCGTCTCATCGTCGATGCCAGTTTCGTTGCTGAAAGGGGTGGCTTGGACAGACACGAGGTCCAGCCCGCCCGAGGGAGAGAAATCGCAGTAGATAATCTCAAAGCCTGCTTCCATACGAATGAAGCCGTCGATCTTGCCTCCCACCGTGAAAGCCCACTCCTTGGCTAGGGAACACATGTCTTGGGCGCGATCCCTTTCCCTGAACGGGCTCTTGTGTGGGTCGAATTTGAGGTCATCCCAGCCCAGCAGGAGTAGATCCTGGCTGTCCATAGGCCCCAGGGTGCATTTTGCAGCACTTTCGCCGTCGATGTAAAGGAGATTCAGGGGACGAGAAGCACGGTAGATCTGGTAATATCCGCGAGTATATCTATCAAAAATTGGGAAATGCGGGCCTGGTTTTTTCTCGTCGTCGTCGTCATCGTCGTCATCATCGATCTTTGCATTTGGACTTTGTTCTGCCGCCTGGAGTGGTCTCTGCGGCGATGTGAGATCGAAATCCCCTTCATGAGTAGCCAGGGGTTCTGAGGCCATATGGTGAGAGGTGTGATGCCAAAACAAAACCTCGTGGGCGGATCTGACTGCGGACGATGGCTTCTCGAGGTCGGCATGGAGGGAATAAGGGTAGTTCAAGGGTTCCCACGACGTAGCAAACGAAGCTGCATGCTCGAATTCAAACGCAAGCCATTCGTAGGTTTTAGGCCGTTCGGTGCTATGTCCGCCGTGATAGAAGACACTCCCTTGCGGCGCCTGTGCTAGATAAAATGAAAGGCCATTGTGGTGAACAGAGGAGCCCCACTGTCGTAGGGCTGAATGTATGGAGTTGAAGAGGGAAAATGCGTGGTCTTCGGCGGCCTGGCTGCTTGGAGAATGATTTATACTTGCGTAGGGCGGTGTCGTCCTTTCAGCCACGCACATGCAGCTACAGGCTGCCAGAGCCCCAAGCAATGTGGTCTGCATGATGACACAACCGCGCGCAGTCGGCAATCAGCACGCAGCCAGGTTACTGATCGTCCGAAGCAAGATCGCCAGCCCTCTGGGTTGAGAGTTCGAAAAGACTGTGCGTCTTGTTGATGGCTTCATGGGATATAGATTACGGTTGAGTTCACGATGCGCAGTGGATCAACGTCACGAAGGAAGCGACAGGAACGGAATGAATGACCGGCCGAGCTTACTGTTGACCGCCGACCCTTGAGCGATGCTTACAGCTTATCAGTAGCCAGAGTCTTACCTGTAGATACCGTATGTCTAGTCCCTCTAGGCCAGAGTTATCCGATCAATCACAATAGCAGGCATGACCACCGCAAGCTAGAGAAGAGAGTAGGTGCAAAGAAACTAAGACATACATATTTCATCGTCACGTTTTGTTATAGTGTCAGATGTTACGACGTTGAAGTTTTGTCAAAGGTGAGAAGAGGTCTTGTAGTGAGCTGTGAGATACTTAAGAATCCCTGCTGCGGCGGCATGGCGTTACACTGGCTTTACCTGTGATAAGCCCTGCAGGTACAGCAGGTGAGAAGAGTCCGGACAGATCCGACAACTACACGAATGGGGCCGCAAGTTAGGGCAGAAATTTCCACAGCTGACTCTATGATAAAAGAATTCGCCGTCGCATGCAAGCTGACAGCTAGTTACTCTACAACTATACAAATATATGATAGTTTGCTCGTAAGGCATTCTTGACTGCTACTTAAATACTTGGGCAAGGCTACAGCTAAGTCGTGGGACCGTCCAGACCATAAAGGTAGACGGACGGCTTAACGTAAAGTAGGGTTCTGTAGTACGCAAGCCCCTATCTTCCACACCGTTCATCGCCCAAGACCGCAGTGACCGTCCTGTCAACTATTTAGAGTCACAGTTGTAAAGAGAAAAGAGGGTGATTTCCGCAGAACGATTTCGCGCCCTTCATTTTCCATTTCTTTTTGTTTATCTCTCCCCCTATCGTCTTGTCGAGAAGAGCCACCCGTCGGCGGGTGCCAGAGAGTTTCCTGGCTTGATCGGGAATACAGTATGAGGCCGGAGTTGACCTCAAAGTCCCCGCCGAGGATAACAGGGCATGCCTATAAGAGCAAGTTGGCAGGCCTTAATGTATCCTGCAGATACAACGTACTACATCCTCCCTGGCGAATTACGGCACCCATCGGATCATCGGTATTCACTACAGCCGAGGCCTGACCCTGGTGATGCATAAGTTGGTCAAGGCCTGCAAAGAATGAAATACTGAAGCCTGTGTTAGATTGCACCATACATCAACGTCATAATAAATTTTCGTTACAGTGATCATTGAATACATACTCACAATGTCGATCCTCTCAAACGAAACAAGGCAAAAGTGGCTCTACGGCTCAACCTTGCCATATGCTGAAGCTCCATGGGCGAGGGGTTGTCCCAGCCCTTACTACCGCGACAGCCATCGTCGACTCCGAGATGCAATGCGGACATGGGTCGAGACAGTATGCAAACGAACGCGAGGATAGACTTCACAAGGTGGTGATGCATGCCGTTAGCTAACAAAGACCCAGAATCTCGTCCCCTTCGTGCAGGACTGGGAGCAAGCCGCCACTCTGCCCGCCGAATTATGGCACAAAGCCGCGGAAGATGGCGTCCTCATGCCAATGGGCGCTGGATCGAAAATCCCCGAGGACTGGAGAGGGGTTCATCCAATCATTGGAAACGTGCCTCCGGAGGAGTGGGATGGCTTTCATGATTTCATCCTTCACGATGAGTTTGGTCGCGTGGGTGGCGCCGGGTTCGTACCACGCCTTTTTTGGATTTATGAAAGGAAGCATGTGACTGAACATCTTTGGGCAGCGTCGAGGTTGGCTTGGTCGGTGGAATTGTAAGTCACTGGTCTCGTACGTCGTCTCCAGCAGTGCTGTAGAACTGACAAATGCCTGTCATTTAGACACTGGCCATCCCGGCCATCCAGCGTTTTGGAAGCGCACAATTGAGACAACGGTGAGTTATGGCGGTCTCCTCCCCGCCAATAAACGCGATGATTCAGAGAAAGCTAATTAGTGTGCTCAAAGAGTAATTCCGGATGTGCTTCGCGGCAAGTCTCGAATAGCTTTGGCCATTACTGAACCCGATGCCGGCTCTGATGTTGCAGGCCTACAGACGGAAGCCAGGCTCACAGCAGATGGCCAGCACTTCATCATCAATGGACAGAAAAAGGTAACATTATTCCAATGATAGAGTCATACGATATTTCGGTACAAGACTCAATATCGAGGCTGACTCTGCGATACAGTGGATATCATCTGGGACATACGCCGACTACTTCCTCACGCTGGTGAAAGAGTCAGATGGAAATTTCACTCTTCTGGTGGTCCCACGGCAGGAAGGCCTGACCACGAGACATATCACCGTTTCTGGCTCGACGACAGCCGGAACAGCCTTTGTTGACTTTGACGACGTCAAGGTCCCGGTTGGAATGGTTGTGGGGGAGCGGGGCAAAGGCTTTAAATATGTGGTTTCTAACTTCAACCATGAGCGGCTGTTCATCAGCATGCAGGCGCTTCGCTGTTCAAGGGTCTGCCTCGAGGACTCCATCCAGTCAGTCGGATTCGTCACATGATAGTGTGCTCATCTACTAATTCAAGAATTAGGTACGCCCTGTCGAGGCAGACGTTTGGGAAAGTATTGGTAGAACACGGTAAGTGCTTCAAGAATAGCGGCATAATCACCACCTCATGCTGATCCTTGTTTTAGCTGTCATCCGATACAAGTTTGCGAACATGAGTAGAGAGGTTGAGGCGCTTCAGTCATGGCTAGAAGTGAGTTTTACTATCCATGGTCCTGCTCTGTCTCTGTCTCTCTTCCTCATGGTTCTTTATACTCTTGTCTATGGCCCCAATCTGCATGATGACGACATTCAGGTGTCGAAACTCGTTTGACTGATTACATTTGACAGAGCCTGATTTACCAACTCCATTCCTTGTCTCCTGCCGAGGCCGAATTTCTTCTGGCCGGCACGACAGCACAGATCAAGGCCCACGCCGGCATAGTCTTGCAGCACGTGGCAGGCGATGCCATTCAGATCATGGGCGGGATTGGTTTGACGAGGGGCGGGCGTGGAGAACGAGTAGAGAGGATTTGGCGCGACGTTAAAGCTCTCACAGTCCCTGGTGGTAGCGAAGAGATCATGTTGGACCTTGCAGTACGACGAGCCGTCAAGGCGCATACAGAGCTTGAGAGGCTCAGCGTCTCGAAAGAGCGTCTCTGAGATTCATACTAGGCTCTCTCGGGGGTGTATGATCTATTCTGCATAGAACGGCAAGGGGTGTCCAAGAAGATTCGATGCCGTGATACATTTCTACTTGTGTGTATAGACATGCTGTGACGCTCTCAGAAGCTTCCGTTACGCCAATCGTATGCATTTATTTTCTTGGGGGAATTCCCAAAGTCATGATGAATGGATCTTATGTGTCATTTTAACTCTCAAAATCTATTTACCGAGAAAAAGGGCGTTGAGGTCTATATAAACTCCCAGATAATATGTACAAGCCAAGCCGGTGCCAATCATGCGACTTTGGGGGGGGGGGGGGAGGAGGCTTCCAACAATTTTAACACTTCTGATCTTTGGTTAATTCCAAGTCACCGTCCTCACCCTTTGCGACAGGTTGTCAACCACAGAGTACACAATCTTGACAGTCGCACCCGTCGCGTCGTAGTTTGTCATGGCGAACGGCGCATAGGTGCCTCCCCGGGAGGGATCCGTAAACAACAGAGTACCATTGCTGAAGGGCCCCTGAGGCAGGTCTGAGACATACGCATAAATACCAGAATAACCAAGGCCCTCAGAGAGCCAGACATATTTCTCGAGGAAATTGCTGTAGAAGATGGACCCGCCGAGAACGTCCATGATGCCGACAGCCTCAGACTCATCCGCCACAAAGTCGTCGCCGTTCCAGTACGTGTAGGACGATAGGTCAGAGGCGTCGTCCACATTGAAGGGGACACGAGCCAGGTACATGACGTTATTCTGGTTGGCATAGATGTACATGTACCCATCGAGGGCGGTGAGGGAGCCCCCGTTTCCGTACGTGGCGTGGTTGGCGTCTGCGGTCCAAAAGTCGACGGCATCGTTGATGCGAGTGCACACAGGCGTGTCCTCTGACACGTCGAATATGACGGGGGAGCTGCCCTGGTTCAACTCCTCGCCGGTGGTGGTATCGTGCGTGATGTTGAGGAAGAAGCCGATGCCGTGGGTATCGTTGACTCCCCACACATTGGTGACCCACCCAAGCTGGTCGTCGGTGTTGCACAGATTGACTGCCTCAGGCGGGTCAGTGACCACGGCGGCCACGGTCGTCGCGTCGGCGAACGAGTTGGTCCCGATGAAGGTGCAGTTGGTCGTCTCGTCCGCGTTGCATAGGCTTGTGTCGAAGTTCATGACGAACACCCTCGACCCAACCGTGCCCAACCAGCCTGCATCGCGCTCGTACTGCTGGCCCGAGGGCGCATTATCAGAAGTGACATTGACGGGGCCGGAGATGGTGCCTGCAACGGGTGCTGCTGGGGCGACGGCCGTCTCTGCGGCGGCGAGCCCAAAGAGAGCCGATACTATCGCGTGGACACGAGACATTGCGAGGTTGTGAGGTTGTTGTTGTAGTAGGGAATGGCGATGTTTCATTTCATCTCATAATTCGCTGTGGACATTCCATTGTTAAAGTATTTCTCTTAATCATGCTCTCCTGGTGGATTGCGTAAGTACCCTGTTACGTGCATGGTCTCGCAAGCAGAAGAGTAATGCGTTTATTATTAGCCTCGCCACGGCCTGTGGGTGGCCGAGCACCAATCAGGGTCTCCTCAGCCTTGTCAATAGTCAAGGGGGAAGTCGAGGTTTGTTGTTCGTTGGTGATCCTCTTCTCCCTCGCCTCGCCATCCTTCCACTCCTTAGCGCACCCCCTTACATCAAACTGCGTTGCAGCCCCTGGAGATAGGAACACCGATTTTATGAACTTGTGGAAATAACTGTGCATTTTCAAGACTTTGTGGGGATTGTGTCTGTCTTTCAGCTTCTATCTCGATAGGAAATGAGTATCGGCTTTGTATGTAGCCGGGATTTTGTCGCGTGTGCACTTCGGCAAATCCTTGGATGATGACATACAATAAGAGGTGGATTCTAAAATCACAAAATGGAAAAGGAAGGGCAGAAATTGGACACAGAACACTACACGCTCGAAGACTGAGGCCATTTGAGAACAAGGGTTTTAGAATAAAGCAGATGAAACAAAAATCAATCAGACGACCGAAGTTTTATTCATAAGAGTTCTGTTAGACTCTATAGCGTAGCACAAGAATGAACTTTGTAACTCGTCTCCAAACAGATGTAACTGACTAGACGGCACGGAACCAAATGGAAAAGTGTGGGTTTCAAAGATTAGAGAAATGATGAGACAGAGTAATAAGAATCAACCAACCAACAACATGTTGGTTGGTAAGAATCCTGACCGCCGCCCAGCCGGGGGGGGGGGGCAGAGAAGCTTGGACTTGTCAATCCTTTGGTATCGATTCCAATCTTGCCGTTCAGCTCTGCCCATCTCATCAAAATGTTGGCGGCAACTCCGGCGGTCGAGAGTCCGCTCTTCCCTTGTCTTGTGGTTTAGCGACGGCGCAGAGTGAATGAATGTCGGAGGGTTTTACTTTGCCAGAGATCTCAAATGGCTGAAGTTGATTTTCTCTTTCTGGTGAGGGACCCTTCTCAGCTGACGCGGCCCCCGACTGCAACCAATGCTTTAGGAGTTGAACTTGGAGGGCCAACTTGCGGGAACATGCCAAACTATAAAATAGAAAAAAATCGAAAAAAATTGCTTGCTCTGTTTACTCGAATGCATTAGGAATCAAGTATTCAAAACTGCTTAACAAATTACGCATATCCCATCCGACACCACAACCAATGTCTCATGGTCCAGCCGATCCAGCGACAGCTTGCTCCCAACAGGTGCCGCCCCCCATTTCTCATCCGCCAACAACACCCTCTCTGTCCATTCGATGCTTCTTGTCCGTGTATCTCTCAGTAAGCAGCTCCCTCCTCATCCGCCGCCCCTCATCCTACTTGGTGCTCCCCTCATCCGACAACTGGTTGCCGCCCTCCTTGGCCCACGCCTCCCACATCTCAACGAGCTCATACTTGAAGGGTCTCTCTTCCTCCTCATCCTCGAATGACGTTGGCGAGGGCTCACTGATGACATCAGGGCCGGGGTTAGGGGATGACACATTGAAGTCAAAGGGGAGCATGTGAGTGTCACTATGGCACTCCTCAGGAAACCATCGGCCTGGGTGGCCGCGGCAGCAGGACAAAAGACTGTCACAGAAGTCGCAGCAGTTTTGAGTGTTGCCAGGCATGGACCACTTGGACCACTTTTCCTGGCATACCTCCATGCATCGCTGAGAGTGCGTGGGTTCTCTGTTAGTAATTGACTGTAAACTGTTGATTCGTACTATTGGAGGTAGGTGGTGGAATCAAGAGGTGAGAAGGGGTTCCCGTACGTCGAATACGATGGGGCCTATTGGCTCTGGCGCCCAGTCCTGGGAAGGGATATCGGATTCATCGGCGGTCCACACGCATTGGGAGAGTCGGGTGCAGTACTCAGAATCTGCTCTTTTGATGTTGTTGTTCGGGACACCCGTTGGTACGGCAGTGTTCCTGGTGACGGTGGTGAAATCATTCTTGGCCCCAGCAAGGGATCCAAGCATAGCCATGATGGCAAAGGCAGTCGTGAGGTTATACATCTTGGTATCATAAGATGAGCAAGGTGAACAGCAAAATCTTTGAGGGGTTGAACTCAATAGGAAACCAACATCGATGTAAGGGGAAATGTGTGCATTTTATAGGTGATGTGCCAGCGGTAGACGCCGGATTGTGCAACTTAGACGAGACTAGGAGGCCACTAGGCACTACCATTTCGCATCGCTTCGAAGCCTGGCCAGCTCTATGATACATGTGTGACGACGCTGTGATGGTGCTCTATATCACCTCCGAGTCATCTTTACTATGCGTGCGAAAGAAAATTAGTATCTTTTGGATCGTCTTGTGCAGTTGATTCGTGGTCACGGCCTCTGGCACGAGGGGTACCGCGTAAAAATTTCGAACGACCGGTGTTTCTTTTTGGCATGGCATTCTGATTGGTGTACAGGACCACGTCTGTAGATCTGCTCGCTAATTAACATTACCTGACCCTTAAGAGTACAAGCCATCGATCAGGCCTAGAAGGAGTCCCCTGCTTGGACGATTCGACCCGACTCCATCAACTCTCCCTCTTATGCTTGGAACCGCTTGGCAACATTCTTCCAGTTGATGACGTTCCAGATAGCGCTAAAGTACTCGGCCTTTCGGTTCTGGTACTGCAGGTAGTATGCGTGCTCCCAGGCGTCGATACCCATCAGGGGAATCAGGCTGCCGGATACAGGGTCTTGGTTGGCACGGGTGACCAGGGACAGAGTGCCGCTTTCCTTGTCCTTCGCCAGCCATGCCCATCCGCTGCCCTGGATGCCGGCAAGCGCGGCGTTTGTCTGCTTCTGGAATGTGGAGAAGGAGCCGAAGTCACGGTCGATAGCTTTCTACGCGTGTGCAAAAGAGAGAAAAGCAGTCAGCGATCGTGCGTGTCCACAGTGATGGGGCTATGAGGGTTCTTCTCCCTATGGCGTAGATAAATTATACCTTCAGCTCTCCCTCGGGCTCGCCGCCGCCATCCTTGTTCGCAGGTGCCAGGTTCTCCCAGAACAGGCTGTGGTTCAGGTGGCCACCGCCATGGAAATTGAGGAGGGGGGCAACGGCGGCGGCCTTGGTGAAGTCGCCCTTGGCCTCTGCGTCGCCGATGGTCTCGATTGCGCTGTTGAGGCCGTTCACGTAGGTTTGATGATGCTTGGAATGGTGGAGCTCCATGATCTGGCCCGAGATGTGAGGTTCGAGGGCGCCGTAGTCATCTGCATAGGAGGTGTTATGTCAGTCACCGGATGCTCGTTGTTACTACTGCCGTGAGAGGACGAGTGGAGGGTGGGTTGGGTGGTCTCAGGTGCTGGCTCAGCTCTGGCACGAGCCAAGCCAGACGACCACGTCATGGTGGTAGGGACTAGTCAACATCATCACCTACAGGAGAGGTCTGGTAGAGTAGCCTTGCCACGGACGAACTGAGTGCTGGCCATGGCCAAGCCCACGGTAGGCCTCGAAGCTCCCGCGCGGAGAGCTCCGCGCAGGGCTGGAGCAGATCGCAGTAGAGTAGACGACATCCTGACGAGCTTTATTCTTTGGGAAGATTATAACTCAGGTCAATTGATAGAGTTTGAGGTAAACTCGAGGGGGCTTGAGGATATGAACTTGGAGGAGACGAAGAGGAGACAAGTTGATTAGCAACGGTGGTATCAACATATTCGGATAACCGGGAGCAGTTTAAAGCTCCCCCCCTCCCAAAACACCTCCCATAGGTGCTCACATCCCCACCCGGATGTGCTGGGGGAGACTGTCAGGGCTTGTGTCATGGCAACGTCATAACCCCCCTTGCCCGATAGACCTTACCCACGGCCCACTAGCCAATGGCAAGCCGCACAAGTTACAGGGGACCCCACTGCTGTATTCCAATTCGCGTCTCCAGCAGTTTCCAAGTCGCGTCCGAGAGGAAGTTTGCCAGGACGGAACTCTGTTTACCTTGAGTTTGCCCACCATCAAAACATGCTTCAAGTACGGAGCCGGCCCTCTTGACTTCCAGGCCCAAATTTCCTTGATCGGCTGCCTGTATTGCCATTTTTTCTACTTGACGACGTCAAAAATGTCATATTACGACATTGACGCAATCCTCACGGATGCTGAGGTGTGTAAATGAATTGTTTCCTTTCACATCGCGCCTCCTCCTCCATCTCCCAAAGCATTTCTGCAAACTCGCCTTTCTAGCTCTGTGAGCCTCTCTAATATTTCCTCCCCACCTTCAGAAGATTCCATGTGAATTCAATGTCTCCGTGCTCAACCTCGGCCACCTCAATAACAACCCAGGCGAGGACCTCAAGGCGGGCACGAAGCTGTCCCTCCCTCTCTGGCTCGGGGAAATGCTCGCCCTCGCTAGTACCTCCGCCAGCGGCAGCACCAACGACGACGACACGAAGTCCTTCGTAAACCTTTCCCTTCCTGACGCCCTCTCCAGCGAGTGTATACAAGCCCTCAAAGCCGATCCCCGCGCCGTGCAGCTTCGCCAGCGGAGTATCAACTTCTACGGGCTGGCTACGCGCCTGATGGATCTTTTCGAGGAGAGAGAGCTCGACAGCGTGCTGAGGAAGACGTTCGTCACTCGCGCTGCAGAGATTGCCCTTCATGCGAGGAAGATGGGCGACCCTGCTGGGAAGGAGGGTGCCAGTAATATCGGCATAGCAGCGGCACAAGACGAGTTCACCCGGGGTCTAGATCAGTGGGAGAGGGACCTGTTCACCAAGGCACATACCGGATTGAAAGGTGGCAAGGAATGGATGCACAATGTCAAGAAGCACTGAACCGCCCAAGGGCGAAAGGCAATCCCCAACCTCCACGTCCGATCATCTTATGATTTTGATGCTTATTCCCGGTTGGATCTACGCTGGGCACCTACTCCAGCTGCTCCGCTTTTCAGGATGAATCGGACGCTGGTCTCTTGAGAAAGCTCAAAGCAGGCTGGATCGAGCAACAGCCTGCAGCGACCTAGTCCTCCTCACTACCGAGAGTATCGACTGATATCCTCGGCTGTCGGCCACCTCGAGTCATCAACACTCCTGTCAGCTCACAGTGCCTCCTCACTGCGGCAGGGTGGAGAGGATACTTTCTCACGCTCACATTCGGGTCAATAGTACCGAGTTACGTCAAGGTTCGGTTTGCCGTCGCACAATTCTGCTTGACAATGGTCCCAAATATCAACCAGCTTCATCTCGATCCATGGCCTCTTCAGAGTTGAGAGGTTGCTCTCTGTTCAGAACTACCTACAATGGAACGACCGGCATCACTCAGGACGGTGGCACAGACCGTCGCCGGCTTCACCTCTTTTGGGCATCCCGTTTTTTGGCTTTCAACTCCCTGCTTCGAATGCTGATCGCTTTCACTTGGTTGACCCCGGAGATGGGTACCAAGGCTCTAGACTGGCACTTACAGGGTGATCTGCTGCACGCGACGTCGCCCACCCTGGTCCTGGGTGAGGGGAACCATCTGCTTCCCCACGGGGTAGCACGACCTGCATTACTAGTGCCGTCGGTAAAGCTACTGGACTCACGATATGTTCGATGTCCTGACTGCAGTCTCTATGCTCTTCTGGTTCCTATGGATATCATGCGGGGGTAGCGGAGGGGACGATCACGTATAAATTCCCTGGCACACCCTCTCTAGTGAACCCAAGTCTCTCGATCATGGTCTCGGTGTCGCTTTACTACATACTGTCGGCAAGGTTGATTCATTTCGTTCAGAGTCTGACGACGCTGACGACTGCAACATCTGAGCGCTGCGTTTCCTAGCCGACAAACTTGGATTGGTCTCTTTCGCCATGGGCAGACGCTACCTTGGCGGTTCAGGCGAACGCCTAACTGTGTGGATATCTCTTGCAGCATCCACAGTTCTGATATTCTACGGCTATGACCAAGGCGTGTTTGGCAATGTGCTCGTCTCGGAAGACTTCCTGCGAACAATGGGATACCCCAGCACAACAGCCCAGGGAACCATGACTTCTGTCTACAACCTGGGCTGTTTCGCAGGCGCACTGTCCACGCTGTATACCGGTGATAAGCTGGGCCGGCCGCGGGTGCTCATGCTCGGCAGCTTGATCATCGCGATTGCTGCCATCATCCAGGCTTCCTCGTTCAGTGCGGCGCAGATGTACGTCGGTCGAGTCGTCGCCGGCCTGGGCACGGGAATGAATACGGCCACTGCCGGTGTGTGGCAATCGGAGACATCCAAAATGCGAAGCCGGGGCAAGTTGATTATCATTCAGATGGCGAATTGTATCACAGGATTCGCCATCTCGAATTGGTTGACGCTTGGATTTTCGTTTGCGCCTGGTAGTGTTTCATGGCGGTTCCCGCTTGCCTTCCAGATGTGTACGTCGTTCACATGCCCCCTCTTCGACTTGTGCATCCTCTTCTTATGTAGCGGACAACTCTCCTGACATCAGCTCTCTACTGCAGTCTTCTCTGGTCTGGTCTGGCTCATGTGTCCCTATCTACCAGACTCACCTCGTCTCCTGATTCGCAAGGGCCGCTACGAAGAGGCAACCGAGGTCCTCGCCGCCCTCGAAGGCCACGGTGCGACGCCCTCCTCCGCGTCTGTCCGCACACAGTTTTCCATCATCAAGGACATCCTTGACCGCGAGCACGCCGTCGACTATACTTGGTGGCAACTCCTCACGGGCCAAGGACCCCCAGGCGCTCTGCGTCGCATGCTTCTCGGCGCGTGGATGCAGGCAATGAACCAGGTCTCGGGCATCAATGTGACATCGTACTACATGACATATGTCTTCATCAACGCACTTGGCTTCAGTGAACTCCGCGCGCGCATTCTTGCCGCTGCGGGGTCGATGGACTATCTGTTCTTCTCGTTCATGGCATACTTTGTCATTGAGCGGTATGGTCGGCGACGGGTGATGATGGTCTCCGCCACCGCGTGCTCGATGTGCTGGACCATCATCGCCATCGCCGTCGGCCTGCCCGAGACGGGGAAAGGCGACAGTGTCAAGCTGGGGATCGTGGCCGTGTCTTTCTTCTTTGTCTTCTTCGCCTCCTTCGCCATGGGCGTCCTCGGCGTCCCCTGGCTGTACCCCACCGAGATCAACGCCCTCGCCTTCCGGGCCAAGGGGTCATCGTTAGCGATGGCCACCAACTGGATCTGCAACTACATGGTTGCTGAGGTCACACCGATCGGCATCGCCAATCTTGGGTTCAGGTTCTGGATCATCTGGGCGGTCATCTGTGCGGCGTTCGTTCCCACCACGTACCTCTTCTACCCAGAGACGGCAAACCGCTCGCTTGAAGATATCGATCGATTCTTCGAGGACAACAGGGGTGCCCTTGTATTCCGGAATAAATTGGCGACGCAGCTCCAGCGGCCTGCGGTCTACGAGGAAGCAGATCAGAAGATTGCGGCGGCGAATGAGAAGAGCGAGGCGAGTGTGGAGCAGGTCGAGGAGTCGACGGCAGCCACGGTAGAATGACGCGCGGTTTGTGATATGAGCACCCCGCGTGTCTGATATCATAATTTGTCACGCTTGAAGTTCTAGATGACTCTCAGAGCCTGTGAGTGAGGAGGGAGGGCAATAAACTAAATTAGTACTCTGAACTTACGCATTCGCCCTTCAAACAGGTGTCGTAGTCCTACAGCTGCCATCAATTTGATGCTGAGGCTCATATATCTAGCTTCTCGCCGTTCCTGCATAGAATCTAGTCAATTGTTCCATCGCTGAACGAGGCAACCCCTCAGCCGTGCGCAGGTCCTAGGAGAGCACTGCAACATTCCCCCCTACTTTGCATCTTCAGTCTGCCTTGCTTGTGAGTTGCTAGTCATTTTGTGGATGGATGTATATGCCGAAGTGTATAGTCCCTTTATTTGCTTTTGACAATGGCAGTCTACATAAAGGCGTCAGCCGAGAACTGGTGTTTTGCCTCGCCAACATGCACGTCGTTCCGTAGGTTACGATAGGACTAATTTTCAAAGCTACAGAAGCTCGGAAGATTTTGATCCATCCAGTCGCAGGTGTTTCCTAGTCTGGAATTGAGTAGCACGGCTTGATTCTTTCGTGGCCGGCGTGTGCCGTCTGTGGGCATCTGAAGGTGAGACAGACGGAGAATCCTGCTTGCCATGTAATCAATGGGTGGAAACATCATGGAGCGGAACTGTGATTTATTCGTTGTAGACGTCGGCTCCATACTGGTTTTTTTTCTTCTTCTTAGTAACTCGATGCATCATACGTTCTATGCTTCACAGATACGAGAATTGGATTGCGGAACGTAGTGATGGTTGCATAGAGTACGTAAGCCCAGCACACTCGGTTCATGTTTTGCAGCTTATTACATACTAGATACTTGACTTATGATGTGGGTATAGTCATCAGAAATCGCGAGGGTGGCACCGTAGAGTGTTGGTATGGAAAATTACTTTCTTCGGTCCATGTGGAGTAGCAATTGGCTAGGCTGGCAAGGTCAACTCTCGTCAACTACTATTTATCTAAGGAGTTCTTAACAATGAATATGCACATGCTTTCGGTACGCAGTCGTGAAACCTCACTACGGAGGGCTGGTCCCACGTAAGTCATGCATCACGTTATTGGCAGCGTCCAAAGACAATGTACGACAATTCCAGCCTGTCATTTGATTGCTATATACAAGATAAGCAATAATTTATACCCAGGGGGCAGCGATTTTGTTTCTCCGCCCCGCCGTCAGAAAGTAAAATATTACGTTTACTGTTTTGTTTAGGTGCAGCTAGAGCTGCCGGCGATAAAGGTCCCATCCGAGTCCTCGCAGCCACACTCTCCAGTAGAAGGGTCCTTGATGCAGTCCGTGCCAACACCACTGGACTCACCAGCATCACTATGAGTAGTTTGTCAGCCATCGCTCTGCTCGACCAGAGGCAGAACGGTTGGGTTTCGGGGCAAAACGTCGTCGCAATCTAAAAAGTCAAAGACGAAGGGAACAGTGTGAATAAACAGGGGTTGTCTGGACACGAAGAGGAGTGGTGAAGGGCCGGGGCCCGGGTGGGGGGGGGACCAATGTTAGCAAAGAAGAAAAAAAAGGGGGGGGGCGTACCTCCAGAAGAACGTCCAGTAGTCTGAGTCGGACACCATGTCGGAGTCGCTGGGAGCGGTGCACGCGTAGGCGCTGCATGTTCCGTACGGGGCGCCCTCGACGTCGTCGTACTGATGGTCGGTCTCGAACACGGCAAAGGTCTGGTCTGAGGTCCGGGTGTTGTAGGCGCACTCAGCGGCCTGGATCGAGGTGGATACCACGGAGGCATCGCAGTTGTAAGAGGACGGGTACTTGCCCTCCGTGTTGGAGGTGGCCGGGTCGGCGGTAGCGAGGACCATGACCGGAACGGCCAGGACGGTGAAGAGGCTGGTGAGCTGCATTTTTTGTTTTGTATATGTCTTTTGAGAATGGAACGTTTTGTTTCTCTTCAAAGCTTTGGAGATGCTCGGTTTGCAGGTGTTTATGTGTATTTCGGCTTGGTCTTGACGAGGAGTTGCTCACTTTATATAGCAATCGAAAGTCTTTCGAGGCATGGGCCGGTTCCAAGACATTCAGGGGCCAACGGTGCGTGTTGATGTTTCTCAGCTAAATAGAGTCCACGCCAGTCTCCTCCCCCTCTCACCCCCTTGCGAACTGCGGCTATCAAGGCATCGAGAATGCCCAGCGATGGACACGCGCCACCAATGCATCCGTGTCGCGGGTCGTCTGCGATTCTCCGGTGATTGCCGCCAGGGGGCTGAAGCCACAATGACAAGCGAATGCCGCTTATGAAGGACATGCGGAGGCGGATTTTCCAGTGTCATCGAAAACGAAAATGTGGGCCCGGAGATTTATCCTGCAGGGCCACAAGCCGTGCTCGCCTCGTCAGGGGTTGCGGAGCGGCTTCGAGATTGAGGCGGACAGTGTGGAGTGGGCGTGCGAATATCGGCACGATGCATGTGTTTCAAGTATTCACACGTACTCTGAGGCTGTGTTGACCCTGACCAACCTTGGCTCCCTGTCCATAGGCCTGGCGCGATGGAAAAGTAAGAATTTGGTGCTTTATTACGTATTTGTTAGAGTTCATCCTGTATTATACTTTTGATCTAGTAGGGCCAACGATCCAACCCTCCCAAGCCCAGGGGAGCCTAAAGTACACATAACACACGTTACTATGACTATGATTCCTGGTATCAAGAACTGACTCGTCTGACTGTCCGACACAGGACGATCCGTCAAGGGTAAATATCAGTTTACAGGGCACAGAACAAGGTTCAATAAAACGGTGTCCATCTGGGAAGAGTATGAATGAGGGCACTACAGCGCACTCGGCGATTATGATTTGCCGAATGGACTCGCTTGTAGGAACACCCGCCAATGAGCTGTGCTGACAGCTTCAGCTTTTGAAGCAGAATTGACTGTTTGTCTCGATGTGCTGGGAAATACCAATGTTCTGGTTACATGCTTGAAGTAATCACTTTACTTCTCCTGCGTATGTGACCCTGACAAGAGAATTTGCCACAGATATCACCGCGATATGGACTGCTCAAAGTGTGAAACTCATATTTAATTGTTAACCCAGTCATTAAGTTCAGCCAGTGAACTTCGATCCTAATACGCCTGTACGCCGCGGAATCCCAGCGCTCCCCATAGCCGTTTCAACCTTAACACCTCTAGCCAGACACCAGGTCGTTTTATCGAACACACAAATAATATAAAGGCAAGTAGCATTCTCGTCCAGCCGGCCCATCTTCTCCCAGCATCCCTGACGATTCTTGCCAGCCTCATTGGACAAAGCTGTAGTATTCAACAGGAAATGTGTTAACATTTCTTCCCTTTGGCACATGTCGTCTTGGCCTTTGCAGACGTTGTGGTCGTCTTGACCTGTGAAGTAGTGGTTGGCTTAGCCTGTGAAGTAGTGGTTGTCTGCGCCTGTGAAGTAGTGGTGGTTGCCTTGGCTGAGGACACGGAGGAGATGGTGCTGGTGCTCAAGGTAGTGGGTGCGCTTGTCGATGTTGAGCTTGTAACAGACGTGGAGGTTCCAAGCAGGCACGCGTCAGCAGCGTCAGTCGAGCTGGTTATGCCTTTCTTACACAAGGCAGGGTTCGTGGGCTTCCAGTCCGCCTTGAGCTTATCAATACTGTCCTTGGTTACGGTGTTGGCGTTGACATTGTATGCAGCATTGCCTCCTTGAGGATTACGGGACCTCACCCACGATCCGGCCCCAGTTTTATCAATTTGGAAATCAGTTGGAGGGTCAGTGTCCTCGGCGTCGGGAGGATAGATCGGGGTAACAGTGTAGATGGCGGTGACGTCCGGGTTGGCCTGGAGAGTCGCAAATTCATAGTCAGACCAGACATTGTGCGGGCCTCGCCAACCCCAATCCTTGTCATTGGTGTCGTAGGGCAGAGTGTAGATGTTGGTAGGGGTTTTGGCTAAGAGGTAGACCTCGCCCGATGCTGCCTTGGCCAATGCCTGGGACGATCGAGCAACCCATGCCTGCTGCCCCGAGCCTTTGGCCTGTTCTGTCAGCTCCGGAAACTTGGTCAGGGCCTGGAACCAAGACTCCGGCATGACATCGTTAATGTTTTTGGCCTTGAGATCAGGGTACTTTGTGGCGAATGCCCTAGCCGCCGGCGATCCTGCGCCAAAGGAATAAAACAGCATCGTGCTATCAGGGGCCGTGACAATACCGCACAGGCGAAGATCAGCCTCTATGACCTCGACGGTAGGCAGAGACGCGGACTTGTACACCCCCCAGCCCTCCTTGGTCGTAGGTGCATCTTTGTTTGGGCACGTGATGCTGGCGTATTGGTCCTGCTGAATAACTGGTGCACCTGGTGCATCAGTGTTATCCGTGGCAGAGAAGCAGTTCAAAGAGCTGCAGGTGTTTCCAGCGCTTGCACCGGGAGACAGGTGCAGTAGGAGCAGACCGTATGTGAGAAGATGGCCGAGGGACATAGGTCCAATTGTGTGCTTGGTGGACCAGAATGCAGTCATGGTGAACGTGTCTCTTTTCCTGAGCCAAGTGATGTATTAGAGAGGCACAGAAAGGGAGAGACGATGAAAACTAGAAGGAAGAAGGAAAAAGAAGGGGGAAACAACAGCGGGTGGACTTGAAGCCTGCAAGTACCCCTTGAACTGCGATTGAATGAAATGGTCTGGGACTAGGGATTTCATTAATTGGATGTGTGTTGTAGCCCAAGACGAGATGTCACTTGCAAGAGCAGAACAGACCAAGCTTTTTATACAGTAATTTCTTGCCTGCATCGCTAATACTGACTGGATGTGGACTTACTCTCAATGCCAACCAAGGCTCTCTGCTGAGATGGCATGAAACTGGCCATTATTCATCATCAGGTGCAGACCGTATGGTCGCCAGAGAGGGCAAGCATTTTTATGGAATCTTTTGCGATGGATTGCAATTACTAAGTACGTACTAATGAGGGTAAAAGGGAAGAGACAGATAGCCTTTCGAGGGTCAGGATAGTAGAAATCAAAGTATTACTGTGCCTCATTCTATTTACAATTATGCCAATGACAGTGTCACAAACTCTCTTAAACTGTTCCGCGATGCTGATACTGAAAAGTAATCAGAGTGAAGTTACTTGATGGCATCGATTTACCCACATCATGAAAATTGTCTGGTCCATCGGCTTTCCAACGACCTGCCCCCAAGGCCGCAACTATTTTCGTGATGCACCTGTTCTGAGATCTGAGATGAGAAGCCATACTATTCTGGATTCTGACTGGGACTGGCCTTGATGAGACAGCCATTGGACGAGTTTGTCAATGGCCGACCTGAGGGGTCAAGGTGGGTAAGACTCACTGACTGCCGTTACTAATCAATACGGGCATGCTGATGGGCCATTTCATTGCGCTGAGGTAACCTGCCTGTAAAAATAATAAAGTGATCGGTGGCTGAAGACAGCCCCACCATATATTACCGCCGCTGTTCCACTCTCTGCTCTTCACCCAAAAGTCAGAATCATCAACTATCACAAATTTGGAGCACATACCATCACTCAATATCCAACCCAGAGAGTAGACAAATACTCTGTCTCTATTCTTGACTTGTTTTCTCCTTTCCTTTTCCTTTCTTGTCTGGTCTCTCGCACACCTTCGAGAAGCAAATTCCAAGGCAATTTCCACATCATGTCGAACTTCCAACAGCAGAACGAGAAGATTCTCACCGCTTGCAAGACTGGCGATCAACAGACTCTGCAGGCTTTGTTTTCAGAACTCGACATCGGGCCCAACCAGCCCAGGAATATGTGGAACTTTGACGGATCCCTTGAAGCGGACCAGCACACGCCACCAGTGAATGATATGCTGCACGCGGCGATCCGCGGCGAGCAGATCGACATGGTCAACTTTCTCTCCTCTACATTTCCAAAACTCAATATGAACAGCGGGCCGCTCGTCTGGGCCATCGACACAGGCAACGTGGAGCTCGTCGAGGCGATCTGCAAGATCCACCCTGCCGCCGCGAACGGGGCGTATCAACACATGAACAACCTGGCATACGCGTGTTTCGAGCCCAAAAATGCAGAGATTGTCCGCGTGCTGCTCCAGTACGGCGCAGACCCGAACAAGCCGGCGGAGCATACGCCACCCTTCTCTAACGTCAGCTATGCCGTGGCTGGAGGTATGCCGTTGTCGACGTTCGAGCAGTTCTTCGATCACGGGTATCTGTTCAATGATGGCTGGGCTGTAAGGCGGGCTATAGAATGCAAGCGTGCGGACGTGCTGGAGGTCTTGTTTGCGAGAGGGGGACAGCTTCCCACGGTTGCGCTTGATTCAAAAGAAGCGTTGATCAAGCTCGCGTTGGAACAGGACAAGAGCTCGGAAATGGTCGATGTGATTGAAAGAGGATACCCCGAGTTTCCAAAGAAAAAGAAAGGTCTTGTGAATATGATAGTTGGCAAATTGCGCTCCTAGGTCGGCTGCTCTCTTGTTCTCGAACTAGGAAATACTCAACCTGATTACTCACACGCAGAGGCACTTGTACAAATAATTCTCAAATCTTTGAAGATCACTGTGATGTTTATGCTAAAAGAAGTCCAAGTAATTGCTTAGCTCTAGTCGATAAGTGGCATGAAGGTGTTCAGCACAGATAGTTTTTGCGTCTATTCCAGCAAGGATGAACGTCTCAAATTGCATAATATTGGGGGCACAGTTACAGCTTCACAGACTTGAAACGTAGCAAATATGATAATTCTTCGATCTTTTCTCTCAATTGCATAGGCGCAAATCATATAGACACACTTAAAGTATATACTGACGATCGTATGACCGCAACAACAGCTGAATATGTACATTTCCGCGCACCAGATAACAATGAGCAACTCAGTATTCTGGTTCCTGGGAGAAAAAGTCCTGGAAGAACTCAATGGCCTCATCCGAGCCCACCTCGATGTTTCCCCAAGCATCGCCCAAAGCGAAGGTGGTCTTGGAAGTACTGGTGCTAGGGGCCCAGTAGGTCAGGTTTCCTCCGTTGGGGTCTCCAGTCTTGATAAAGTTGATCCAGTACGACTGCAGGGTCTCGGCAATCGCATAATCCTCGGTTGTGTAGCTGACCGCCTCGCCCTGGAGCGTCTCCGAGTACGCCAAGTTGCCGAAGACGTAGTTCAGCTCGCTGCCGTGGAAGGCACCGGCAGACTGCCCTGGAGGGGCGTGGGTCCAGTAGTAGGTGTAGACATTGCTCTGCGCACCGCCTGCCGCCCAGTCGTTGGCCCACTGCCAGGTGGAGATCAGGCTCTGGTTGCGGTACAGGGCGTTGGTCTGGTTGTTGGCCTCGGCATCGGTGGTGGCGGGGAACAGGCTGTTGAACTCGTCGGCCAGGCCGAGGGGCTCAAAGATGGCGGTGTTGTTGGCCGTGTAGGTGGCCAGGTCGACGCCCGGGTTGGGTGAGGCGCCCGACTCGTCTCGGTTGTTGCCCGTCAGGATGGGAACATCGGAGTGGTTGCCAGTGGCCAAGGCATAGCTGTAGTTGAGCGGGAAGTAGTAGCCGTCAATAACAGGTCGCCACAGAGGCGGGTTCAAGTACGCCTGGTTGCCCGCGAAGGAAGTGCCGTCAAAGGTAGTATCGGATGCACCGTCTCCATATGCTCCCTGGAGGATAGTGGCCAGGGACAAGTTGCGTGCCTCGTCAATGGTGGAGACGTTCAGCGAGGCGAGGAATTTCTCGCCGATGGCGTACGCCTCCTCCTGCGTCAGGTGGCTGGTGGCAAGGGAGCCAATCAAGGGATCGTTGGGCGCCCGCGCTCCACTCTCAGCGATGATGCGCTGGAAGAGACCAGTCGTCTCCTGAGAGGTGAAGGCAATGTCCAGGGCCAGTGCAGACCCGGCCGACTGACCGGCCACAGTGATGCTGGTGGCGTTCCCGCCAAAATACTGGATGTTCTCGACAGTCCAGTGCAGAGCTGCCTGTTGGTCCATGAGACCCCAGTTTCCACTGCCGTTGTAGCCGTAGGCTGCCTCCACCTCTTCTGTGAGCTGGGGATGGGCAAGCCAGCCCAGGGGTCCCAGGCGGTAATTCATCGTGACGACGACGACGCCCTTCTTGGCCAGGGCTGATCCGTCATATGTGACGCTCGAGGCCGCACCGCCCTCGAAGCGACCGCCATAGGCAAAGAAGAAGATGGGAAGGTTGGAGGTGTTAGTGAAGCCCTCTGGCGTCCAGACGTTGAGGTACAGGCAGTCCTCGTCGCCCGTCACCACACCGTCGACGAGCTGTGGGCATTCTGGGCCGAACTCGGTGGCGTTCACCGTCACGGTGCTGATGGTTGGTTTCGGGGAGTGCGTCCACCGGAGAGAACCAGCTGACGAGCCGGAGAAATGAATGCCTTTGAATACATTCACGCCGTCAACATAGTCGGAGACAGTTCCTCGCCAGCTGCCACCACCGGTAGTGACCACTGGAGACGATTCAGCGGCCACCAGAGGTGACAACGTCAGGCCGAGACTTAACAAAGAGAGAATATGGGGGACCATCTCGACAGAATCATGGACTGTTGATGCCCAAGGTGGTTGACGAGATTCTCAATAGTTTCAAGTGAGAAAGAACTATACTATTGCTCCTTATATAGTCATGGCTTTTCCTTAGCTTTCGGGCATTTCTCCTACAGATCGTCGTGTCTAGAACATCCACACCATTGCGTCCACGTACACACCGTAACAGTAATACCGATGGTAATGACGAGCACGTAACCCTGAATAATGTCCGCACCCTGTTTTCTGAGGGAGGGGCGGCGGGTTGGTGATCGACTATGGCACTGACTATCACTTACCATGCAAGTACAAGGGGGGAACTGTCCAGGTTTCTGGTGGAGGTTCATCTGAAAATATAGAGGCGAAACTACCCCAGATGTTGTTTGCCAACCTTTTTTTCCCTACCCTGTTTGTGTACGTACTATGTTTTATGCAGTACGTCAACTCTCCCAGGACCATATTTATGCTCCACCCTTTGCGTATTTCCCGTATGCGGGAGATCCACAGACTTCGGCAGATCGCAACATCACCTCGGAGCAGCTCTGTCTTGGATCTAGTGTCACGGAGGCATGACCAAATCGGCCCCCTTTGATTAAGCGTACGAAGCATGCTTCTTCACTGGAGGCAAAACCGGGCAGGTCTTGTCATTGACGATTAGCAGAAGCATTAGACTGAACTCAATATCATACATTTACTTAAAGAGAAATGGAAGGAAAAAAAGGAATACACCTAGGTATCCATTCAGGATTATTCGCCGGCGGCACGAGAAGTGTAGGACTCCATTGTGATATGTGAGAAATGATTGACGCGAGATTAAACCAGGCCTTTTCCAGATGCACCTCCGCGAACGCCCTGCAAAGTATTCGAAAAAGGATGCAGTATACGTGATACCAGAAACAGGAAAAGACATCCCGCTGCGCCCCATGTCCACACCTGTTCAAACGTTGGCGACAATCGATGGGGAAAAGCAACAAGAGTCGGCAAGGATTTCTAGGCATGATTCGTAACCACACCGCAAAAAGTGGTTTATCCTGAGACAAATGAGCAAGGTCTCCAATTTAGGGCCCCAAAGCCGTGCGCAGTGGCAGCGCTGCAGTATCCCTCAACGGGTCCCCTATCGTCCGCCGATCAGGACGACGCGTCCTTCCGGAGCTCTCTTCGGCGACATCGGCTGTACACCGGATACAGGGTTTCGTGATACTGGCGGGTAAAAAAAGTAAGTTCTGTGAGCTTCCTTTTACAGCTAAAATTGCCTCAATCTATCTACAACCTTTTCTTTTTTGGTCTTTCTTCCCCTAGACCTTATACTGCTGAAGCATCCTTCGACATTGGAGTTCTCTCGGCCGAGCAACGCGCCAAGAGTCATGTCTCGCTGCTTGGCTTTCCTAGACACCTGCAGATCCCCTGCCCGACGTCGTACGCATCAGTTCTGCGACATAATGCTTAGAATGCCGCAATGTGAATGCGAGAATCGAGCCTGCACGGGGCCCTCCCGGAGGATCCACAAGTCTCAAGACTCGGAGCAAATCTCCTCGACTGGATTTGTAATGAATAGAAAAGCAAATAATAGACAGGATGCCGCCATATATGAGGAGCAAGGGTTTACATTGACTGCGCGATACACTTTCATTCTCTTTAGCTAGGGTGAATAGGATGTTTTCAATACCCCGATTCGCCACCGTTCTTTCATCTCAAGTGCTCTTCCTTGTGTGCCACGATAGGTTTCCCGAGATTCAATGCAAGCGTTACAATCATCATCATGCTTCCCCTACAGCGCAGCCACTACTACTAAGACAAGATCATCACGATGGATTGAGATCTTCTCTGACCGCATCGACGCCATCAGAGGGAAGCTAAAACAGCCTCGATCTTCTGCTTGCTCTTATTCTCGGCCTCGGTGAAAGTCTCGAGAGCAGCTGCCAGACGAGTCTTGGTGATCGCATCATCCTCAATTGCCTTGTGCAGGGCCGCGCCTCCGTCGGCGAGGTAGTCCACCTTGGTGCTGGCCAACTGACCGTCCCACTCTGCAGCTGCGAGCGGATCAATTGTCGCAAGCTTCTGAAGCCGCACGGGCGTCGGTCCTGCAGACTGGTAATATTCGACACTGGGGTGAGGTTTGGGCACTATGCCAACCGCGTGTGGCGTCGCGCCGTCATATGTGAGTGTCGCCAGCTCGTCGAGCAATTTGGGCGAGATGGTTGCCGAGTGGCAGCCGAACTCAGCGGCGGCCAGGACCTCCTTGGACGAGATGAAGCTGGCGAGTTTCATCTTGGGCTGCGGCTTGCCCGTGTCCTTGTATAAGGTCTTGTACGTCTGGATCATCTGCACAACCCGCGCGGACATGGGGTGTTGCGTCGCAGGATCTTCGACATTGGGCCAGATGCTCAAGTCGTTATGGGCACGGATCTCTGGTTCGGAGGTCAGTTGCGGCCGGATTTGCCATCTTGACCATGGTATGATATCGGGAGAAAAGAAAGACGAAATGAAAAGAGAGCGTCAAGTGATACTCACCATTGAAATAGGGGCTTATGTACAGCATATTCGCCTGGCTAGCTGCGATGGCCTGTGGAAGACCAAAGATGGCGGTGCCCAGGGTGGCAATCGGGAGACCCTCTTCATCAAGGTCCTGGGACAGCACTTTCGCCGCGTTCAGAGCAGGCCCGGTCGCGGGGATCTTGATGCAGTACCGGCTGCGTGTGATACCAACACGTTTGAACTCTTGGTCGTACAGCCGAGCGTGAGCGATCGTCGCCTGCTCGTCGTAGGCTTGGGAAGGGAGTGTTTGCAAGAGGGCTCGACCTCGGATATTGTCGATATTCTTCTTGCACAAGAGAACGGACTATACAGAAGACGCTTTGTTATTTGACAGGTTCCTTGGGGGTCAGTGGGAAAACAGCCCAGCAGTGCTGGGAGTACGTACAGCGCGAGTGTAGATATGCAACCAGCCCTTGTCCTTCAGTTCCAATGCCGTTTGTTTGAGGAACTCAGCGTTGACCTCATTGTGTAGTTCGACATCGACCCACAGCTGATTGCTCGTTTGATCATGAGGGACCAGTCCTAGTCGCTGCGGCATAGTCTTGATGTACTCTGCATCCATCCAGTCTACGTCAACGTTCACTGTGACACTGTGTCAGTCAGATCACACTCCAATTCACATTGGGAAATCAAACACTTGCGTTGCTCTTCAAGCTTCTCGAGCCACGAGGAAGCCTTGTCCTCGGCCATGATGTCTGTCTGTATGTCTGTCTGTCTGCCTGTCCCTCTAGACTTTGTTGCTTCCGATTTAGAGTGATTACAGACGGTGGCTGGGAATTCGGATAATTTCTGTAAGGGAGAAAATCAACATTGAAGTTGACGGTGCGTGTCTTAAATCTCTACGCCGCACCCCTCACATGGTTCTAAGTTTGAACCAGCCCCTCACGACCTTCAGGTGACAATAATGGAGAACGGCGTGGAGTCGCCTGCTTCGGGCCACTGTCCCCCTCACTTGCTTTGGCTTTTGTCCCACGGGGAAGATTCCACCTTTCAACCCGCACCGGCCCCAGCCAGTCCTCTTGAGTGATAGGGTATGAATAAGCAAAGTGCTATGACAACTCGACCATTTATCGACGATCGCTCTCACTCTGCGTCGGATGAGGTCGTCCGACTTCTTGCTGTCACTTTCGACATTGCAACACTGTGGTTCTCTCTGGAGATCTTCCCACCAATATTGACTGAAATTTATCATCCTAGAAAAACCCAGATAACACTCCTTGGGAATGAAACGTGGCAATATTAACGAATGAAGCTCGAGATTGCCTCACTGCTGTCTGCCACTCTGTGGCAGATTGATCAGTCCGTTAACCATTCATTTGAGACTCTGCACTGGATTTCTGATCAATTTCCTGACGAGTCAATCCAAGGCTGGGCCCATCTCAGTCCTTCTTAAAACTATCCTGTCAATCGTCTGAGGAGATGTGATAACCCTGGCCCATTGGACCACGGCTGTGGCAGCCACCACTCTTTCAACCGTGTCAATACCTGGTTTCAGCGTAATTACAAGAGGTCTATAAGGTGGTAGAAGAGCCAGACAACAATCAAGAACAACTATCTCCAAGGAGTTTATTTGTTTCGGTGCATGACAAAAAGAAATTCCCGACACTTCGAGTCTGTATTTCAGCTCCTAATTAATCAAACGGCGTTACTACCCAAACAAGTAGCAATTACACTGCGGCTATGATGCTATGGAGAGCTCATGGGCGGGAAGATCTTTATCTGTTTTGTATGGAGGACTGATTCAGGTAACCCAGAAGGTCTGGAGCAGACATTACACTATGTACCCAAATTGATAGTCCAACAGGCCTGCTTCATATTTTAAAATTATTGCACGTGGTTACAATCATGGCAAAATTTCCGTCCATTGGGAATGTGGTGTCCAAGCTCCGAACCTGGAGTCAATCTTTCTCAACCTGTTTGGTGTGCCATATTGGTGTCTTTAGAATGCATTCAATCATAAAATTCGTTGTATTTTAGCTGAAAACCACCACAATTATGCAGCGATAGCAAGTGGAAGTAATTTCGTGGCATAAGCCACGTCAAGGAGCTGCAGGGGCAGCAAGAGAAGCAACGGACAGACCATGATGCTCCAAGGCTGTGCATGACTTCGTTGGGTTCGTCCATTAGAAGCCAGATGAGTAAAGACCGAAACTATGATGTATAGTAATTTCAATACAGCAGAATAGGCTGACGAGGGTCGCGCAGCCTCGCGGAGGCAAGCAATTAATTACGCCGCCTGTGTCTGGTGGCAGTTCCTCTCTCTGTCGCTCGCTCTCTTTTTTCCTTCCCATGCCTGGCCCGATATTTAGAACACTCGAAGGTCCGAGCAATTTAGAATAATGAATACATAAAAGATACAGTAGAGAAGGAGACCATGATGTGGCACGCGTACCGTAATTAGTATTTAGCAAGAGAAGCTCTATCTCGAATGTTACATAATCATATTAGGGGACGATCCCCCATAGCAAGATCACACCTCGGCTCATTCCAAATCATCCCAGACGCCGCGGAGAAGTAAACATGGCGAAAACAGACCGGGACACAAGGCGCGAAAAGACGGTCTGGTTTTTTTTGTTTTTGCTTATACGTGATTATCGATCCACTCGAATATCTCGGCGTGACAAATCAAACAGTTTCAATTATTCAAACACTCGTCAATGTTCACACCCGGCAGGTTCTCTCGATGCAGGTTGGCGTGGGTCATGGAAGGGGAGAGAAGCGGACTTGCATTAAAAGCATCGCTCCCACCGCGCCCACCTGTCTCGGAATGGCACCTTACTGGTCACCGACGAGGGTCTCCTGCGCCCAACATGGCGTGATGACTGTTTTTGTGGACGAGGGAGATGGCGAGTATCTCCTCGGAATACCCTCGTCCTGAACAGCATCTCCGAGGCAGCTGAAAAGCTTCGTCCCACAGCCATATGTGAGAAAAGATAAGAAGGCCCTCGCACCCAACAACATGCTCCGTCGAGGTAAGTAATGAATGTAGGTTCAAGAAGTCTCAACATCAGTCAACGACAAGACTCACCAACCTGGATAGCTTTTCCGACATTACTGATTGTTACATTTTTGTGTTCCTGACTGCATCTGGCCCAACTCGAGAGGGAAAGAAAAGGAAAGAAGAGTAAAAATCAGGACGCACAACATGGAAGTTCAAACTACTACTCCAGCGTCATCAAGTTCCAAGCATGTCGCCTCTATAGAGAGCGCCCTGCCCAGGATGGCACCTATCTCCTCGGCTCAGCTGGCCATCATCAAGGCCACCGTACCCGTTCTCCAGTCGCACGGCGAGTCCATCACGACGACCATGTACAACAACATGATCAAGTCGCACCCAGCCATGAAGGACATCTTCAGCCACACCTCCCAGATCACAGGCGCCCAGCCGCGCGCCCTGGCTCGAGCAGTCCTAGCCTACGCCACGTACATCGACGACCTTCCCAAACTGACGCATGCCATCGAGCGTATAGCCCAGAAGCACGCAAGCCTCTTCATCCAGCCAGGACAGTATGACATTGTGGGCGGGCACCTCATCGGGGCCATCCAAGAGGTCCTCGGCGATGCCATCGCCACCCCTGCGGTCGTCGACGCGTGGACGGCTGCGTACGGCATCTTGGCGCAGGTCTTTATCGGGCGCGAGCAGCAGCTGTACGCGGCAGACGGGAACTGGACAGGGTGGCGAAAATTCCGCATCGCCAGGAAGGTGGTCGAGGCAGAGGACATCGCAAGCTTCTACCTCGAGCCCGTCGACGGCGTGGCCCCTCTGCCGACCTTTCTGCCGGGCCAGTACATCAGCCTGCAGGTCCCCGTACCGCAGCTAGGTCATCTGCAGAGCAGGCAGTTCAGTCTGAGCCACTGGACCGCAGGCGGAGGGCGTCAGTACCGAGTGACTGTGAAGAGAGAGAAAGAGCGCTGTGGTAGTGGTAGTGGTGATAAGTCGTCGGTGGTCGGGCTGGTGTCGAACCTGCTGCACGAAAGTTATGCAGAGGGTGACACGGTGGACTTGTCTCACCCACATGGGGAATTCTTCCTCGACCCGTCGGATGCCTCCAAAGCAGGGGCACCAGTCATCCTCATATCGGCAGGCGTCGGCGCCACCCCCTTACTGTCCATACTGCACGCCCTGCACGCTCAGCAGCCGTCGGCAGTAGTGGAGAGGCCAGTCTCATGGGTTCACACGTCCCGGTCCTCAGCTGCACAGCCGTTTGCAGAGGAGGTCGCCTCTGTCCTACAGAAGATGGAGGGGCGAGCCGTGACGCACGTGCATCTGAGACAGGGGCTGAGCGACGACAACGGTCACAACTCCAAAATGCCCAGATTAGACGTATCGACGCTGGACAGGGAGGCCACGTTGTTCTTGCAGGATCGCAGGGCGGAATATTACGTCTGCGGGCCGGAGAGTTTCATGTTGGACACGCGGAAGAAGTTGGTGGAAATGGGTGTGGACAAGGAGAGAGTGTTCCTCGAGTTATTCGCCACAGGCGATGTGGAAGATGACTAGACGGACTAGATTTTGAGCATGAATATCCCTCATGAGTGGCATTTCATTACTCCGATCAGGACAAGACGGAAAAAATAGTGGCGACATCTGGGTCAGAAAGGAGAAACAGAAAATCCTCAACTCGACTAATTAGCTTCAGAACTGGGAAGGCCTCGACTCCCCGAATCATGCTGTCGTGACATGAAGACATTGGGAAGTGTCGACAGACGAGAGGTGTGTGTGTGTGTGCCCCAACTGTCCCATTTGTGCAGTTGCAGGATCTTGGTCAGACCACAGACGCAACATCACCGTTACTATGCGAACCATTGAACGCCACTCAGCGCCCGAGAAACACGAGGCTTGCGTTGACAGCCGCCTTGTGCACGTTTCTAGTACTAACATAGACAGCCGTGCTATTAGGTTACAAGTTCTATCGTCGGTCCGAAGAAGCAACACATGCAACCCGCCTATTGGCGATGCACAACAACCCAGACATTCGGGCGGCCGCCGTTGTGCATACGACACATTGAAGCCCGCGGCCCCATGGACCCTGCAAGTGTCATTTTCCCCCTTCGTGCTGCGCATATGAGTGGCTGGTGAGATTGCACGGATGGTGAAGCCGGGTGGGGCGACTGGTAGAACAACAAAGAGGGTTTTTGTTTATCAATCGTAGTCGGAGAGCCCTCCCTGTATGAGGTCTAGTGCTGGAGCTTAATACGGATCAAGTGTGCTGAGGGAGGGTCTGGCTGTGGGTATGTGTGCGTGTGTAATTGCACAACATGCCGTGCTCAGAAGCTCATTGGACTGTTCGTCACACTGCAGAGCCCCATCAACCTCATCTTGTTCATCTGTCACCCTTCAATGCCAGATTGGGCGGTAGGTCGATTGTTGAACGTGAGAACTGACGTGTTTCAGTATTTCACAAGACATGTTTTTGAGTTTTGTGAGGCTGAACTGATCAGAGCAACGATGAGCGTATCCTTAGTTCTTTAGACTGCACTGCGTCACATTGCACGAGGCCAATCACCGGGTGCCGTTGCGTCCATGATGGTCACTTACTTCCAAAGAGATGTTCGCCAATCAAGATTGACAAATAGGCCTATCACACCTACAGAGCATTCTCGACGTCAAGGGATGATTGAGGGCCAGTCAGTGCCTCCATAAACGAAGCTTATTCCAGAGTTATTCTTTTCGATGAAAAGTGACCACTCAGAGTCCACACGTCGAGTTGCCGACTCAAATATAACTGATCAGGATATTAGAAGAAGAAATCTTCTGAACAGAGGAACCGTGGCAAGGAAAGGGCCAAACCAAGTGCAAGTTCCGAAACGAGACAGGGGCTCAAAATTACAGTGTCTCAAGTCATGTCTTTGTCGTATAGGATCAGCTACCGTGATACAATTTGCGATTATTCCGAGATTCAGCAGGCATGCCAAACAGGTTCGAAGGCTTGAAGAGGCTCATTGGCTAGCTAACTTGACTGCGTTAGGCCGAGGAGGTCTAGAATGCCTCGGATGTTGGGATCGGATGTTTTGTTGGGTGGCCGCACCTTTCGCGCGTCTGTATTGACTGCTCTTCTCAGCCAACGTCGGTTGCACGACGATACAGGCTGCGGCAGCATGTGATACATGAAAATATGAACCCGAATGGTCAGCTCTCCTTTCGGAAGGGCTAACGCAAATGCCCCAGGCTGAAAAAGAAATAAGGCGGCTCTTTTCGATCTGTCATAAATCAGTAAAACGTCAGCCTAGAGTCTATCAGCAAACCACATGATCTCATTGTGGGAAGGACCCCACTGGATCTTGCAGGATGCCTCCAGAGAAAATCATACTATGGAGGTGGAGGGGGGTCGGAGGGGGTTTGGTTCAGTAGCAAGCTATGAAGGAGCCAATCAGGAGCGTTCTATTGGCTGCGATATTGGAGGCTCAGCCTCAGCTGACCTTCGCCAATCACACAAACAGGTTAGCTTTCCTACTACCGAGATCTGACGGCCGTATGGATGATGGCATTCTGCCTGAGAGAATTTTTTGTTGGAGGCCTTGGAAGAATGGTATTCCAGTAGCAGGTGAAAGAAGAAGAAAGATCATATCCTGTAGTGAGGGTGACGACAATACAGAGGAAAACCAGAGAAGGCAAACAGTCAACAATGTACAGACCCTCAGTCATCGATATTTACTTTCTTTCTCTCTTTATGGTATTCTTTTCTCTCAGACATGACACTATAGATTTTACATGCATTCTGCACTTTTAATAGTCATTTGACTGTCAGAGTAGATGAGAGATGTTGACAACATTGCTTACCAGGCACTTCGTTACCAAGCTGAACTTGTAATGTGAGGTGCCTTTACCAGCATCTGAAGACTTGTTTGGTTATTGAGTTACTTGATGCATGGGCCCAACGATGATGAACATGCAGTGATTTAGATTCGAGACTTGTACCTGCAGCTCCACTCTCTTGTATCACCAAGAAAAATTCACTTTCAGTACGGTCTATAGTTTGTTATTGCATAGATCTGTGCATGTTTTGCCCCCTCGTCTTCCATTTTGGTCAAGAACATGCCATAAGTGGGAAACCGTCGTCCAGATCCTAGGCACTAGGCAGGATACTAGCTAATTCAGGTATACAATACATTCACTTGCCACCATATCGGTACTATGTAGCTTTCAGCCACTCATGCCAAGTTCTTGAGCAATGATGGAAGAAAGTGGATTTGGTCTTCTTGACACGATTCCTGTTTGAAATGAGCCCTTTATCATTTAGCTGAGAAACTTGACTACTTAGGCAAAGCATCTGTACAGGGATATTTTCTTCCCATGAGGTAAGATGTGATGATGAACCCCCCCCCCCCCCATACTTTCAGCTTGTTGTGTAAGTCCCGTCCAAGCCGGCTGAATCTCTGCATGCAAAATACAAAAATGAAGTTCATCCGTATTGATAAACTTCGCACCATTGGACCCAACATGTGAAAATCACGACAGGCTAAGCCAACAGGGGAATTGGGGTCCAGACGGCTGTGATCAACTGTGACGGGCCATATACCCGGATACGTATTTTGAGCCATGAAAATTTACCAAGAAAAATCACACAGAATCCAGTGAATTCGGGAATCCCGGGTCACATTCAGCTTGAGAAGGACAACAGATCTTTGCCCATGAATCTGCTCTGTGCAAAGCCTCTCGAGTCATTGGTCACTGGTCACTGGTTACTTGTCACTCGTCACACATCACATCCTCTCTTCTCACCAGCTTTCTGGGTAGACTACTCTAGTATAAAGAACCGCTGCTACAATCAAGGTCTCACATTTACATATATATTTCCTTACCATGCACCCTCAGGACACATCAAGCTGAGCCAAAACTCGTACATGAACAAAGATGTCTCTCCATCAAACCAAGTAATTTGTGCTTCTCTTTGTCTGAACACGAGACCTCTCAACAGAGGCATCATTTTATAATCAACCCCCATTCCTACCATAACACCATTATCTACAACAAGTTCTTGTTGAAATCATAGTCTGAACAGTGAGTTCTCACTGTCCTGTCTCTCAGGGTATATCATACCAAGTATGTCTCTCTTAAGCCCTTGACCAAAAGTTCTACATTTGCACCAAGTTTTCCTTGCAGTTTGGTATGCTGTTATTTTCCTCCACCCACGCACTGTCTAACAAGTGTGACCACCAAGAACTACCCATATTAGGATACCAAGCACGTATTTGGACATGCCTTATCCACGGCCACTACTGGAGCCTATTGCGCTCGTTGGAAGCAGTTGTCGTTTTGCAGGCAACATCAAATCCCCCCATGAACTCTGGAAACAGCATTCGAAGCCTGAAGACCTATCTCGCCCGGTTCCTCCGAGCAGGTTCTCCAGCACAGCATTCTTCCATGAAGACGGTGAATATCATGGCACTACAAACTCGGTCAAGGCCTACTGGTTGGAGCAAGACCACCGCTTGTTCGATGCCCAGTTCTTCAATATTACTCCCAAGGAGGCCGAGGCCATTGATCCACAGCAGCGCTTGCTTTTGGAAGTGGTCTATGAGTCGCTCGAGTCAGCCGGGTACACTCTTCAGCAATACGCAGGGCAGCCAGTTGCTGTGTTTGCCGGAGTGATGACAGACGATTACCACACGCTCTCTTCCCGGGACGATCTCAACGCCTCCCAGTATGCTGCCACCGGGAACGCCAGATCCAACATCGCCAACCGCGTCTCGTACTTCTTCGACTTCCATGGACCATCCATGACAATTGACACAGCGTGCTCCGCAAGCCTCGTCGCTTTGCACCAGGCTGTACAGTCTCTTCGGTCCGGAGAGACCACAATGGCTTGTGTTGCTGGAGTCAATTTGATGCTTACCCCGGAACAATTCATTGCCGAGTCAAACCTGCATATGCTCAGTCCGACTGGGCATTCCCGCATGTGGGACGCAAAGGCTGACGGTTAGTTGTATTGTTTCCCCAGTCGTGACTCTGATTCAACTCTTTGGAGCTATGGCTGACTTACTCTATTCTTTCTACATAATAGGTTACGCACGTGGAGAGGGTGTTGTATCCGTTCTCATCAAGACCTTGAGCCGAGCTCTAGCCGATGGCGACAATATACAGGCGATAATACGAGAGACAGGCGTCAACTCGGACGGAAGAACAAAAGGCATAACCATGCCGAATCCTCATGCACAGACTGCTCTCATCAAAGAAACCTACCGCAAATCCGGTCTCGACACCACCGATCCCGAGCACAGACCGCAGTTTTTCGAAGCTCACGGGACAGGCACACCTGTTGGAGACCCCCTTGAGGCTCGCGCCATCTACGATGCCTTCTTTAGTGGAAGCGAGGACAAGAATAGCAGCAAACTACCCGCATCCAGCGAGCAGAAACTGCTGGTTGGTTCCGTCAAGACAATCATCGGCCATACCGAGGGTGCTGCTGGTTTGGCAGGGCTGCTCAAGGTGGTGCAGTGCCTGAAGGCTGGATCTATTCTTCCCAACTTGCACCTGGAATCGCTGAGTCCAACAGTGATGCCCTTTTCTGATCGCCTTCACGTCCCCACCGCGTCAGCGGAGTGGCCAGCTCCAGCTTCAGGGCATCCTCGCAGAGCCTCTGTCAACTCTTTTGGGTTTGGGGGTACGAATGCACATGCAATCATTGAGGTTTATAACCCGGACATTCACAATACTGTTGCACACTCATTCAATCCAGAGTTGTCGGAGCGGCTTTCCAATGCGTCATCCTCGGTCGCCATCGCTGGGACTGGAAGCAACATGGACTCGGATATGACGCTACCCTTGCTCTTCTCTGCTGCCAGTGAGAAATCGCTTCGTGGTATGCTGCATGATTACAGAGCATTCATCCTCAATAATAGTAATATCGGGCATAAAGAGCTTGCGTGGCATCTCTATTGCAGCCGCACTGTACACAACTACCGTGTGGCCATCACTGCAGGAGATCTTGCTCAAGGCGCTGCTGCCATGGACTCTGTTGCTATTCTTCAGAAGCAATTGCACCCTCAGCCCAGGATACTTGGTATTTTTACAGGACAAGGGGCCCAATACGCTGGTATGTCCAAGGGGCTATACAGAGTCAGCTCAGTCTATCGCAACACAATCCAGTGTTTGGATACCATCCTTCAGACCTGCGCCGATCCACCTGCTTGGTCTATCGCGGCACAACTCATGATAAGCAAGGAGGATTCCCAAATTCACACGGCTGCCATTTCTCAACCGCTCTGCACTGCCCTGCAGATCGGACTCGTCGACTTCCTGAAGAGTATTGGCATCTCCTTTGCCTGTGTGGTTGGCCACTCTTCAGGAGAGATTGCAGCAGCGTATGCGGCTGGCCGGATCACGCAGCGACAAGCGATGCTGATTTCCTACTACCGTGGCCGGTACACACACCTAGCTGCAGGCAAGGATGGTCAGAAGGGCGGTATGCTCGCTTGCGGTCTCTCTCGCCAACAAGCAGAGGAGTTTTGTTCACAGGCTGTGTATAAGGACAGAATCTGTGTAGCAGCCAGCAACTCACAAACCTTGACCACGTTAGCGGGCGATTCCGACGCGATACTGGCCGCGTCCAGTGATTTGAAGGAACAAAACACTTTTGCAAGAGTGCTCAACGTCGACACTGCATACCACTCATTCCACATGAACAAGCCTGTGGAGGAATACTGCGAAGCTCTTAAGGATTGTCACTTCGAGATCTACCCTCCCTGCCCGGCAAGCAACCAGACTCAGTGGATCTCCAGTGTCCATGGTTCACTCAAGGAAGTAAAGGCTGAAGATTTAGCGGTTAGTTACTGGGGCAACAACATGACCTGCCCAGTGCTGTTCCAGGATGCTTTGGCTGCAGCACTCAGAGAGTGTGGACCTTTCAACGCTGCCATCGAGGTTGGCCCACATCCAGCGCTGAAACTACCAGCCACTGAGACCATGAAAGAGGTTCTTGGGACATCGATGCCGTACATGTTTGTACTCAGCAGAGTCAAGGAAGACCGCCTGACCGTGGCTGAATTCATTGGGCAGATGTGGGCCGATTTTGGCCCCTCCTCTGTAGACATAGGGAGATTTGTTTCGGACTCGGCTTGCCCATCACTGGTCGATTCTCGCATCCTGGATGCGCCGTCCTACTCATGGGACCATTCTCAGATTCACTGGAGAGAATCCCGACCATCTGAGCAGTATCACTTCCGCAAACATTCACCACACGAGCTCCTAGGAGTCCGCACTATGGACGACACCCAGTTCGACTTGCGGTGGCGGAACATTCTAAAGATGGACAAACTCCCCTGGCTCAAGGGTCACAAGTTTCAAGGACAGGCCCTGCTACCTGCATCAGCATACTGCGTCATGGCCCTGGACGCGGCTCGAGCTGTCCTGGAAGGCTACAGGACGACCATAGTCGAACTGCAGGACTTGGAGTTTCTCAACGGAATCACTCTAGAGCCTGATTCCTTGGGTGTGGAGACCCTCTTCAGCCTCTCCATGCTGCCACCTGAGAAAGGCGGATCTGGTCAGCCTCAGAAACTTGAAGGCCACTTCAAGCTCACATCTACCCCGGTCAGGTCATTCGACATGAAGCCCATGAAATTGAATTTCCAGGGCAAGTTGCATGTTCTGCTTGAAGAGACGCCTGTACACTCTTTGCCACGTCGCCAGGAGAAATCTCGAGCAGAGACGCTGCCGGTGAAGATCGACAACTTCTACCAGATGATGGAGGGTCTTGGCTTGGAATACACCGGCCCGTTCAAAGCTTTGAGATCCATCGACAGACGGCTGAACTATGCCGCTGCCACGCTTGACAGCCGCCACCCTTCAGACAGCACGAGACTGTCGGTCAGCCCCGCGACTCTGGATGCCTGTTTCCATACAGCATTTGCAACCTTCTCATCCCCTGGAGACAGGGCGCTCTGGACGTCGTTCCTCCCAACCAACATCGAAAAGATTCGATTCAGCCTGGACAGTGACGCACTGGTCATGACAGGTGCCACCGATCTACTATCCGTGGACTCGCATCTGACAAGCTTCAAGCCATACTCCAGAGAGTGTGCTGCAACTATCACGGCTGACATGGAAATCTTCAATCAGCTGGGAGAGATGCAAATCCAGATCGAGGGCCTGGTTGTATCCTCATTCGCATCCACCAAGCCTGAGGATGATTACGAGTTGTATCTCCACACCGTCCTGGAGCTGGACCCCGAGGACGAAATTGTTCACTCGACGACTAGTGACCTTGGCTTCGACCCATCGCTTGCAGAGAGCTGTATGCGAGTCGCGCAGCACTACACGTACAAATCTCGGTTCACCGCGTCGCTCGATACGCCACCTGCTTCGCCGAAGATGTCGGCTTCCCCTGGACCAGATACCATGACAGCGTCAACCACGGCAGGCCAGTCATTTTCAAATGAGGAAGATGTACAGGATTTCATTCGCACTTCGCCGTACTTTTTCACTCTGGACTACATCCGCAACGTCAGCGTGAATCGTCCAGAAGCAGTTTTCAGCACCATGAAAAAGATGATTGAGGAGGCACAAGAGACGCTGCGTTTCCAGAAACACCTCAAGCGGGTTGTTCGGCAAGTAGCTCATCGTTACCCAAGAATGAACGTCCTGGGCGTTACAGATCCTCAATACGGCTTCACGGAGCCTATTTTGAAGGGGCTCGGAGACGTCTATAGGACATACACCATTGGCGGCAAGGCGGAGGACAACTTGTACGACCGCATGCCTTCCATTAAGGGCAGCAGGAAGGTCCGTCAGGAGTTCGTTGCCTTGAATCCTGAGCACTTGGATGAAACTCCAGCAGCTCATCGTTATGACATGGTCATTTGGTCCGTCTCAACCCCGGGAAATCATGGCTCTGATCCCAGGTCCCCGTGGGAAACAATCCGAGGAATGATCAAGGACGGGGGCTTCCTGCTTTTGATCAATTTGCCCCTCGAACAACCCACAAACACACTTCTTGAGACTAGCATCCTTGACGAGGATTCGTCGGAGGTTCTTCCAGCAACCCCACCAGACCGTTCCAGCTCAGAAGAAGCCTGCAAGTTCTTTACGCGTCCTCGTAACTCGGAGTTCTCTACTCGTCTTGGGATGTCACTCAGCGTTCTTCAAGCCACCGTCTCCTCCTACAATAACAGCACCAACAACGACCAGATGAGGAGTCCTCTGGCTTGGAGGGCGGACGAGCTGGCGACCCAGCATTTATTGATCATCGGAGGTGAGAACCAGGCAATTCAAGGCATTGCAACAGAAGTAGAGCAATGTCTTGGTGGCTACTGCAACTCGATATCCACAGCGGCTAGGCTAGATGATGTTACGCCCGAGGTTGCAGCCAACTGTACAGGCATCATCTTTCTGACCGACCTGGAAGACGCCATCTGCTCTTCAATGTCAGAGAAATGGCTGGACGCGTTGAGATCGTTGGTGCGTCCAGAGATGGTCATTCTATGGGTCACCAGAAATGCGCGCGAGGACCCAGAGCGAGCTGCATCCCTGGGCCTGACCCGGACTCTGAAGGCCGAGACACCAGATCTCTTACTGCAGGTGCTTGACCTGGATACTCTTGATGATTCTGGAAAGCTAATCTCAGAGACATTCTGTCGCCTGGGTTTCTGGGCTCAATCTTCCCAGCGCAAGGAACCCGACTCGATCGTTTGGTCCAACGAGCCTGAGATACACATGCAGAACGGCAGGCGTTTCATACCACGCGTGCTTCCTTTTAGGCCAGCAATTGATCGCCTCAACGCATATCGCAGATCCGTCACCACGACAGTCAACACGCTCGAGTCTTGCATTGTCATGGAGCCGAATCAAGATAGGCCGGGATCGATACGGTACAAAGCCCTGGATGTCGGACACACTTTGGCACCGACTGGCTCAGTCCTTACATATGCCGAGTACAGTTCCGTACGATCCTTTGCGATTGGTGAACATGGACCAATGCATCTCTGTGTTGGGAGAACTGTCGACGACAGCAACCTCGTGATGGGTCTTACGAGCAGTCTCGCTTCGATCGTCGACATAGACGCCTCTTTGTGCAGGGAAATTTCCATGCTCAACGTTGACTTGTCACGCATGACCGTTGTCCTCTCCACGGTCTTGGCTGCTCTCCAAATAGTCATGGATGCCACCAAACCCTGTCTCGTTCTGATCGAACCGCCACCGCTTCTTCAGCAAGCTGTACACATTCTGGCATCGGAGGGTTACGGCGGAAAAGGACTCCACATGCATCCATGGTCTCGACAGCACAAGTCAACGCTCGAGCAGGCTCCAGTGAAGGACACTCTCGTTACTCATGTTCACCCACTGGCTGGTGTCAAGGAGGTTCGCCGTGCACTGCCCAAGTGTGGTGAATGTGTACAAGCGCCTGAATGTGCCGTATTCGATTTTCTGCCAGAAGAAGACCAACTCTCGAGGACATTGACCACTTTAGGCGGTCAAGTTGAATACCATACTGTCTCAAGGGCCAATTTACACTTGGACATGTCTTCTCACCTCGTCAACGCCACAGAGGACAAGTTGCTAGTTGCCATCTGGGAAATGGCCACGAATCTTGCCTTCAGGCTAATGTCGGAAGACTCCAGCCAGATGCCATCCTCGTCTTTCATCACGCCGGCTCATCTCCTCGAGCCAGCTGTACCCACGCCACAGTCCGCGTTGGTCGATTGGAAGTCACAACGTGACATTGAGCTGCCTGTCGCGCCACTTGTGCAGACCGTGTCACTCCGCAGCGACCGAACCTACATCCTGTTTGGTCTCACTCGGGATCTTGGCCAGAGCATCTGCAGACTCTTCCTTGAACACGGCGCACGCCACATCATTGTTGCCAGCCGGAACCCCGACATGAACCCTGCCTGGGTGACGGAGCTGAACGAAGAAGAGGGCGCCCACGTTCGCACGGCGCGCTGCGATATCACCGTCCTGGAGGATGTCCGCGCACTGGCGGCGACCACAGGCGGCACCAACGAGACGCCCACCGTCGGAGGCATCGTGAATGGCGCCATGGTGTTGGACGACCGGGTCTTTGCGCAGATGGACATGGACACATGGAACCGTGTTATGCGGCCTAAAACAGTGGGCTCTCGGAACCTCGACCTGGTGTTTGATTCGGCAGACCTGGAATTCTTCATCATGACCTCGTCCTTTGCGGCCATCGGCGGTCACGCGGGCCAGTCCAACTATGCGGCGGCCAACATGTTCATGAACGGCCTGGCGGTCAGCCGGCGTCGAAGAAACCTGGCAGCCTCGGTGCTGAACATTGGAGTGATTTATGGTCTTGGCCTGCTTGCTCGTGAGAGGCAGCAGATCTACGGCGGGCTGGAGCGCGACGGATACCCGCCCATTTCGGAGCGTGACATCCATCACATGTTCATCGAGGCCATTGACGCTGGTCGTCCATGCAAGGGTGGTGGTGTCAAGGAAGAAGAACAGGAACAAGTCATCGACCTGACTACCGGCCTGGCACGCTACCGGATCAACGACGCAAATCCTCAGCACTGGCACCGTGATCTGCGCTTCAGTCACTATACACTCCCTGAAGATGGAGGCGACGACGGCGAGGGCGGTGTCGCGGCCCAACAGGGCGATGGCCAGCAGAAGCAAGTCAAGGACCTGATCCGAGACGCAGAGACTTTGGAGGCTGCGACGGACTACCTCGTGGCATCGTTCTGCCGCCGGATGGAGATTACCCTGCAGCTCCCTGCCAACAGCGCCCATGCGGGAAATAGCATCACGGAAATGGGTGTCGACTCTCTTGCCGCGGTCGAGATCCGGAATTGGTTCTACAAGACCGTCGGTACTGATGTCCCGGTCATGAAGATTCTGAGCGCGTCGAGTATTCTCAGCTGTAAGTTGTTTTTCTCTCCCTTCCTCTGCCGAGCCAGTCTGGCTTGAGTTATGCTGACTTTTGTTGTTTAGTGTGTCATGAGATAGCCCAGAAGATCAAGTCTTGACTACTGTATTTTTATCGAGGCTTATAGCAACAGAGTCGAGTAATATGCGTTTAGATGCTTTCTTAGTTATTGTTAGAAAATAGTAATAATGCATCGCAGTTGATTTTTGAACCCACCAGTGTAACTTTTGCCTTTTCTCTGCATCTAAGTTCCAAGAGCCGAGTCCTAAACCAGGGTTCGATTGAAGGTTATTCGATGACAACTATGCAGCAAATTTTAGAAAGTACTGAGATTATTCCCCCCTTAACCCATTCCTTAAGCTAGACAAAATATCAATTTAAAAAAACCCAGCGTCAAGTTTATCTCAAGAGGTGGATATGAAACGTCATGAGGCTGAATAAATACACCGAACGGGAATAATATATTCCCTAACTGCCGATGAAAGTTTGGGTGGCCCAATCACTAAAAAAAATCAGGTATGATACAATGGGCCCATCTACGCCTGAAGCCTCCGCCGCCAGCCGCACCAAACCGGAGGGGTTCCATCCGAAGCCTCAAAGGAGACTGCGGCTCTAGTCAAGAAGTTTATTCTACCGCAACATGCATATTGTCTCCAACTAGGACACTAGAGACTGAAGAACACACAGTCAATGCTCTGGCATATAAGCCTCTTCTTTCAACAACAAGCCAACTCCAAGTCCGGTCTACCGTGCCGGATATACATAGTTATGGGTTGTTCCACACGGCGGTCCCGTCCGCTGGACGGGTTCCACAGTGCCTGCAATAGTGGCGAGATACTGAGTCCGAAGGAGGCCCAGAAATGTGGAACCAACACGACTCTCAAGAAGCTGACGAGGGCGAGGAACTTCCTCTTATAAACATGGCCTCTGCGCGGCCAATTTTTTGTCCTCTCTTGCGGGCGTCCAACGGGTGATCCGCAGGCTCTCTTTGTCAAAAAAAAAAACATCGTGTACGGATCGATGATCTCCTGAATCATGCATCACGAGACCGAGCTGACGAGACAAAAGACCGAAGATGAGCAGCAAACACCACCTGCTGAGGTCGAGGACGATGAAGTACCTTCGACAGACTCGAGTTCCGGTAGCGATGGCCGACTATCGGTGAGCGATGTGACTGTCGTGAATTTCCAGCCCAAAGATACAGGGAACCCTCACAATTGGTCACAGGTAAGTCTAAAGAGCACGGCGGAGAGGAAGGATAATTGCTATATCCAGGATGGCTGGAATATTATTTACTAACTTTGGGCGTCTGTCAGGCCAAGAAAACATATGTTGTCATCGTCGGAACCCTGTTGTCGATCAATTCGACCATGGGATCATCCGTAGCATCCAACGAAATCCCAGCCCTGCAGAAAGTCTTCCACGTCCCCAATGGATCACAGACTATACTCCCGGCCACGATGTATCTAATCGGCTTCGTGCTGGGCCCGCTCGTCTTCGCGCCCCTGAGCGAGCAGTACGGCCGCCGGCCCGTCCTCGTGTGGACCCTCTGCTTGTACATCATCTTCACCATGGCCTGCGCCCTGGCCCCGAACTGGGCTGCCCTCCTCGTCTTCAGGGTTCTGTCTGGCATATTTGCCTCACCCCCCATGAGCGTGACAGGCGGTTCCATTGCGGATGTGGACGAGGACAAGGTGGCGAGAGGCAGGGCCAATGTGATCTGGTCGACAGCCACGCTTGTTGGTCCCCTGGCAGGCCCTGTCATTTCTGGCTACACATACCAATATTCGTGGACGTGGGGCTTCTGGGCTGCCATGATGCTGTCGGGCATTTGTCTCGTTGCTGTCCTTTTGCAGCCGGAAACGCTGGCCACCAAGATCTTGAGAGACAGGGCGGCCAAGCTGAACAAGGAGAAGGGCAGTGATAGATATATAGCTCCTGCAGACCAAGAAAGGCTGAGTCTGCTCGTTACTTTGGTTAGTAGACTTCTTTCAATCCTACCGGGCCATCTAACAATGAACATATTAGAAAATCACAACCACGAGACCAATTCATCTCATGTTCACCGAGATGCTTGTTTCCTTGACCTGCCTTTACATGGCCTTCGTGTACTCTGTATTTTATATGTAAGCCCCCCCCTTTCTCATCAGGACCCTTCAGCACTAGACAATACTAATGATTCATTGACCACCAGGCTGCTCGAGATCTTCCCAGACATCTTTGAGGGCATCTACGGCTTCACGGCAGGCGAGTCTGGTCTCGCATTCGTCATCATGTTTGCAGGCTCGGTCGTCACTGTGGCAGTCTCACTGCTGTACGATCGATATGCACAGGGGATAGTTCGGAAACACCCACACAAGCAGGCCGAGTATTTGCGGCTGCCCATTGCATGCATTGGTGGCCCGCTCTTTGTGGTTGCCCTCCTGTGGCTAGGCTGGACATCGAAACCGTCCATCCCCTGGATTGTTCCTTTGCTCTCCATGGTCCCATATGGTGTTGCGTACCAGATGATTTTCATGGCGATGATCAATTGTGAGTTCATTCCCTTATAAAAAAAAGAAGAAAAAAACAAAGAGAGGGGGAAAAGCGAGAAGATGGCCCACCCAAGGTTACCGCTTTTTGCTAACTTATATGATCCTGTACCTAGACATCTCAGATGCATATGGGATCTTTGCCTCGTCCGCGCTGGCAGCCTGTGCCGCTGCCCGAAGTGTTGCAGGCGCTGTGATCCCCTTGGCAGTGGACAGTATGGTTGATGGTTTAGGCATTGCCTGGTCGTGCTCCTTGCTGGCCTTTATCAGCTGTGGGCTCAGTCTTGTGCCATTTGGCTTCATCATCTGGGGAGAGAAGATCAGGGCTCGTAGCAACTTCAGCAAGAAGCTGCAGGAAACTTCTCATCCGGAATTAGAGTTGACGAGAAGTCTGTCACTTGTCTAAGCACTTTATTATTGTACATAATGAATTTTACCTACACAAGGGAAAGATGTTTCCTTTATCGGCGCTCTTCCAAAGATCTGCTGGTGTGTACGATGTGCCAAGGACCCTGAATTAGCGAGACTTGGGTTCTGCTGCGGGAGGATCTCACCCGATGCGGCTGCTCGTTCCGGGGCTTGAGGCTCTACATCCGAGCCTAATTATGGGGCAATAGTATCCCAGATAGGCTGGGGCGAGCTTGGCAAGAAGGATTCGATGCTTAAAATACATATTTGATCGCTATGTAAGGTAGGCGACCACTACAGCTTGCCCAAGGTTTTGTTGCACTTATACCTATCTAGAGACTGACCACAGTCGAGTTCTCACTTTGCCTTATAATGACAGGCAAACTTTCACAATGGATACAGCGCAAAATACAACAACGTACCGTCCGAACTGATGATCTGAAACGCGACCAGCAAGGTCGGATCATCCCGCCGCTCCCTGTGCTGCAGGCTATACCGGCTTCTCGAGGCAAGCAAGCAGAGGTACTCAGAGATGGTACGAAGGTGACAGCCAACAGCCCATTCTTCCAACGTCTGCCCCCAGACATCCGACGCATGATCCTCATCGAGGCATTCGGTGATCGCATTATGCACGTTGGGTTGCGCTTGTGCCCCGGTAGACGTGGCGGTCGACATCGTGATAACAGCGCAGCTCCCGATTTGGACTGGCAATGGTATGGCTGTGTCTGCCACAGGGATCCAGAGTGGCGTGTGAGAGGCAAAAGGGTCGGAGAGACATCCACCTCGCCTCCCAGTAAAGACCAATGTGTCAGACATCTCGATCACCTGCACGCTGACGCTCATGCTTGTGGCGACTGGTCTGGAGAAAAGCCACTGAAATGTCGTGTGGGAGCCATGGGATGGATGAGAACTTGTCGTCAAGCGTGAGTCACTTGTGTGCAGCCCTTGCGCCTTTAGGGAAGATTATTCATTCTGAGATTTGACTGACTATGATATAGGTATGTTGAAGGAATCCAAGTACTCTATGGAACCAATGGTTTCAATTTTTCGAGTATGGATCTTCTCAAGAATCTGAGCCAGCTTCTAAAGGCAGATCATCTCACCTTGTTGAGCGCGGCAGAGATGACTTGGGATCTGGGCGGTATTATCCAGCCGCCAGACCCTGAGCAACATGCCTCGACCGATGCGCGCTTTTCTGGCTGGTTCACCTTTCTAGATCTGCTGCAATCCATCCCTACAGCATTGCCTCACCTTCGTTTTCTACACATCACACTGAATGGCAATTGGTACCCGGGAAAGAGTATTTATGAGGTTCCGCGCGCCGATGTGTTCAAGCTGGTGGAAACGGTCATCCTCCAGCCCCTAGACGAAACGATACGAGCCTACTTCTTGGCAAATCCCAGGCTGGAAAAAGTTATCGTGGGCTTGCCTTGGAGTATATTCGCAAAGGTTGATATGTCTGGCTTGTGGCCTGGCCAAAAAGACTTCCACTTCGGCCTCAGAGAACCCGGCGAAGAGGGCATCTCTATTCGACTCTGGCGCCCTGTCGAATGCGACATAGACAGCTCCAGTCACCCAAATCGAAACCCTGGATATTGGTGTACAGAGGGAACTTTTGACCAGGACATGTGTTCCCATTGCGCCGGGCCTATTTCCTGGATAGGCGACATCTAATGAAGATGTGATATTGGTTGGCATAATCTGAAATCTCCTCTGTGATCTGAATTGAGAGGCTCCGACGAAACAATATTCTGCCTCATATTCGTGCAGTTCCTTTCCAGAGGAGCAAGCTGTTATTATTATTTCAGAGATTTGGGAGGTGACAGCTTTTTTTCTTCTGGCTTGTCTGAAGCCCCGGCCCGTGCCAGAAGACTAAAAGCTAAAAGGTTGATAGTTCGGACGAATGGTTTGAGCTCAAGAAGAAGTGCACAGACAAAGGAGCAAACACCGAAACACCACACATTTCTGAAACAGATTACACCACGACCAGGCGCCGGCTGATGACTGTATGACCTGTCCTTTTCCCAACCTCTCGAAATTCTGCCTTCAGGCGTATGAGCTCAAATATGCAGCTTTGCCCTTCAAAAGTCGACGGAGGCCTACAGTATCATTTGATTGTGTCCCTTCATACATACCGGGTCATTCTATAATCACCACGAAACTAAGCTCATAAGCAAGAAAAGAACTCTTCTGAAATAATAGCCAATGCCGACCAAACTTCACAATATCACCTTCGTCGCCCTACTATGGCTGACTTGGGCTGTCATCTTCAAGATCTTCTCCGACGAAAGACTCCCACGGATTTGGTCCACCTCTTCATCGGAACCACTTCCAGTGAAGGAGCTCTCCTGTACAGACACACTATGGGCGCCAGATGACTGCGGTATGGACGGAGCAAAGTGCGAGCCATTCAACAACCACCACATCGCTTTTCAATGCCCATCTAACTGCATCCGCGACGGCATCGTCACCGGCAAACCTCATCTTGTCGGCAATCAGGAGATCCTCAATAGGCCTCTGGTCATCGGCGGACCTATCTACAGAGGCGACTCATACATCTGTCCTGCGGCCGTCCATGCCGGCGTGGTAGATGACGCCACTGGTGGATGCGGCGTGGCCAAGCTTCTGGGCACAACCAATTCGTTCTCAGATTCCTACATGTACGGCATCGAGTCGATTAACGTGCAGACGTATTTCCCAAAGTCGTTCAAATTCACAATTGATTCGGACGACATGACGTGTCCGACGGCAAGGAAGACGAGTTGGGTGCTGCCCTATGTGTCAGTCGCCTACACGGGGCTCATCTGGAGGGCGACCAGCTCCACCGCCGTCAGGGCTGTGTGGTCTCTCGCAGTCATATACGCGCATGTAAGCAGCTCGCAGAGGTTCAGCGCCGGCAGTCTATGGTCGCGGTCTTCCACGCCCGTACCGGTTCCCGATGCCGGTGGCAAGGTTCGCACCCCAGCAATGCTCGAGCCGGTCATTTACATGGGCACGATTTCCAACATCACTCTGAACTGGGCTGAGCCCATCCCAGCAGATGTTGATGGAATCAGCATGCTTCTGAACGATGTGGAGAGGGCAAGACGCTTCCGCGATAGTACGAAGAATGAGCTCAAGGATGGGGAGGCGGAAGGCTCGTTCTTTTGGCAGAGGACGCCACAGGCTTTTGTTGACTACATCCGTTTCGGATACATCAAGGATGGGAAGGTTTTGGGGTACTCACAACCGGGGACTTGGTTCACGAATGGGACCTGGACAGGTATTCCGGCTGAGATATAGATAGGTGGCAACTGCTTTGTTAATCTCATGGCTTACTTGCATAAGCTTCACATGGCTTTGATTACTTTGTCATCTAGATGGGGTAGTAATGAACTTGATTATTCTATTAATCCCCCAAAGAGACGGCTGCTCTATACCTTTGAACCAGCGCCACATGCAACTGTGTGACCTGGGCCAGGTAGAGACCTTCCTAGGTTGGTAGGTATATCAGATGTGGCTGCACTTCTTCGAGCCTCTAGCGTCTTCGTTTAATCCTGCGAACGGTTCAAGCAGACGGTTTCCGTAGTTCAGAACACCAGCCCCCAAATGCGGTCATACAAAACGCAATCCAATGTGCAGATAAATGCACCATCTCTGACCCCACGTTCTCGAGTATGTGGGGCCCAAGAGTCAACCTGCCTACTTTATACGCGACTAGGTATTAATGGAGGCGTTTGTTGCTGCCACAAATCTATATATAGCAGGGACTCTGAGAACGTTCTTTTTCCTGTTCTTTCAAGTTTCCTTCTATAAACTCAACCATACCTTTGCTCTACGATTCTGGGGCACGTAGTTATGCAAGCTTTTCTCTTCTCCTCTGCTCCAACATCATAATAAACAACCTGCTTTGTGTCATGTCAATGTTCCCTCCACTTGCATACACGGCCCTATTTGAGGACTCAGAAAATGGGAGATGAAACAGAACCATCACCTGCATACATTGGCTACCGACTTGAAGCCTTTGTCGCCGTCTTCTCTCCTGTCTGCATCATCTTCGTTGCCTTGCGGTTCTACGCACGTACTCTCGTTGTTAGTACTTACGATGGGGGTGATTGGCTCATCATCGCGGCCTTGATTGGTCAAATTGTATTCGGAGGTATCGCTATAGGTAATGAGACACATTCACAGGATCAGGACTAGAAAATATGAGTCGTCTGACTAGATTTTGCTAGGATCCGTAAGACAAGGAGGAGTTGGCAAACATGCTGCGTACTTGTCAGAAACGGAACCCGAAACACTTACGACGTTTTTCAAATATCTGGTGGCCATATCGACGTGGTACGCTGCTACTGAGGGTTTCGCCAAGCTGGCCGTGTGTCTGTTATACAGGCGTATATTCCCACAACGGCCGGTGCAGTTTGTCATTCATATCACGATGGGGGTTTTAATCTGCACGTCTCTTGCAGTGACCCTTGCCATTCTCTTCGACTGCATGCCGTTCTCGGCACATTGGGCAACAACGGAAGGGCAAATTTCACACTGCATCGATACAGAGTCTCTGTATATTTGGTGCAGTTTTCCGAATATTGTCACGGATGTTGTGTTGCTACTTCTCCCGATGCCGGTTTTATGGAACCTCAAGGCATCTGCTGGGATGAGGATTGGTGTGATTATTACATTCCTTTTTGGCAGCACGTCAGTGTCCTTTAGTGGCTGAACCTTATCCTGTGTCATCATTTCCGTGGAGCTGACCAAATAGCTTGTTCTTCTTTTTCTTAGTGGTACTATAACATCCATTCTGCGCTTCGTGGCCTTCTACGACAAGAACCCATTCATCGATCCGACGTGGAATGGGGTTACGATGATCATCTGGACAGTGTGCGAGCCAGGCGTATACTTAATTGCAGCCTGTCTGCTGGTTCTTAGGCCTGTATTCGAGAGACTGGGCATTCCAATGATCAGCAGTCCTTCGACATCCGGCAGGAGTGGAGGCGGGTCAGGACAGCTGGCTGCCCGCGGATTAGGACACCGGCCCGGAAGAAGAGCCGAGAATCACAATATTGAACTGAGAACCATTGGTGGCACTTCTTATAGCGCTCGTGGCTACGGCGGTGGCAAATTCTCACAGCTCGAGGATAGTGAGAAGCGACCGCTGAGAAATAAGTGTGAAAAATGGGGCATATTTAACCCTAACCCTCTGTTTTGGTCCCCTCATAAACCATCTCAGAGCCTGGTTTAGTTACTTAGAAGATCTTCCTTTTGTATTAGATAGATTCAATCTCAACACTCATTCAGCCACTTCCACGTGCTCAGCTCATACGTTTCTCCTTAGTTATGAGCCCGGTTCGCAAGAATCGGGTTTAATCTTCCCCTTATCTATCGAAACAGACTGAGCCGTTCACTTCTTATTCTTTCAGAACACATCTTTTGTCCCAAACAGTCATACTCACGCTCCATCAAAGCCCACGATGGAGCGCGAACCTGACGACCTCACGCTCTCGGTAAAGTGCACCGACACCTACTCCTTTCCATCCTGGTACAGCATTTTGCAGTCCCAGAGCAAGGGAAAGGGTGTTTGGGAGTACCTAGACCCGGATGGCCCAGATGCGCCCTCTCTCGAACCTGAAGACTTCGACCTCGAGTTCTCCAAGTTCACTCAGGATCTTGAGGAGGAGCGCAAAAACACCATAACGGAGAACTACAAGCCACTCTCTATCCAGGAACAAGCCATCCTCTACGATCAGGAGATGAAACGCTTTCAGCTTCGTCAAAACAAGCAGTTGCGTGCTCACCAGAACGTACAGAGGATGTGGAACTGGATTCAGAAAACAGTACCTCCGTCAGTCCTCGTTCCTCACATGCACACCTATCCAGGAAAGAAGTCTCCCTCGATTCAACAGGTGCTCAGGAACCTGAAGAAAGACCTCTGTCCGTCCGAGGAGAGCATGAAACAGGTCGTTCGCCTCCAGTACCGCCATCACCTTGAGCTGGCCACCAGGCAAGGCACCGATTTCCAAAACTGGTGCCGGCAGCACCAGGATCTCCTGAACCTAGCTCGGGTTTACGGCATTGACGAAGTTGAGGGACTTCAGGGCTCTGATAACTTCCTCGCCGCTGTCGGAGTTCGCTTCCAGACAGAGTGGGCCAAAACGCAACGACATCTCCTCGCTACGGCACCTGACGATGGTCTGCCTATCAAGACTATCGAACAGCTTCAACGAAATCTCGCTTCAATCCACCGACTTCGGCCTGAGCAGAAAAAAGGCTCAATAGTGTTCGCCACTATAGGCGGAGAGAACCCACAATCCGGCAACTCAGGCACAAAATCTGGGAAGAAACAAGGTGGATCTTCCAGCCAGAGCGAAAAGGGAGATTACAAGTGCCCCTGCGAGTCGTATCAAAGGAAGCATAAATGGGGCCCCATGAGCTGCGGAAGGCTGGAGTACGCCTGTACCGGAGTCAGGCCAGACTCAATCTTCAAGGCCCCATCTGACGAGCAAAGAAAGAAGATCCTCTCTAAGCTGGCCGGCAAAAACTATCAGGAGCTCCGTTCAGACCTTATCAGGACTGGATGGCTTCCTCAAGGCTGGACAGGGGGGATCCCACAGAGGACGGAGAACAACAGGAACCTCTATCCAGGCACTGTCGAGTGCTAGAACCTCTCAACCACAACGTCAAAATGCCAGATCCGACACCCCTCAAGCCTGAAACAAGGCATCCTCAGTTCCTCCAAATAAACGCTGTCTTCAACCCTCAACTCTTCAACCAGGCAGTATTGCTACAAGCAAGCGCGGCAGTCTTCTCAACACCGTTTCAGACACCTCACATCCTTTCCCAAAGCACAGTTCTGGATAACTGCGGAGCTGTACACCTCGTCAACAGCGTCGACCTCCTGGAGCCAAACACCTTTTCTCCCTCAAGGGATGCGGAAGTTGTGGAAGCAGGGAGCTCATCGTTGCCAATACGGGGATTCGGGAGACGACGCTTCAAAAATGCACTGAACGGGAGGCGAGGGGAACGCACTGAGGACCTAGTCCTCAACCGTGTGGCGGTTGTAGATGGCTTCCATGTCAACATAATCGCTGAGGCTCTCTTATACGAGAAAGGGATCTGGTACTGTGGCAAAGATAGCACACTGCGCTCAGGAACGCTTGAACAGAGCGCGGTGATTGCGAATCTACACAGAGAGTTCAACTTAGTCTTCTTCGAATACATTCCTTTTGCAAACTCTTCCTACTCTCGAGCTCCAGCCACGCTGCCATACAGCTGGGCTGGCGTTCTCGTGTTCTCAACTCTAAAAAGAAACAGGCACCCTCGTCCTTCATATGATGAGGCGCCTGAAAGAAGTGATTCAGAGCATCTTTGGCATCTAAGGTCGGGACACCTGGGTGCCAATGCCCTGAAGGAGCTCGTCTACTCAGTTCGTGGTGTCAGAATCAACGGAACCAGACGAATTGACTGTGAACACTGTGCTCTAGGGCGCATCACAAAGGTCATTCGACGCGCAAGATCTGAACACCACAGCCCTCGACCGTTCTGGCGCATTAGTTGGGATCTCCTCGACTATAACGAAGCGCAGGATAGCTCAAAATGGGCTCTCATACTCAAAGACGAGTACAGTGGCAAGTTGTTTGCCTTTCCGATACCTAACAAGGCACAATCCACAGTGTTCGATGTGCTCAGGTTATTCGAGACCTGGGTACAACGCCAATATCGCCTCTTCGTCTGCAAAATCAGACAGGACGCAGACTCCTCAGTCATAAGGAGGCCATACGAAACGGTATACACACAATGGTGCGCTGACAACGGCATCGACCTGGAGGTTACTCCACCGCGCACGAAAGAGTCAAATGGCGCTGCTGAGCGAGCCGGGCGTGAAATTCAGGAGCGTGCGCTAGTCCTCCTGTTGTCAGCCAAACTACCGAAAGACCTATGGCCAGAGTGTGTGAAAGCAGCCACCTGGCTGTTCAACATCTCTCCATCCATGCTCAAGCACTCCGAAACGCCAAATTCACTTCTGGATGGCTGGTTCAGGCAGTACTTTCGTTGGTACGCGCCGGAAATAGTCAGAACAGCAGTCTCGGACCTACGGCCCAACTGGGCCAGGATCTACGCATATGGATGCCGGGCATACGTCCTGCGAGAAGAGCGCGAACTTGGCTCTCATAGACGGGATATGAAAACAGAACCAAGGGCACACAAGGGCTATCTTGTGGGATACGTTGCAAGCAACCTGTACCGCGTGTGGCTTCCAGCGCTTGCGAGAGTCGCAACCGTGCGCAATGTTCTGTTCGATGAGAGCCAATTCTACGACCCAAACAGCGGTGAGGCGTCAGAAGCACTATCTCGTGCTCAGCCAGCACCAATCGTTCCAGAGGTCGGAAACGACGAGGAAATCATGGATACAATCGTCGTTGGAGGCGTATGGGACCCAGTTCCCTGGCCTGACGCCACAAATCGAAACCAAGGACCTCATCCGCTGTCCGACGAGGACAGTGGCCCATCCTCAGAGTCTCCCTCGGGAGGCATCCCGAGTTGGAACTCGGGGGTGAGAGCACCTGAGACTGGCAATGGAGCGCTCTTGCAAAGCAACCCATCCCAGGGAAGAAGCTCAGGGGATAAGGTGCAAGGACTTCCAACTCCTGAAAAATCTCCCGAGGCACCGGAACGAACGGATCAGCCAGAAAGGAGCGCTGCCGCAAGCAGCGAGGATGTTTCAGCAACTGAACAGGCGTCTTCAAGTACTGAACAACAAGCCACCAGCGCATCTACTGCTCAGGATACGAGCCAGCCTGCAGCGCGAGGGTACGAGCCTGGTCAGGCCTCAACCAGACGTCGTCGAACAAGGAACGAGATCTATGGATCTCAACCCACACGGCGTTCAGACAGAGCACGGAAACCAATCGATAAAGCTCGCCAATACCAAGGGTCATTCGCCACGGCCTTTGTAACGAGCCAAACAGCTCTGGTAAACCTCATGGCTACCTTTTTGCCTGATCAGCTAAAGGAAGCAACCAGAACATGGGATAGGCGTTTTCAGACCATACACAGTGTGGTCGCAGCCGCTGTACTTGAGGCAAACTCTACACGCAGAGGAGCCTCGCACTCGCAGCGAAAGCACTTTGATGCTCCTCAGCAAGTCACAGAGCTGGCGACGGCTGAAAAGAAGCATCATAAACAACTACCACCCGAACCTGGGACCTGGAAAGAAGCACGAAACGGTCCTTTCCACACCGAGTGGTGGAAAGCGATGCAATCAGAAATCCAGGGACTGGTCAACAAAAGGGTGTGGCAGACCCTCGAGCGTGGGAAAGCCAAAGAGAAGCCACTGCCACTCAAATGGGTATACAGATACAAACTTGATGAGGACAGTTACTTAACCTCATTCAAAGCCCGAATCTGTGTGCGAGGAGACCTGCAAAAAGCAAGCAACCTTCAAGACACGTATGCAGCAACGCTGGCTGCGCGCTCCTTTCGCACACTTATAGCTGTGGCAGCATATTTCGACCTAGAGATCAACCAGATGGACGTCACCGGAGCGTTCCTGAATGCCAGCAGGGAAAGCCAGGAAAGCGTTTTCTGTGAGCTGCCTGATGGATTCAAGGAGGAAGGGAAAATCGTGCTCCTGGAAAAGGCACTGTACGGCCTGAGGGACTCGCCAGCACTCTGGTACAGGCACTTCTGCTCAACTCTGCGAAATCTCGGCCTTACGCCCTCAACTGAAGAGCCCTGCATGTTCACCAACAAAGCAAACAAGCTGATCGTCCTGTTCTATGTGGACGATATCCTGCTGTTCTATCCGCAGGACCAGGCATCAAAGGCACGCAGAGTGAAGGAAGGGATCTTCGAGGCATATGAGGTAAAGGATCAGGGAGCGGCGGAATGGTTCTTGGGAGTTCGAATCGTCAGAGACAGAGCCAACCGCACGATCAGCCTGGTCCACGATGCGTACATCGAGAAAATAGCCAACAAGTTTGGCCTTGCAGCCAACACAGCTTTAACACCCCCAACGCCTCTGGACCTTGGGGAGCTTGTCAAATGGAAAGGGGAAGCATCAAAAGACCAAATCAAGGAGTACCAGGAGAAGATTGGATCGATCCTGTACACCGCTATCATGATAAGACCAGATGTGGCTTTTGCATGCGCTCTTCTCTCCAGGTTTTTGACAAACCCAGGGCCAAAGCACCTGGAACAGGCAGACAGAGTAATCTGTTACCTGTACGGGACGAGGTTTCTGGCAATCCAGTACGGAGGAAGCCACCCTGAGGCTCAAGCCCTGCTAATCGCCGGAGATGCTTCCTTTGCCGACGATGCGGAGGACCGAAAATCCTCACAAGGATATATCTTCAGCCTATTCGGAGGTCCTATACAATGGAAAGCAACAAAGCAAAGCCTGGTAACCACCTCAACCACAGAGGCTGAACTGTACGCCCTCTCGGCCACAGCCAAGGAAACGATCGCCTTACAACGCCTCTTTCGAGACCTCACCTTGAACCTCGGCGAGCCCTGGAATATCTTCTGTGATAATCAACAAGCCATACGGCTGGTAGTCACAGAGCGTGAAAGGATAAACACAAAGCTCCGCCATGTGGATATACACCAAATGTGGCTCAAGCAGGAGTTCCAAAAGGGCAAATTCCAGGTCTCATATATGCCAACACAGAGCATGCCAGCTGATGGACTGACCAAGAACCTCAATCGAGCGCAGTTCGAACACTTCAGAGCGCTCCTCAACCTTCAGGATGTCAGCCATGCCTTGAATCAGAGGACCAAGAAGGAACCTAAAGGGACACAGATGGGCAACTCGATCTCACATTGGCCCCTTTTGGGTGCTCTCAATCACTGAATTTCATTTGTTAAAATCAAAAACGAGGGCCTATAGCCCAGGGGTATCATCCAGAAACACGCAAACCAAGCGCGCAGCCTTCATCAAACGACGAACCAAAGGACTTAACCACAAAAAAAAAAAAAAAAAAAAAAAAAAAAAAAAAAAAAAAAAAAAAAAAAAAAAAAAAAAACCCAATCATCCACCAAAGCCTAGAGCACACCTAAGCCTGAACAGGGCTCACTCCTTAGGTGGGGGGTGAAGGGTAGCCAGCACTGCCTCGATATCAGCTTTGGCTTTCTCGTGCTTCAGATGCCATTCACGGTAAGACTCGACAGGATGATCATCGACAGAGCGCGAGACAGACTGAACGGCAGCTTGTTTTCCCTTCTTCTTAGCCGAAACCACGGCCTTCCCCTCCTTGGCAGAGCGTGAAACTGCCTCCTTACGATCAGCCTCCTGCTCAGCAAGGAGCACATCACGCTCTTCCGTGAGCGCCTCAATCTGCTTCTGCAGCTCGTCAACCTCCGAGAACTTGCCCGCCTCAAAATGCTCAAGAGCAGCTTTCTAAGCCCACACAGCATGCTTGGATCGGGTCCCCAGAGGAGCAAGGTTGAGAGTGGAGTTTTCCTTCTCCACTCCAGCGCGCGTCCTTTTCTTCGAGGGCGTAGGAGCATCCATCTCCTCAGCAGAAGCAAGCGCACGCTTGGCCATATAAAGCTCGTCCACAAAAGGCATGAGGTAGAAAGGGACCGGAATACACTTGTGACCCTTCGAACACCGAGCACAGCGAGCAGCAGATGAGTCCTTCTGGTCGTGACAGGAACCATCAGAGCCGCTCGCAGCCAGACTCTTGATACAGCCAATGCATGGAACATCGCGAACAGCACCCCAGGAAGCATCGTCTTGGCTCTTCGAGGAACCTGCAGCGGGAGTACTGGAAGGGGTGGCCACTGGAAAAGTCTTTTTGGCTCGCGACCGAGGAGTCCTCAACTTGGCGGCGTCTCCAGCAGCCACATCGAGGCGCTCCTGCTGAAGCTCCTGCATCAACGCATCCTGGGACCTCAAACGAGCCATACCCTGCTCGGTCACAGGCCTTGTTGCGACTGGCCCAGAACTTGAAAGGCTACCGGAAGCCTGAAAAAGGGTCAGCCAGGTAAACATTGGAAGAAAAAGCGGTGCGAACCTACAGTCTTGGGCGCCTCCTGAAGGAGCACAGAGCCGTCTTCATCATCATCGTCGTCGTCATCGATAAACGGGCTAGAAATCCCCGTAGAACCAGCACCAGAGCGCTTGGAAAGACCAACACCGACTGAATCGGAGGCACCATCGACCGAAGGACGCAAAATCAGGGTATCAGCACGAGCGGCAGACGACTCGACCGGAGCTTGAGGACTTGAAGCAGGCAGGCCAGACCGCCGTCCCTGGAAACAAGAACAATCAGTTCAGCCCATACCAATCCCCAGGCAGCTCTTTCTATACTCACATCAGGAAGAGGGTGCCGACCAGCGGTTGGAATCAAGACAGGCTGAACAGGGCTCGCGCTCTTCTCTGTGGCCATCGAGGGACCACCATGCGACTCAGACACGCTGGCAGGGGAGCTGGGGTTTGCACCCAAGGGATCCTCATCAGTCTCCACATCGGGAGAAGGACCAGAAGAGGCCACATGGATCTCGCCCTCAGCAGAGTCGCTGTCATCGGAAACAGCCATACTGAGCTCGCTGAGAGGGACAGAAACGTCAGACTCGCCTGACGAGAAATCTGGAGTGACTAGAAGAGGCATATTGACGCGCGGAGGCTTTCAAAAACCTTGAAAACAGATGGAAAAAGAGCTGGTTGAAAAAGAAAGAGGACTGGAAGGAGGCAAGGCGACTGTAAAACGCGCCCACATAAGCTTAAACGCGTCTGCGGGGACCCCACAAAAGACCCACTTTTCTGGCACATCTGACCAGTCAGATGGGGGGTGTGTGAAAAATGGGGCATATTTAACCCTAACCCTCTGTTTTGGTCCCCTCATAAACCATCTCAGAGCCTGGTTTAGTTACTTAGAAGATCTTCCTTTTGTATTAGATAGATTCAATCTCAACACTCATTCAGCCACTTCCACGTGCTCAGCTCATACGTTTCTCCTTAATAAGGCATCGTTTGGGCTTGTACAACCGGTCAAGGACGTGGTGTGGGCGGAGATGCCGACGTGTGTGTGAGCATAAAATCACCAATGTTCGCCTGCGACGCTGATTGAAAATAGCACGTGAGTTTATAATTGACACACAGACATGGAATTGATGATGTTGACTTCACTGAGGTGCCGCCTTATCACGGTTTCGTTGAATTGCTTTGACTTCCCGATATGGTCTCAAACTTTACAGTTCTGTGGGTTGGTTGCGAATATTTCTTGTCGAAATGTGACATTAGTACCAACTTGATGCGTTTTCTTCTTGTGGTAACTCTCTTCTTCCCTCCTTGACTCTTTTTTTTGGGGGGGGGAGGAGGTTCTTCTCTCTCTTCTTTCCCTCATTTTTCTGGTTCACCTCCGTTGGTGGTCAATACCATTAAAAGGCCTAATACTGCCTAGGCGGCCAATGCTGTAGCTTTTGACAAACGTTTGCCATCCCACCGGTCTCTACGGAAACACTTGGTCACTCCGTCCTTGCTTCACCCTTTAACGGGTCATCTTAGGGCCAAGAACGAAGCATAAGCATATCGGATCTAATGAAAGGAAGTGATAAAGAGAGTAAGAATTGAGGACATCAATAAATCAACTACACATAAGGGGTCATGGCTTGGCCTTTCGGTGCCGATGTGGTTAAAGGCCGGCAGATGTAATGCCTACCCTTCTACAAACATTTGCTGTCAACGGCCAACGGGCAAGCTGACTGAGAAATGCTCGTGCTTGGCATCGGCAGCCTGATATGATAGGTACATGTCTTAGGTGAGCAATGTCGCCCATCGCGGACGTCGACTTGCTACGTATTATATACTAAGTACATGGTAGCATTCTATATAGTCAGTATTCACAACATACTTTGACCTTTTGCTCACAGAAGAAGCATCGTTGCAGCCCTTGGCCCTGATAAAGCCATTCCTCTTTAGAGGCGCCCCCTGAGTCCGTTAGCTCATGCAGGATTCCAAGTCAACGTTCCAGAACCCTGACTGTCTTTAGTTGCAGCCTGCAATTTGGGTGTTGTTGCTGGAGACCCCACCGATCGACCTTGGCAAGCTCGCACATCTGTATCATAGTACACTGGAGTTCATGTTACACTCTTTAGATATTCACGTACGTTTATGAATACGTTTTAGGTCTCATCGCCAGCTCGTGACAACCTTGACATGCACGTTGCTCGAGTCGACGGACCCTTTATCCACTCTTATCATCCCGGCACCACGCCGAGATCCGGACCCGACGAGCCTTTTGCTGTGTGGTTCTGTATTAGTAGTAGTACAGTACTATCCATGTGCTGTGCGGTACTACCATAAGCACTGGCTGGTATTAGTGAGCGCCCGTGATCGACCGGGTTTATCAAACGGGCAATTTGGTCGGCTGATCTTTCAGCAGTAGCACCGCTACCGCCGCCGCGGTACGACAGTACCAGAGTACTGCACTATCAGCTTTACCCATGATAGATGGATCCTTCGCCACGGCCCCTTATCGCTGTCTTGTTATGCACCTCAACTTGGAGAGATTGATGCATCGTACCAAAGGGTCAAACTATGGCCCAACTTTTGTGGATTTGCAAGATATCGAGTTTGTTACCTGTCTGTCACCTTGCATAGAATCATCTGTTCTGTCTCTCCTCCTCCTCCTCTTCCTCTCCAAAAGCTGCCGGGCACAGCCAGAATGCAACAATCGCAAGAGACCCACACGTCGATAAGCGTGGTGAATACCCCTGCAGATATAACGTGACATTCAATGCAACCGGGGCCGACCCCGTCCAACCCCATGGCACCGTCTATCAGGGGCTGGGTGAGATCCCACGTTTCCCTCTCACTTGGTTGGCTGGCTGTTCTAACCCCTTCACTCCCCTCCGCTCCTTGTTCGTGTCGTTCACCAGTCAGCGCACGCGACTGTTTCACTGCCCGTGCTGTCGGTCAAAAGTTTAAATAAAAAGGCTTTGGAGGGCTGCGATCTGTTCCTGCACGGCGACTCCGCCTGTTTTTGATCCCTTTTGCTTTGGAAATTAATCAATCTTCCTTCTCTTTTCTTGTTTTCCTTCCTTTTTTTTTATTTTTTTTTATATAGGCGTCTGGTGCTACCAGGATATAGTCTTGTCACTGCCCACAGTGACAGCTAAGTCTGGACCCATCTTCTTGACGTGTCGGCTCTGATTTCGTGCTGCTTCGAAACGGTCACAAAGACAGCTAGCTGGTCAAGATGCCTCTCAATCTGGCCGCGGTCAAGGTTGGCCCTGTGCGATGTATGTCATGGAGAGACTCGTGATTCTCCAACTCTGCTGGCAGCCTTCTGATCTTCATTTTCTTCAGATAACTCGCCATGGACCCAGGTCGCCATCATCGGTTTCGTGACATTCTGCTCGGTGGGCATGTTCTCCGCTGTCAGCGGTCTGGGCGCTGGGTATGGGCCATTCAATTTCTTCCTCTTGGAGACTGCGGTCATCTATCCATGACTGTGAATGGGCATAGGCTAACCTTTCTCGTGCCGCATACAGTGGAACACAAGATACAACCCTCTCTGATACCGCAAATGGAGTTCTCTACGGCTGTTTCGCTATTGGTGGTTTATTTGCAGGTTCAGTCAACGTAAGTCGTGTTCTCTGCTGCGCGCCGTCGCGATGCCATGATGTTCCTCCCACATCCCCAGCACAGCGGCAGGCCTTTTTCTACTACTGCTTGTTGTTGCTGACACGCCTTTGGTTGATTCATTACAGAACGTGCTCGGCCCCAGGATGACCCTTTCAATCGGCACCATGGGTTACTCTCTGTACATTGGCGGCCTCTGGGCGTTCCAGGTCCACGGCACACGCTGGTTCCTCATCCTCGCGGGCGCCATCCTCGGCTTCACGGCAGCATTGCTGTGGGCAGCCCAGGGAGCCATCATGATGTCCTACCCCATGGAGAAGGACAAGGGACGATCCTTCACTCTCTTCTGGGCCATCTTCCAGCTCGGCACCATTGTCGGCGCGTCCATCACGCTGGGCATCGAGGCGCACTCTGAGCTCCCCGGCGTGTCCACCGGCGTCTACCTCGCCTTCATGATCATCATGCTCACCTCCATCTTCACCTCGTGGCTCCTCCTGCCGCCCCACAGCGTCGTCCGCGGCGACGGCACCGTCGTCGAGCTCGAGGACGCCATCTCCCCGCACCGCGAGATCCAGGAGCTGTGGGCCCTGTGCAAGGACTGGCGCATGATTGCCCTGTTCCCCATGTTCTTCTCCTCCAACTACTTTTACGCCTACCAGGGCGCCATCGTCACTGTCCTCTTCAACGGCCGCACCCGAGCCCTCGTCTCCCTGCTCGAGGGTGTCGGCCAGGTCGTCGGCTCTCTCGTCATCGGCCAGCTCACAGATAACCTGCCCTTTGGCCGGAGGAAGCGCGCCCTGACCGCCGCCGTCTTTGTCATCCTCTTCAACTGCTTCGTCTGGGCGGCAGGTTTGGGTTTCCAGGTCCAGTTCAAGCGCGGCGACACCGTGGTCCGCGGCGAGCCGATCCCCTGGGACTGGACTGTGGGTGTTTCTGTCGGTCCCATTATCCTGCTGATGGCGTACTACATGGCGGATGCGACCTATCAGGGCTTGGCCTACTACACCATGTCGTCTCTGACCAACGAGCCGTTCAAGCTTGCGCGTATGGCGGGTTACTACAAGGGCGTGCAGAGTGCTGGTGCCGCCGTCTCGTTTGGCATGGATGCTGTCAAGGTGAGTTGCATTTACACGAAACTCGCACCCACACTGAATCTCTGGAGTTACAACATAGCTGACATATAATCTCTGCAGACTGCATACCTCGGAGAGCATCTCGTGTCGTGGCTCATGCTCCTTGTCTCCCTGCCGCTCTGCTTCTGGGTCCTTTGGGGCGTTCGCGATACCAACTACGACGTCGAGCACATTACCAAGGTCGAGGATCTTTCGGATGGCGCCATCGAGGGTGTGGCCCTCCCACCTGGTCATGTGGTTGGTGAGCACCTGCACGAGAATAACACCAAGACCGCTCCTGAGGTCGTGACAGGCGTCTAGAGGTCTTGAGTGGTCGGTTGAGAAGGATGAAAGCGTGCGTGTGTAATTAGCCCTAATGATAGAGTTCTGTATGGGAGACTCAAGGCGCCAGGTTGGTGGGAAGAGAATATTTTTTGATACCTGTAGAGGAGGACGCTAGACTTGACAGTGCGAGGCGGCTGCTCTAGTTGAGACTTGCTTAGAAATTGATTGAACGAGACTCTCCAAACTCCTAAAGCCAACCATTAGTGATGGGGCTCGCATGGTGTGAAGAAACCGAAATCTGATGCGATTTGTTTGGGGTTAAAAGCAGCAATGCAAGTGTTGCTCAGACCTTAAGACCTTCGGTTCAGACGATTAAATTGGTGGTAAATTCAGGGTCTAATAGTGTCACTTTACCATGGTTCAGATGCAGGATTCCAGTGGCTATGTCTGCTCAAGAGGTATCGTAGAACAGAGGACCACAGCAATGATAATGAAGCAATAAGAAATATGTTCATGAAATGATGGATGTGAGAGAACATGGTACAAGGTTAAATTTGTAGTCTCTCTCCAGTAATTTGTATACAATACAAGATCAGACTACACGGTTTCGACAATAATCATAAGCCCTAAAAATAAAATGGTGCACCGTCCGTCGGCTTCTTCGGCACATTTACCTCTCCGCTCTTGATCTCGCGGGGAATAATGTTTCACTTGTCGACCGTTACACCTACTCGTACGGGACCAGCCTTATCTAGTGTACCGCCACTTGTGCATAAGCCCGTAGATCATGGCGCTATGAGGGCAAACAATGTGGGAGGAGAACCAAAAACAGAGTAACCTAAAGCGACGCTATGGGCGTTCAATGACACAATGCCGGCCAATCGAAGATGGTCAACTTATCGTCGTCCGAAGCAGTCTTTTTTTCTCCTTTTGAAGAGGAGAGTGTGGTTTGATTTATTATATCATCGTACCAGACAACCATCGACAATACTGTCCCTCGAGGAGACGACCCAGTGCTGGCTGGCTGTTTTCAGGAATGCCTCAGCTTGCGCTGTAATTATATTGTCCTTTCGCAAACATGAAGTTTCATCCCGCACAAGGAGAACGGCGAAGGTCTTTTGGTATTGGCGGAGCTGGAAACATACGTGAGAATCCATGCATCCCTGTTATGGGCGTCGACTGCGCTGGGTGCGGTCATACGGAGTTATGCATTCTAATGATTTGTGTCTCCATTCAGGCACAGAGGCTGAGGCAAGAATCTCGTATCCACTGCCATCAGAGCAGGGTGGGCAACGTCGAAGCAGCATGTGGAGCTCAATATCAGCCTCAAGCTCTCCACGCAAACCGAGCATCTGGGGAGACATGAAGGGTCTGTTCAAGAGCAAGTCGAACGAATCCAGTCAATCCAAACCTGAGTCATAAGAGATCAATCACACCGAAAGAAAGCAGGAGGCGGGGATGAATCAATTTTGATGATTTCTCAAGCAGTGTTCAAGTGGCATTGATTATTGGAAGTGCATCACCAACCACCAGCACCAGGCTCATCCGAAATTATGGTAATCATCATCACAACCCATGATCGGGGAGATACATGTTGATTCAATGTTTCGTGCTTTGTGAGCTGTCATTGATGAACAATTAGCAAGCATCAGCAAGTTATGCCCAGGCAATAGAAATGGCTTTGCGGATCAAAACATGTATTTGAACACAAACAAAGATTGTCCAATAACACTCATGGCTGTCTCGAACTTGTGATGCTGTTCACAACCAAAAGGCAAGCGTGACAGAGTGAGAAAGCAAGTGAAAGGCAGTGACCCAGTTGATGACTAATTTTGATAGCAAAACGACACCCAACCATTCACGACCACCTTTCCAGTGCAAACCCTTCACGGTATCAAACCATCTCCATCTTTCTCCTACTTAATCGACCCAGCTTCAAGCCTTGCTAGTCTAGTAGACGCAACCACTATCATCTACCCCCACACAACAAGCACTCTGTTCCTGACCACCACCTACCACATACCTCTTTGTCCTGCCAGTCTGCCATTAGGAACAGTGCCCAGAACCCCGTCCACCAACTTTGATGATAATAACTACCGGCCACGATGTCATACATACCTCCTGCCCTCCGCGAGAAGCAGCAGCAGCAGCAGCAGTCTGCTACTAGCGAACACGCTGCCCTACCTACTAATAAGAAGGCCTCAGACCAGACAGTTCGCATTACGCCCCTCGAGGAGCAACTCTACCGCCACACAGATGTTCATCAGTACTACGCAGCCAAATATCAACCGTCTGAGAGCCCTGACGGAGACACATCTGCTTTGCCCAGCCAGCCCACGTCTCACGCAACACTCAACGCGTCATCCACCGAGCCTGACAAACTCAAGTATGTCATGCTATTCAAGAACGCAAACCCTCGATGGCAGAGCGATGGCATTATCTTCGTCAAATCCAACATCTCTCTACTCCCTGGAGGCGCTCAGTTCGAGAACGAAACGAGCCCCACCGCGAAGTCTACGACGGCCAACGATGAGGCAGGGAAGGAGATTGGCCAAGGTGAAGCAGCGGTGACACGGACGGGCACAAACGAGGGAGAGTCTGAGGAAAAGCACAAGAACATCCAGTCGACAGATACTGTCTGCGAGAAGGCGACTCCCGAGAACGAGACAAAGACTGGTGATGAAGAGTCAACCGAGAACAAATCAAGAATCAAGGTCGATAACTGCGAGCTGCAGCGATCGGACGATACGGACCACCCCACTGCCAATGAGCAGCCCGAGCCCACGCCCAGTCAACCCTCAAGCTACAGCCCAAATCTATCCTCCTACAACCTCTGCCCCATCGCCATATTCGAAGAGACCAACTTACACAGGGGCCGTTTCCGCTTCATAGGCTACCACAAGATCACGCGTCTACAGTTCCTCGCGCCCTACAGTCAAGAGACCTACCGAATGCTGGAGCAGAAGTTCAGCACTGTCGACCGGCACGGGCGTGTCAAGCTTCAGAAACGGGCCCCAGCTGCGTGGGAGATGAGCATGAGCTACCGATGGGCGGTCGTGAAGTTTGAGATGGATGAGGTAGCCAATACTCAGTTGACTCCGCCTGATATCAACGTTCAGGGTGTGCAAGATGCTGAGAAGGTTCCTCGGAAGAGCGTCAACGAGCTGCTAAAGGAGATGAGACTGGAGGGCTGATCCGCCGTTACACTAGGGCAGAAGATACCGTACAAGAAAGTGGTTGGCAGTGATAAAGATAAACAGATTGGGATCAGTGGCTGATGGTTTATTCGATGGATTACAAAGCCTTGGTTTTGCTACGCAGATACAGCCCACTTGAACCAGAAATGAGCCAATAAGAAACCCCCTCAGATACATATACTTCTTGATACAAGCTATTAAGTACCAGCTGGCTCGATCTTGATGGGACCAACTGACAATGACCCAGCTGTGACTACGAGACCCAAGCCCCCTCCACGGAACTGGTCATCCTCAGCAGTCAGCTCGACTCCAGTTCCACCAACAGACCCCACGATCTGCGACCCAATTGCCCGTACGGTGACCTCATACTTCTCATCCAGTCCCCACGATAGGTCTGCCGAAGCTAGTTCAATCCTCTTGTCGTCCAGAGCTTTCACCAGAGAAACCTTGGTGCCATTGCCAGAGAACACCAAAGCATAGTATCTGTTGAGGCCCCTGACGCGGACGGCGACTCCAGCGGACTGTCCGAGTTTAACAGTAAAATCAGAAACAGTAACATGGTAGTCTGTCCAATCACGCGTACCATGGACAAGTATCCCCTCTCCACGGTTCTGCACGATGCAAAAGAGAGAACCCATCCAGGGGTGCACGTTGTCCACTGCTCGGACCCATGCCTTCAGCCAGAACTGGCCAGGACGTCCACCGATCGATGGTTTTTTCAAGACCATGTTTGGAATGCCTGTCCAACCAAGGTTGTCCAGGACCACCTTGCCCGTAAAGCTGTCATCCCTCGTGCGCACGATAATACCAACTGCCTGGATTGGCTGGCTGTCGAAGTCATCCGGGAGAGTCCATTCCAGGGTTTTTTCCTCGCCAGGCGCAAGACTGATGGGCTCGCCATCCGTAGTCCTGAGTTCATCCTGTGGTCCGTAGGCTTTGATACGGAGGGACACACTAGCTGCTGAGGAACCGTTGCTGGGTAGGCGGACTTTTGCTTTCAGAGTCTGCCCAGGATAGACAAGAGGCGATGCCATCAGAGGATATAGAGGCATCTTCAACACGTCCTTGCCCATGAAGGTGTCCGTCAGGGCTTCAATGGGGTCATGCGACTGTTTCAGGTCGGAGCAGCTTATGACAAGACCGTTATCCCCATTCTCGTCAAACTCTTGAGTAACAGGGATCGAGCCACTGCCCCTGAAACCTTGAACACTGCCAGGAAGGCTGAAGTGGAACTGTGCCCCATTCTTAGCTGGTGGTAGAGGCGCTTCACCGGCAATCCGTCGGCCAAGGCTCGCAACTTCAATGGCAATACTGGCCGCATTAGCGATGGAAAAACCTCCATCTGCGCTGGATATCAAGGCTCTGTCGGCAACAGGGCCTCTCCAATCCGTGCTACCTTTGAACGCATCCATACCATGCATCAAGGCAGCGAGACAACCCACATTGCCCGAATTGCAGTCCGTATCCCAGCCACAAGTGTTGATGATGTGCATTGCCTTTGTGAAATCGTGGCCGCCGTAAAGCAGTGCCAAGATCATAATGCCGTGGTTCGGCATGACATGGCACACACCGCAGTGCTTGTCATACCCATACTTGTCCTCGATCCTCTGCCTCGTTGCCAGCCAGCTGCTACCCTCCTCAGCATGCCAACCACGGACATCTGCCACCAGCCCAGCAATCGCCGAGTCACTCGGTATAAATGCAAGTCCTGTATCAAGCAGATGGTCGACATCCTTGGAAACAAAAGCCTCCGCCTCCATCGCAGCCCAGAGAACCGCGGCATGGACCGACTCGCCGTCGTGGCTGACACTGCCCGCCTCCCTGGCCAGACGAGCAGCCAGCTTCGGGTTCCCAGGAGCAACCATCGCCCACCCATCGATAAAGATCTGCGCCCCGATCTGCTCGGCCACCGTGCGGCCGTTGGTGGCGATGGCGCCGCTCCGGGGGCCGGGGATGCCGTTCTTCAGGTTCAGATACGCTGTGTGCTCCGTCGAGACACCCTTTCCGCCCCACCAGAGGATCGTCTGTCCCTCGATGATCTGGTTGAGCCACGTCTTCCCGATCTGCTCGCTCGTGATTTCGGCGTCGAAGCCGTGTTCCTCCAGTGCGCGGACAAAGGTGAAGGTCCCTGAGACGTCGTCGTCTGTGACCACCAGCGGCAGGCCGTGGTCCCGGGCGGAGCCGAGGGCCGGGTTGAAGGGGGACGCTGGCACGTTGGGGTGGTCGTGCACGTAGAAGCGGATCTCTCCAAGCGTCTCCATGATCTTTTGGTGCGTCCATCCTTCGAAGGGGCGGCCTAGATAGACGCCAATGAGTTTTCCCAGGACGCCGGCGTAGACGCGTTCGAGATAGTCATCTGGGAGTGGAGCCATGGGAACACAAGATGAGGCCTGTGGAAGCCTGGGTAGAAGAGGCAGAAGTATGTAGGCTTAGACTTTTCTAGAAGCAAGAAAAGCGTTACATGGGTTGATGGCTGTTTCTTAAAGTCATCCCCGCCGCAACAGTAGCCCAAAGATGGCAAAGTTCAAGTATGCGGGGTGACGGGCTTGACGTCGGCTTTAACTACGGTTTGTAGGCCGACTTGGTGAGCATTCAATCGAATGATCGCCGATTACAAGCGTTTCTACATGTCTAACGATTCACCCGCGTGTTTGTAATTAGAAATACCGTAGAGCCTCCGCAAGCAAGCTTACTCCGGTTGCGGGCGCCATTTGTTACTATAATAGACTGTGGATAGCTGTATCCATTCCTGTTTTTCTTTCCTTATCTTCATACCCTCCATTTTTTCTGAAGAGGGGCCCCTACTTCGCAAGCCCCCCCTCGCTTCGCTTCGCTCAGCTCTCTCCCCAACCCATCCGCCAGGAAATAGCTGCTATCCTCAGAAACACAAAGACGCACGTGGACCACCCGGTTTGTTGGGATGCCTATGAAAAGTCGCTTCATCTCAAGTCTGCCACACTAGGCAGACGCATCCAGACTACTCAGCTCTATAGCTTCACCTGCAACAGAACTAGCATATAGCGCATTAACTGCAGCAATCCGCTCTATTCCATATATCGAATGCCTCAAAATAGAGCTCTAATAAATGGAAAATACAATTGCTATTATAGCTAATGCAAACTAATCATATATGCAAAACATTTGTGCTATTAATCAGCTACAAAATCTAATATTCTATAGTAAAAAATACTAAGTTCTGCTAGGCATGTGTAGATTGAAAATGCATATGCATTACTGCAGATATAAAGAACAAATATATTAAAGAATAGCTTAAGGTTAGAGATATGGTCAGCGTTATGAATGAACTAGAATGCTTTGAGAAGAATTACCGGTTACTGCAACACCTCCAGCAAGAATCAGCTTCTCATTCAGCGCTGCAGGAAACTACTGCAAAGATAGTTGCAAATAATATCAACTGTATGAAAATAACTATAATGCTATTAAAAACGATTTTTGTATATATTAAGCATCAGATAGTAATAACTATGCTAACAAATCTAGCAGGAGAAAATCTTAGATTCTCTAGCAGTATACAAGAATCATCTTCCTTCTAGTCATCCGATCCTTCACAGTACAATACTCGAGCAAGTTGGAAGCGGATATCTAATCTTCAGAGTATAAAGAGTTTGGAAAATATCTTCATAAATATTAGTAATGAATATATAATCACTACAGAAAAGATAAATATAATACAGAGTCTACTACTAGTAAATCATCATTCAAACATCAACCCTTTCAACTAGATTATTGAATAACATATAATAGAAAAGCCTTAATAATAGCAACATCAATTATAACTAGAAGATGGATCTCATCTAAATCATTATAGAGCCATGCACTGAAGAACTATAGAAAATTGAAAGATTGCTCTTACTGCTATCAGATATCCGCTCCAGCTATACCTCTAGAATATAAGACATTCTCTAACTTTCTTCAAGTTTGTTTTTCCTATCTGATGTGCTACCAGGCTATCTCATATCTCAAACAGCATCATACTCGCAGATTATTATACTGTCTCTCTCCCATATAGCTTCTCACTCTTGCAATTCCTGGATTACAGATATTGCAGAAGCTACTAAGCTCCCACCAACAGACAGCAGCACGGATAGCACATGCTTAAGTAAAGAAAAGAGCGCTTTTGCAAATTCCCAACCTTGTTGCATACAATCTTTCCGAATCTCTATGCTTATTATTTGGCTATCATCCTCAAGACAGGGAAAGTTGTGAAAATCTTTCAAGCGTTTAGTAAGACTCATATTACTACCCGATGATATATCATGGAAGCGAAGCCCTATCAGTATTCTTGCTACAGTATTATAACTCATCCAATATACAGATCACGAAAACAGATTACAGGCAAACAAGAACTAGATATTATAACTCAATATCAGATAACTCACAAGGATTATGTAACCCAGGGTTAGGATTACGGGCCAACTAATCAGGCAATAGAGCAATTACTAGTAATCACCAGCGCTCAGTAATCAGTAGTAATCCGGAATAATCAGTGGTGATCTGAAATAATCACCAGCAAGCAAGAAACTGAAGAACCAGATATATAAAGATTTACGTTTCTTACTACCAGATAGATTTCCTTTAGATAGTTCTTCAGTTATCAATCTAAGTATCAGATTATTCTCTACTCTAATAGCTCCAAAGGCAGTGAATACTTGCATTGCTTATTGAGACTTGTATAGTTCTGTATTCAAGAATTTAATATTTTAATACTGCTCTTGTTAGCATAAACCTCTTGTATACTTAGAAATCTTCAGATTACTGCAGTACTTATTACATTTTGATAACTTTTGTTCAAGAATGGTTCAGTATTACTCCTTGAGCAATACGGAATACGATAGCTTCTCCAGGAATCCCTTCGTTCTTGCACGCCTCTACTCAGGAAGAACTGGTTAACCAGGTATACTAGCTTATTCAGCGTATTCAGGATCTGTATGAATAACAGCAGGCTCAAAGCGCTACTATTGCTAATCAATAAGCTCAGCTAGCTTAATAAGCTCAGCAGGCGCAGTCTATCTCTGCAATCACCAGTAGCGCTGTGTCAGGGCTGATTGTGCTAGCAAGGCTCAGAGCCAGCTAAGCCAGCTGGATTACGGATGACTAAGCAATATGCGGCTATAAAGCAGCTTTCTAGCCACGTCAGCACTGCTGAGCAGAACTTAGCTCCTTAGGCCTCAATATTATTCTGGTTGTATACCCCTGAAAGAGAGAAAAGATCTCGCTACATTGCCTTTGCAACCTTTCCATCTGACAGTTTGAAACCTAGCCCTTTTAAAGGAGGCAATCCAGCGAGGCTTTCTATCTTTTTTTTTCCCTAGGAGCAGCGCTAATACTAAGCAGGAGCAGAGCAAATAATCAGACTACTATTCTTTTCGAACCTTTGAGCCTTTAACCTTCAAGCCTTTAATCTTCGAATCTTTAACCTTCGAGCTTTCGATTTTCGAGCTTTCAAGCCTTGAATACAGCGAGCAAGCAGTGCTGAGCAAGCAGTATGCAAGCAGCATGCGAGAAGCGTTCAGAAGAGATTCAGAGCATTCGAGTTGCTAAGCTAGAGCAAATAGCGAGCAAGCAGTATGCAAGCAGCGTGCAAGAAGCATTCAGAAGAGATTCAGAGCATTCGAGTTGCTAAGCTAGAGCAAACAGCGAGCAAGCAGTATGCAAGCAGCATGCAAGAAGCGTTTAGAAGAGATTCAGAGCATTCGAGTTGCTAAGCTAGAGCATACAGCGAGCAAGCAGTATCGAGCAAGCAGTATGCAAGCAGTATGCGAGAAGCATTCAGAAGAGATTCAGAGCATTCAAGTTGCTAAGCTAGAGTATATAGCGAGCAAGCAGTGTTGAGTAAGCAGTATGCAAGCAGCATGCAAGAAGCATTCAGAAGAGATTCAGAGCATTCGAGTTGCTAAGCTAGAGCAAACAGCAAGCAAGCAGTATGCAAGCAGCATGCAAGAAGCATTCAGAAGAGATTCAGAGCATTCGAGTTGCTAAGCTAGAGCAAATAGCAAGCAAGCAGTATGCAAGCAGCATGCGAGAAGTGTTCAGAAGAGATTCAGAGCATTCGAGTTGCTAAGCTAGAACAAAGTATGTTCTTCGCTATTCAAGCAAGAGAGCAGAGTAAGCAAGCAGTAGATCTGAGTATCTTCTATTTTCGAGAGTATGTTCTTCGTTATTCGAGTGAAAGAGCAGAGTAAGCAAGCAATAGATCTGAGTATTTTCTGTTTTCGAGAATGTATTCTTCGCTATTCGAGCAAAAGAGCAGAGTGAGCAAGCAGTAGATCTGAGTATCTTCTGTTTTCGAGAGTATATTCTTTGCTATTTGAGCGAGAGAGCAGAGTAAGTAAGCAGTAGATCTGAGTATCTTCTGTTTTCAAGAGTATATTCTTTGCTATTCGAGCGAGAGAGCAGAGTAAGTAAGTAGTAGATCTGAGTATCTTCTGTTTTCAAGAGTATGCTCTTTGCTATTTGAGTGAGAGTGCAGAGCTGAAGCGGAGTATTTGCTTAGCAACTGAAGTTGCTTGGATATTAAGTTGCAAACTAATTATTCTTCTGCGTTTAGTAGTGAAGCGAAATGTAGTAATAGCTTTAGAGTTGCTAGAGAGCAACTTTCAAGATGGAAAGCTATAATTATCTGTTATAGCTGCAGGGATGCTGTTCTGGATGCTGAGCTTCTTAGCTACAAATCAAGTTCCTGGTAGAAGGCTTGCAATCTATATCAAATAGCTTTAAGTTCTGAAGAGTGCTTGGATAAAGCGCTGAGGGAATAGCGACTAAGCAGCGTATATAGCACGGATATTGCATTCGGAAAACTTATATCTGGAATGTGATTAAAAAGAGATTTTTTTTTTACAGGCTTTGGGGATGAAGCCAGAAGAGAAGGAGGGAGATGGTTGAGAAGCTTTGAGAGGCCTGAGGCACTGAGAGATCTTGAGAGACCTTGAGTGGCTTAGAAGCCTGAGGCACTGAGAGATCTTGAGAAGCCTTGAGAAGCTTGAGGCACTGAGAGATCTTGAGAGGCCTTGAGAGGCCTGAGGCACTGAGAGACCTTGAGAGATCTTGAGAAGCCTTGAGAGGCTTGAGGCACTGAGAGATCTTGAGAGGCCTTGAGAGGCCTGAAGCACTGAGAGATCTGAGAGGCTTTGAGAAACCTAAAGCACTGAGAGATCTTGAGAAGCTTTGAGAAGCCTGAAGCACTGAGAGATCTTAAGAGCCTGAAGCATTGAGAAGGCGTAGGAGCAGCTAGGAAGCAGCGAAAGCCTGGAAGCAGCGAAAGCCTGGAAGCAACGGAAGCTTGAGAGCAACGAAAGCCTGGAAGCAACGGAAGCCTGAGAGCAACGGAAGCCTGGAAGCAACGAAAGCTTGGAAGCCTCAAAGGCCTTGAGAACAAGGCCTGATAAGGGAGGATAATCTGTCAGGGCCGATTATGCCAGCAAGGCTCAGAGCTAGCTAAGCTAGCTGGATTACGGATGACTAAGCAATATGCGGCTATAAAGCGGCTTTCTAGCTACGTCAGCACTGCTGAGCAGAACTTAGCTCCTTAGGCTTCAATGTTATTCTGATTGTATACCCCTGAAAGAGAGAAAAGACCTCGCCACATTGCCTTTGCAACCTTTCCACCTGACACGCTGGAAAAGCATATAAGATGAATAAGCTTGCTATATATAATAGCAACCAAAAGACACTGCATGAATTCCTTACCTATTGCAGAGCATATTTCCTGTATTACAAAACTCAGTTTATTAAGAAATCTGAGAAAGTTATTCTTGCAGAAACTTATCTCAAAAAGAATGCTCTCATCTAATACAAGCCTTCTCTATGCAACTACTTAGAGCATCAGAACAATCCCAGCATACATACTCAAGATATTAAGAATATATTCGATTTCTTTAAGAGCTTTGAAAAAGCTTTCAAAGAGATCTTTAGTAATTCTAACAAAGAATGCATTACAGCTCAACAGCTTATAAATCTCAAGCAGATCAAGTTAGCTTCTGCTTATACAATTAGATTCAAGCAACTCTTAGCGCAACTCTTATAAGAAGATAAGAATCTTATAAAGTACTATTATAAGGAACTCAAGAATAATATTAAAGATGAAATCTTCAAGCAGAATTAGCTGAAGAACTTTGCAATATTCTCCAATCAAGCTATCTGCATTAATAACTATTTGTATGAATAATGAATGAAGAAGTTTAAGAAAGAAGAAAGCTAGATTTGGAGATTTCCAGCTAATATAAGCAAGAAACTTCAAAATAAGAATAGCAATTAATATAGCAGTATAGCTTAAAGCAGTACTATACATACTAATTCCATAGAACTCAATATAGCTAACAAATAGTATAGCAAGAGAAATAGCATTACTTGCTACAACTGCAATAAATAAGAATATATTGTATGCAATTGCTATCAACTTCGAAAGAATAAATAGCAATTAGTTCAGAAAGAATATCAGATAAATATTGCTTAATAATAAAAATCTAATTAACTGAGCAAAAATATCTCTTTAAAGCAAGTATTAAACTCTATTAATTACAGAAGTCTTAGCTGAATATTCTGCTATAATAACAACTGCTTAATATATCTCTTGAGTAAGAAAGATTCAGAATAGTTTTCTCAGAAATCTAGTGTTATAACCCATCCAACATGCAGGTTACGAAAACAAGTTACAAGTAACAAGAATCAGATATCAAGAACCCAACGTTCTAACAAAGCATTGATTATATAATCCAGGATTAGGGTTGTAAAGAAGGGAGGATCGTTGAGCTCGCTAGCGATCCCAACGAGCTTCACACCTTGAATCGTTAAGCTCGCTAGCAATCCCAACAAGCTTCATACCTTGAATCGCTAAGCTCGCTAGCAATCCCAACGAGCTGTACTGAAGAGATGAATATATAAGAATACGTTCATTACCATTAGATGGATTCAATACATAGCTCTTCAGTTATCAATCTAAGTATTCAGTTTCATATATTAAGTAGCTTCAAAAGCAGTAAATACTTGCATCACTTATTAAGACTTGTATAGTTCCATATTCAAGAACTTAATACTTTGATACTGCTTTTATTAGCATAAATCTCTTTGTATACTTAGGAATCTTCGGATTGCTATAATACTTATTACATTTTAATAATTCTTGTTCAAGAATAGTTCAGTATTATCCCCTTAAGCAATACGGAATACAATAGCTTCTCCAGAAACCTCTTCATTCTCATGCACTTCTACTCAGGAAGAACTGATTAACCAGATATACTAGCTTATTCAGTATATCCAGAATCTGTGCGAACAATAGCAGGCTCAGAGCGCTACCATCGCTAACTAACAGGCTTAGCTAGCTTAACAAGCTCAGCAGGCGCAGTCTATCTCTGTAATCATCAGTAGCGCTGGAAAAGCATATAAGATGAATAAGCCTGCTATGTATAACAGCAATCAAAAGATACTATATGAATTCCTTATCCACTGCAGAGCATATTTCCTGCACTATAAAACTCAGTTTATCAAGGAATCTAAGAAAATTATTCTTACAGAAACTCATTTCGAAAAAAATACTCTTATCTAATACAAGCCTTTTCTACGCAACTACTTGGAGCATCAGAACAATCCCAATATATATATCCAGAATACCAAGAATATATTTGATTCTTTTGAAAGCTTCGAGAAAGCTCTTAAGAAAATCTTTAATAATTCTAATAAAGAATATATTACAGCTTAGCAGCTTATGAATCTCAAGCAGATCAAATCAGCTTCTGTTTATATAATCAGATTTAAGCAGCTTTTAGCATAATTTCTATAGAAAGATAAGAATCTTATAAAGTATTATTATAAAGAATTCAAGAATAATATTAAAAATGAAATCTTCAAGCAGAATTAGCTAGAAAACTTTGTAATATTTTCCAATCAAGCTATTTGTATCAATAATTATCTGTATAAATAATGAATAGAGAAGTTTAAGAAGGAAGAAAGCTAGATTTGAAGATTTTCAGCTAATATAAGCAAGAAACTTCAAAATAAGAATAGCAGATAATAGAGCAGCATAGCTTAGAGCAGCACTATGCATGCTAGCTCTATAGAACTCAATACAGCTAACAAGCAGTATAGCAAGAGAAATAGCATTACTTGCTATAATTGCAACAAATAAGAATATATTGTATGCAATTGCTATCAATCCTAGAAGAACAAATAGCAATTAGTTTAGAAAGAATACTAGATGAATATTGCTTAATAACAGAAATTCAATTAACTGAGCAAAAATACTTCCTCAGAGCAAATATCAAACTCTGTTGATTACAGAAATCTTAGCTAAATATTCTGCTATAATAACAACTGCTTAATATATCTTTCGAGTAAGAAAGATTCAGAATGGTTTCCTTAGAAATCTAAGCGCTGCAGACAAATAGCAACAGCAGGATAAGAGTGCATACTCAGCACTCTCACGAGTAGCAGCTCGAATTGCTCTAATATTGTGAAACAGAGCATTTAGGCATTGGAAGAAGAGCTTAGCAACAATACCTTTCAACATTCTTCATTGCTTATACTAAGCACTATAACTAGGAACATGAATAAGGAATAATACCTTCTTAGCTACTAGTACGAATATCTAAGCAATACAGAGAATGCTTCTCAAGCAACAGAAGGATTAAATCAGAGCAGACAACCTAGCAGCCTGCAGAAGCTTCCTGCAAACAACATGCTTAACAAGCTTAAAGAAAGATTTCCCTTTAGCATTAGATAGAATAAGGAAACAACATGAGTTGAATATCTCATTTATAGGATAGAGCTAGAGGAACTCTTTACCTGCATTCCCTTGCAGAACATTGAAGTATGAGAAGATAAGAACTCTTGAATCAGCTTACTTTACAATCTATACTACGAATTAGCTTGAATCTTCTGCATCTATTATAGCTGCAGAATGCATTTCTCAGATAAGATGCAATACAAATAGTTCCCTATTAGAAAGCTAGAACAAATTCTTCAGGCTATTAAAGAATAGAAATTCTGCTTCAGAGAGATTCTTAATAAGCAATACTATAATGTATATATCGAGCTATTGGATAATTGCTCTATACAATGTATGAATAAGAAGA